TAGCAAAAATAAAATTTTAAAATCTTATTGAAAGGTCATTCTCTGCCTCATCCTCTCCACAAGAACAACATGTCTACAGAGTGTGGCAAAACGCATAGTATTGTCAGCTTCTAGTATGTGGATTGTTTTATATGGCATGTAAAAATTGGTTCTGTGAATACAATCACAGTGTCCTTAAATATATAACTTTGTCTGTGTGAGTTTTTATCTTTAAATGCCACACTTTCTTTCAAATTCAGGATTCTGCTTTGATGCAAAGCCTTTTCTCAGTCTGATTATTATTCAGGGGCTGCTCATGTTGAGAAATTATGATTAATTACATTGCAAGTTGTTCGGCTGTCTTATCTTTCAAAACAGCATGCACTGAGCAAAAGTAGAGCACTCGGTTGGCAGCTTTAATTTAATCAATTTAGCCCGCTGCCTTTAGAAACCCAGTGCAACATGGGAAATACTCACTTTTAGTCTATGTAAAATTAATATTAATAAAAACCAATATTCTCTTTCAACAGTGTACTTATTCGGTAACAAATACAGGGGCATGGGTTCTTCAGAAAGGAAAATAAATGTTGCTTGAGTCTAGCCAGAATGTGCCCGAAGTTGTTGACTCTTGAATTGGTTATCTGTTCTAATTTCTTGTGCCATTACATCTTCTAAAAATATGTAAACAACTACTCTTTATGGCAGGCTCTAAAGATGTAAATAATGCTTTAACGCCTTTTTTGTTTCTCTCTCTGGGCTTCCAGAATGCAAGTGATAGTTACTAATAAAAATATAGACTAGCTGCAGTGTCATAAGAGTAAAGACAGGATAGCTGGAAAAAAGGAAGCCCTCTCATTATTATTATTAATAATAATAATAATAATAATAACAACAACAACAACTTTATTTTTATACCCCTTCTCCATCTTCCCAAAGGGACTCGGATGACTTACATGGGGCCAAGCCCAAACAGAACAGTTAAAACATAATACATTAAAATGTATATTATCAAAAGCAATATAACAAAATAAAACAACAACATCAAACAGTATATGAAACGAATATCAAAACCGAACAACAAATAACAAAATTCAATGTCTCATCAAGGGTGGACAGACTGATGCCACAACATTAAAGGATAGAGCTAATGTGTAAGGTGTAAATATCATGTAGCAATGACAAGGATATGACCAAATTAACATTAAAGTTTTGGGTATAACAATCACAAAGCTATCCAGGGAATTGCCTAGTCAAAAGCACAGCGGAACATCCAGGTCTTCCAATGCCCAAACACAACAACAATACATCCATAGTAACGAAATTTGGCAACCCAACATATAAAAACAAATTATGACTTAACAACTAAAATTAAATAAAAAATGCAGCCTGTTATATCAGACATTCAAAGATTAAGGCTTCCATGCACCCAGCCAGAGCTTGAAACAGTTGAGTTCTTTTTAGTTAGTTTAACTACAGCTCACAGAATACCTGGACAGTATATTCATGGGAAATGTTGGCTGGAAAATTTTGGAAGTTAGTCCAAAAGGTTGTTAACTGTGCTAAAACTGGTGCTGTAGTATCAGCTTTCTCAGTGACCCAAAAGCCTAAGATTAGGCAGGTTTGTCTGCCATAAGTGAAATTGTGCTCGCATTGAAAAATGTCATGTTGGCAGGTGGGAAGGCTGCAGTGACAATCCTATGTAAAGCAGAATTCACAGAGGAGCCTTATTTCTGCGGATTCATAAACTTCCCTGCAATTGTTGATTCAAACCAGCACAAATTAAAAGTCAACAAACTTTGTTTGTGGCTTGAATCATTGGTCTGAAAAGCTGAGCACGTCCTGATTCTCAGAGGAGCAAGCGGATCCCATTGCAATGACACTACTACTTCTGTTCTCACTTTGCATAAACAGTCGCTGATGCCAAAGACATCATGAGACTGTGCTAGGCAACCTGTGCAAAAATAAGAGTTCTCACACATTCTGCAACACAAATGGATGAACTGCATTTTGCAGTGTGTTCCAGGATGGCAATGTGTGCTTGTCTTGCAGTCACAGTTCATCTCCTTCCCCCCACCAGTTTGTTTATTATTCATTTGAAGCATTAATATCATTTCCTTTAACCAAAAAGGCGCCCAGAATGATTTAGGAATAGTTAATTTGCAAGCCTGGAGCAAGGATTGACAATCTCAGGACATTCAAGAGACGGGGAGGAGGTTTTTGCTAGCTGTTAAGTGGGCACAACGGAGGTTTGCCTGCCTTGTCTTCTTTCTTCCCTGTGGCCAGGGTAATAGTGGAAGTGGGAAATTGCAGTAAATGCCCCTCAGAATCTTTTGGGGCTTAGGACTGATAGAGATCTCTCTTCCTGCTCTTTTTCTTCATCTGGAACCAGAACAGTTAAGGCCTACTGAGACTGTGTGTCAAGTTTGCCAAATCTTGAAGCTTAAGCTGCTTAAAGATCAGGCTTTTTTTTTTTTTTTTTTTGGCAAGCAACTGAATCCCTGCTTCTTTCAGTTTTTAAAGCAGCAGCATTTCACCTTTTAGGAGAAGATTGGGCTATGTTCAGAGATCATTGTGGAACATGTTCCTGTTCCAAACAGTCTTGTAAACATGGCCTCCATGCTTACATGTCTGTTCCTTGTTACATGATGCATTTCTTTGTGATGTAGTCATTGCTCCAGCTATTACTTTAATAACAATGGATGTTTTCCAATATTTATTATTGCCTCTGTCACATCTCAGAACAGCAGTTGCTGTTTTAGAGCTGGAGGGGGGGGATATCCAAAGTCTCTCTCATTTTGTAGATGAAATTGAAAATGATCAGCATAACAGCAATTTATTGCAAATTTCCTAACCATCACCTGCTCCCTAATATCTGATTATATAGTGAGTGAGTTGTGAAAATAGCTGTCTGGAACGGAGTAGAACAATAATTCTTGAAAATGCAGTAAGAGGTCAATATGAATACAGTAATGTTGAATAAATGTTGAAACATCAAAATTCATCGTTGAGTGAAGGTCTGTGTTTGCTTTCAGTGTATGTTTATATTTTTAAAATGTTGTCTTTGTCAGGATATATACTGTAATTCATTGAAATAGGTAATTCTATCACAACTATTAATTAGCCTACTTGGCCATTGTGGAATTTCATCATTTATCTGTCACAGGTGGAGAGAGGCTAAATGTGACTGTGTGGCTTTTTGTAAGCATTTGATATGTTGCAAGGATGGACATATTGGTTCATGTTACCAGTTTTTTCCAGTGAGATGAGTAGAAATACACACAACCCTTTTCTCTGTTATAGTTGATTAAACAGAGTTTGGAGTAGGGTTTTTTAAATACTCAACCTATTTTAAAGGGAAAGCATATCTTAAAGGTACTGGTTTGAGCATTGGACTATCACTCTGAATTCTGGCAAATTTCCATGGAAATTTACTTGGTGGCCTCAAAGGAAGGCAAACATCCTCTGAACAAATCTTGCCAAGGAACCCCAGTGATAGGTTTGCCTTAGGGTCACACATAACAACAGTCACATGGGGGTGCACATTTTCTGGACCGTGCTGCGGAACAATTCATAGCCATATAGGTTATCTCCTTTCATGCCAGTTTCAGAGGCAGGAATTGTATGATATTTTTATGTAACTGTTGACATCTTCCCTTGCAGTAATAGAGCTTTTGAGGTCTCTCTTGTCAGTTCTATGAATCATCTCTTCCCCTGGTTTTTGTTTATTATCATCTTAGCTGCCATTGTTTAAAATGTTTTGCTCCTTACTGTGGAAAACACTTTCCTGTTTTTACTCCTTGTGTCCCTCCAGATTTCTATATGCTTCCAATGGCAGTGAGAACAGTACACAATACAAAAAAATATGACCAGCATCCTAGTGTGGACTGGAAAGTAGGAAGAGTAGGTTTTGTGAGTTTCATGGTTCCTTGGGTTATTGTCAATCTGACTCTTGTTGTGATGATCACATTGGAAAAAGGAGGGCTCTGATTCTTTCTTGTGCTCACTGGATAAAAGATGACACATATAAGTGTGTCAAATAAATGCACAATTAAACTTGGCAATATATGATGTTATACATGGTTTCAGTAATGGTGCTAACCTGTTCCGCTTTCAAAGCATCTTCACCTTTCTGAAAAAAAAGATTGTCAATTTCTGCTCCTAGTTAATTTTTAGATAAGAAACTTTTTGAGATCTTGCGTGAAGTGTGTTGTCATTCTTTAAGGAAGAACAAGATAGAGCTAATGAATAGATCGCAATCATGAAGTATAACGAGAATATAAAGTCCTCCTGCAGTTAGTCAGTGCTTGAAGCTTTTATTTTATTATTTCTTTATAATTTGCTTCTTCAAATGATCTCTGCAATTAGCAGTGATGACAGATTATCACAGGCATATTAACTGTCTAGCATCTTCTATAATGGAAATTCTTGCACAGAATTCATTCAGCTGCTCTGTGGTCTCCTTGTTCTAGCTATTTCACTCTTTTGTTAACTGATTTCCTGCTTATGATTTATTTTAAGAATTGTTGCATTTAGCATTTTTAAGTTCAACAATGTTTTTCAGATGTATTTTCTTCCTTTGGCTCTATTGTTAGCTTGCATTTACTATCTCAACTTTGTGCTCCTTTCTGTTCTCCTAAAGCAAAGTGTTAGGTTTTGGGGGTTTTTTTTGGAGGTCTCATTCTTTTCTTGTGTCTTAAACAACAGCTGAGGAAAAATTCGTTAGTTCATCACCATTTATTATTTATTGTAGTTGTATGCATTGACAATTTTAGTAATACAGTATTCGTGTAAAATTGGAGAGGCAATAAAAATTAACTTTCTCCTATACAAATTTATTTTTCCACACAATTCCTTTCTACCAAAACTACTCATTTCTCTGCCTTTTAAAATACAATGGTGCTTCCCCTCTGTCCCCCATCCCCTTTATTATCTTCCCCTATGTATTTGTAAAGGAAAGAGTTAACAGGATGAGCAAGCAAGAGAGCATCAGAGATACAGCATAATGTTCTTTGTCATTCTGTGGGCTGAAGGAGGAGGTTGTGGACAGTCCCTGAAAGTGCTTTAATGCGAACTGTCAGTGCTGTTAGAAGTTAATGATATAAAGATGAAGAGGCAAGCCGGAACAAATGCAGTTACTCTTTTTATGTAGCTGTTTGGTATTCATGGATGAAAAAAAGCAACTTAGCTTTCTCTTTTCATCTTTTTCCTGGAATAATCCCTTATATTTGTTTAGATAAGAGGGTTTTCTGAAATTATTTGTCTCATATACTCCCCCTCCCCAACGCCCCTCAGCTATCCATAAACAGGCAGACCATGCCTTTATCTTGTCCTGGTTGGATGCACAAATCCTCTTTATGTGCACTGCTGCTTGCCCCGTTGCCTAGACGATAACTTGCTTGCGCTGAAGATGTCTGGCTCTCGTAAAGAGTTCGATGTGAAGCAGATTTTAAAAATCCGATGGAAGTGGTTTGGTCACCAGCAATCTCCTCCTAATCCTAGCGGAGACTGCCACCCAGGAGATTTTTGGGACAAAGGACCGAACAAGACAACTGGAATAAAGTTTTTGGATCCAGGGAACCTGTCACTACCTTTTGCCTCAATTGGTTTCCAAAGGTCCAACCAGAAGAGTTTCCAGAATTCATCCTCTTGGCCAATGGCATTCAGCTCCGACGTGCCTGCATTTGAGCTCACCACAGAGGACGGTGGAGGTGCACACTGGCTTGAGGGAGCTGGTGCTGGGGAGGGACTCAGTGAAGAAGAAAATGTATCTGATAGCAGTTCATGCAGGTTGTTGCTTTCTTTTTGTAAGGAATTATTGGTGCCATATATTTTTGTCTGCAAGTGAAATGGCTTTGTGGGGAGGGGGGATCAATGCTCCATTGCAGTACTACAAAAATACTGACAGCTTCAGTTGAGCCAAAGCCTTGGAGAAATTATGAGCAGCAATATAGAAAAAATGATTGCTTGTATCAAAAGTATATCTGAGGAGAGCAGGAAAAATGGTTTTCTGTATCAGCTACAGGAAGCTCTGTCTTCTAGAGATATATTATGTATTCTGTATTTTAATTTGTTATGTTCTGTATTTTAATTTGTTATGTTGACCTATTTTCACAGCTTTCAGTACAAGCAGTATGTAAGTTGGAACAGGTATATTTTTAAAGTGTGACTCCAGCTACACACACACACACACGCACACATGCAAACTTTGGATAGCATAGAGAAGGGTTAACACCTCCTGGTGTTGGTTGTGCTGTCTGTGCTCCTGTTCAGAAGATTTCCCCTCATTTTCTGTCCCTGTGGTATTTGGATTTTGAAAAATTTGGCTTGGTGTGGGAATAAAGATTGGTGAAAAAGATTCAGCACAGACACCTTTTCCCCATGCTAACTCTTTCAGGAGTGAATTTCCCTTCATAGGGGTAGATTTCTTTCACTCCCTGTTTTCTCACTCCCATTCTTAACTATTAGCCATTTGTACGTCAGATGTTTGTAACTCGAGGACTGTCTGTACTTCTGATTTTGAATGAGAATGGAATTAAAATTTAAGGTCAGCGTGATGCTAAAATAGCTTCAGCGAGGTTGGGTTGAGAATATTTAGGTAGTAGAGAATATTTAACTGGGTCTGCCTTTGTCATATATCTAAATAATGCTTTACTGTGACATTATACAACTAAAGATTTTTTGGTTTTGGGTTTTAAAGGCAGCACTTGTAGTATTCACATTGAGTTGATGTGTAAGATTGGACTATAAATTTTTGTGTTATAGTAGTATTTTATAGTAGTTTTTTCCTTTATGTTTAAGAAAAGGTCAGGTTTTCTTTTATCACTTTTACATCACTGAGAGGGATTCTTCAAGGTGGTACTTTTTTGTTTCTCCTTAGAATTTTGGTGGTCAGTGGACCTCTTCTAAATCTTATCATGCAACTATGCACTGGATGTCAATGTGTATTCAGTTGGTTTTCTTTTTTGCTTGTGAAAAATGGTGCACCAAAGACAATGTGTTGGAAGAAAAAAACCCCACACTTTAGCATTTTACCTCTCCTTATGTGTCTATAATTGTTATGTAGAAAAATACACAGAAGCTGAAGGCGGGTTTTAAATCCCAACTGTTTGAATGAAAAGCATTTTTTTTAAAAAAAAAATCATTGAACTGTAAATTTATTCAACTGTGTAAATAATTAAGGGAGGTGACAGGAATAAATCACCTTAGGCTGTGTGGAATGCGGTTCATTTTAACATTTTCAGCAACATCTGTTCAGTGTTTGTACAAAGCATTTCCAGTACTGCACAAATTTATGTTGAAGATATCAAATGAACGTTGTAAAGAACAAATTAAGTCCTGCAGAGGTGTTCCTCTGGAGCTCAAAACAGTAAAGTACAGCAATTTTGTTTTCTTGGTAATCAGAATTCCCAGAGAGTGATTCTTCAAGGGAAAATGACAGTATTTAAATCAAGGGGGAAAAGGGTATTAACGTACATATGTTGGTAGATATGGCTGGAGTGACAACATAACTACACATGCATACATATTATAGCAGATACAATCCTACTGTTGTATATATGACACAAAGTTTATCCACAATGGAAGAAGAGGTATGGAGCTATTTGTGTATGCAAGCAGGTCATTCATCTCCTGTTGTTTTTACAACAACATAGCAGACGCTGTAGAAACCCACACCCCTCTTAGCAGGATAGCCATCCCTACAAACCACAGTAAAGTTCAAGTTCATAGATTTGTCCATAAACTGAAAATGCCCGGTATCTGGCAAGAGAGATAGAGGTGTTATCTACCTGTCTGAGGGTGAGACAGGATTGCTTCAACTTTTGCAGGCATTTGTGAAGCTGAGAAGAGACAGTTGAATAGAAAAATAAATTCAAGAGGTAGGACCTGAAAGTTTCAATTTAAAACAACTGTTTCTCCTGTGTCCTTGACACAGAGTTCATTTGTTTGGCTAAGGGCTTTCAGGTTTCTCCACTACTGATACTTTTGGCTTGGGGACCAGTAACTAAGTACCTATTATTTGTAAGGACTCAAATAAGGGGGACTAATATATATGATTTTAGTCAGATGGGACTAATATATATGATTTCACATTTGTACTGTATTTCTTTTCCTCTTTCCCTTTGTTTTCTGTATGTCAGAGAGGATTTGGAACTGAGGGATCAAAATTGCGAACTTTCTTAGAAACAAACCATAATATATTTAATATTGTTGATGTCAAAGACTTTAGAATCATAGAATCATAGAGTTGAAAGAGACTCTATGGGCCATCTAGTCCAACCCCCTGCCAAGAAGCAGGAAAATCGCACTCAAAGCACCCCAACTCAAAACCATGAATTTTGGGAAGAGATGGGCTACTTTTAAAAATTCTAGCATCGTTCGATGGTATGTGTCTTATGCAATTTCCTTTCTACAGGAGTAATTCTTGAATATTATAGAAACTGAATATAGATTTCTCTTGTGCCTGTGTAATTCATTGCCATAAAAATAGAAATTATCTTTACGACCTTGGATCTCCTTCACTATGTAAAATCCCATGTTTCCCATCATTCTAAGCAATGCAGATATCTCTCATAGAATTTAGGGAATAATTATTTTAGAATATATGAGTCATAAAGATGAAATATAAGCAAAATTGTTGTATATTTTGTCATATTTTCATCAGTGTTTAAAATTTATTTCTCCTAAGCATCTGATGAAATATTAAATAGTCTAGTTTGACAAGGAACCAGTGCAAGAAAAACTGTTTAAAGCCCTGTTTGTTTTTGAGATAAATTCCTCACCAACATCTTTTTTCCAGAAATGTTTGTGTATAGTGCCACCTTTTGTAGATATGTTTTAATTGTCCTCCTTTACTGTTGTTTGCAAGGCATAAAAGATAGCAAGGCCGTTCCAACCATGTTATTTTACTTCTCTTTTTATATTCCTTAGTCTGGTAGGAGTTGACAGTTGAATATGACTGTATTTGTTATGCAGAGGTACTTGAAATCTACTACAGATTTCATATAAGACAGTTGCGATTTAACTAGCTGGCATATTGTATCAATTCTGTAAGATAACAGTTTATATTCGTCGCAAGTAGCTGTTTGTGCTTTAGCTACTAAAATAGAGGATAAGAAGGTGTCAGTATACTTCAGTTAATGAAGTAGATGTCTTCCTGGACATTACTTCCTTGGTATCAGAGATGAAAGAAATTGAAATAATAGGAATAGGTTCCTATAGGTCCATAAAATAACAGTATATTGTGTTCCACCAAAGTTTCAATTTAAAACTAACAATGTGCACACGGGAAATGAAATACAGCCCATTCAGGTGAGCTTTTCATAAGCAGACTACATGAAAGCTTCTTTCAAAATGAATCCAGAGATTATTTTTAATTTCACCAGCCTCTGTTTGTATTATGAATTCTATTTTGATGGTCAAACCTATAAAAGTATGCTTTTCTTTCTATTGGGGGGTATTTGGTGAGGCAGGCTAATTCACTTTCCCCCTTTCTCTCTGTTGTTCCCAAATGCATGGAAAGAGATTCTAAAGGGAGCTGCAAATCCTTTGCCTGTTATAAGAAGGCACATACAACGAAAGTAAGGTAGATCGGTTGAGGTATATCACATTGTTTTCTACCTCAAGCCTTACTGCAGTACTTACTGCGGACATGTTCCAGCAACCTGACAGCCAATACTGTTTATAATCTAGATATTTATTAATTTTTCAGCAATAAAAATATTATTTTACAATTTGTCAAGACAATAACTAAATTTTTCTTAGCAATTTGTTTCCACAACAAGGCACATTTTTAAAAATCCAGTTATCATAAGGACAGAAAATGAGGTTGAAATCTTCTGAACAGGATCACAGACAGCAAAACAAACACCACATCTGTTGCTTGTGCTATCCAAAGCTCTCTCTTGCTCTCTCTTTCTCTCTGGCTGGAGTTACACTTTAAAAATGTACCTGTTCCAACTTACATACACATTCAACTTAAGAACAAACCTACAGAACCTACCTTGTTCATAACTTGGTGACTGTTTGTATTACTTATATCACTATATACATTAATTTAAACTAGTTTTATCCACCCACCCCACTGAAAAACAATAATGAAAATTGTAGTAAAAAAGTTAATATTCTAATATTTTAAGAGTTCCAGCTAGAAGAAAAGAAAAATATCTTTTTTATTAACAGAGGCATTTTTGCATTTTGAACATTTTATAAAAATAGAAAATTCAAACATGTTAATTATCTGAACGTTTACTCTTTTCAACAACAGAGCTCATAAAATGATAGTTACCTATTGCACTTCTGTGCACTTCCATTTGGGTAGATGTGCATTGTAGTGTAGGATGCACTAATGGAAAAAAACTGTAGTGGGAATGTTTCATTCTGTGCAGTGGTTTCAGCTTTTATTGTTGTAGATGATTTAGGCACCTTACTTCAGTTTAGTGCAAAGACTTGCCAGCCTTCAATCTGAAATATTTTATCTGGAAAAATGTACTTCCTACCTGAGTAAATATATCAATTCTGATTGTGAATTCCTGGTAAACTGGAGTCTCCATATATGATATATCTGTCTGCATCTTGTGGGCAATTAATATGGTTATTCATTGCCCACATATGTCATAGAACAGAATACTACAATTTGGCTTTATGAAAATGACCCTCCTTGTCTACAGAGTTTCTTTTTCTCCTTCTTCCATAGCCTCTGGTTTATTATGTAGATGATTGCAATACAGCAGTTTGCCATTGCATCTATACAGAAAATTACAGTATGCGCTGGCCACCAAATGTGTCAACAAATCAACTTTTTATACTGGTTTGCAAAATTTGAAGGCCAAATGTAAACCATAGTTTGTCTGTTCAGGTGCTGTATGAGACTAGTTTGCTACAAAGCAGATAAGAGGCAAAAAAAGAGAGAGAAAACAAGCAAAAAACCTCTTTGCAGCAGAAGTTAGCCATTATTAGATCCACGAGGTATAAGCCAAGTCACTGTGACCTTCTCAAAGCTATTCATTACTGTTTCAGGTATTGAGCATTTATCTAGTGTCCTGCTCAAGTGCCGGAGAGCTTATTAAATCATTTTATAGAAAGTGCCGAAACTCCAGCTAGACCTTAGCATTTGATGAAGTTTAAGAAAGAATTGCAGTCCTCTTGGATGGATCCCTGAGCAGGAGTGGTTGAATGGGGCAGAAATATCCCTTTATCAACCGAGATTATTTCCATCAACAGGGAACCAGATTTTCTACAAAAGCTACTTGTCCTCTATTAGAAAGTTTCTCAGTTACAGCAATAAGGGCTAGAACGGAGTAATCTAGATAGGTAGTCAGGAGTGCCACTATCTGGTTTCAAAGCCTTCACACACAGAGAGCCAAGCACAGTCCAAGATTGAAAAAATCTCTCATTCCAATCTTTGAGAAAAAGAAGAGGGAATTGTAGAACCACCAGAAAAGAAAAGGGGAAGAGACACTTCCTATTTCCTGCTCTTTCTAGTGTGAGTGGAATGGATGTTTAGAAGTGATGGACTATCTGCCAAGAAAATTCCAAGTGCATCCAAACTTACGATTACTCTGCCCCCATGTCCTAGTGTCGATGAAAGCAACACACTCTTTCAACTACCCACTTCTGAGGCATACATTTCACAAAGGTATGTTTCGGAGTGAAAGGTCAATGTCTCCTTCTGCTACAGAGGGAAAGGATAGTGCAGTTATTCCAAATGTGTAGATGGAATCGAGTGAAAAAGCATTTTCATCATGGGGGGCAGCAGCTGAAGACTAGCTGGTTCACTAAGATGATGAGGGATTGTTTGAGTGCCCACCCCAAATGCATGTAATAGCAGTGGTTTTATATTAAGTTGTTCTGCTAGGTGAAGTGTAGACCAGAAAGTTCAGAATCTGGTAACACTTGATAGACTTTTCCATTAAAGTTAGTTGGATATATCCCTGTTAGTTTGCTAGATAAAGCAAAATTAATAGATTGTATTGGGGAAACACTGACCTTGTAGCCCTCCTGGATATCATTAGTGTGTTCTGTTGTGATGACCTTCCCTTTGCTTTAACATATGCCCTGGCCTTGGGCAAATGTCAACAAATTTTTAGTTATCATATCAACTGAACAACAGCTATTTCCCATTTTATATCATTACTCGGATATAAAGCTTTGTGGAAAGACCTTTTTCAGGTGAATTAGTCAAGAAGGTTGTATGTATTAAACCCAGTTTGCACCCTAGAGCCTGGATCCAAAGAAGCGTTCAAGGACCCTTGCTTGGTTTCTTTGTCTCAATTCTGAGTTGAAACAGATATATTGACAAAGTTGCACTGCACTTGTGCAGAGGCTAAGACTAAAACTTGGAAACTAAAAGTTGGAAGCTGTGTGCAGAAAACTGATTTACAATGCTGTCTACCTATCCTACTTCAGCTGCATGGGCATTTGTTTATGAGTGATGTAGTACAGTAGATAAGGAATATCAGCTTGGATTAATTTCTTTAACCTTTGTTACATTCTGAAAGAAAAGCAGGTCTCTTTAGAATAGATAGAAAGATAGATATGATATTCATTACTGGATGAAAACTAATTCTGACTCATTATTACTGTTTCTAGAAGCTTGTATTCCTGTGTAAGGTATGAAGATGCCTCACAAACACAATCTGTAGAAACTTTGCAGTCATTAAGTCATCTGCTGCTTCATTTCTAGCTGGTGTTGGTTGGAAGATAAGCTAGAGGTCACTTCTGCTTTCCTTCTACCATTCATCCATACATCATGTTAATAGCCTGTTAATTTTGAAACCTAATTATGATCACATAAATGCCAGAGCCATTAATTGCATTTTTGCTGAGCAATTAACCACTTTCCCAGGCACAAAATGTTCATTAGCATGATGATCCATTTGATGGAGTTGGGATGTTTGGAGCTTGTAAAATGATACTCATTGTTTGGATTTAGTTGCATTTTGTATAGTCTAGTCAGCAAATTGATAAAAATATATACTGGAGTACAGAAAAGTCTCAGTCTAGATATACAAACTAAAATATTGTCACCATACTTTTAAACACTTTTTAAAAAAACCTCTTGCTTCTTTGTTTGTTGTATTTATATACTACCCAATAACAAAGGATGTCTGGGCATTTAACACAATAAAACATCTTATAAACGACAATAATCATATAATACCCTAAGCTTTATTAAAACTATTAATAAAATATCTAAAAACGTGCAGGTTTGTGGTATATAGACTTTGTTTAAAAAATTGGGAAAATCACACTCAAATTCAAGAGAAGAACACAAAATACATTTTTAAATGTGTTGCATTGATTTACAGCTCAGGTTATAATTTGACCTATAATATTGTGTTATAACTCCACATTATACAGTGCTTTTACTCAGTAATGCGTGGAAATGAAACAAATCATACAGACATTGTAGATTGCAGAAGAGATTACTATGTAGGCAGTTGCTACTGAGAATGCCAAACATATTAGGCTTTAAAACCCTTTTTGCATTACATTCACTGTTAATTGAGTATCCAGTGTGAGAGGAAACTGAAACTGTTTGGGATTCATTACATGTTGAAAATGCATAGAAGCGAGTTAATATTCTATTTTTCTAATGTGCATACATTTTTATTTTTGTGTTCTACCTTCCTCCAATGTAACAAAGGTGACATATATGGCTTTCTCCTTTGATTTTGTCCTCATAACAATCATGAGAGAAAGTGACTGCCTCAGAACCATCCAGAGGGTTTCATGTCCAAATAGAAATTTAATGCTTTCAAATAAACATTTGTGTACATATTTTCATATTTTTAAAATTCAAAACTGTTATGACAACTTTGAAATGTGTATATATTTTCCTTCCAGGACGTCCAACAGCAGCCAGACTCTGGCGTCTTGTCATACTATGGAACCCTGCACATCTGATGAATTTTTTCAAGCCCTCAATCATGCAGAACAGACTTTTAAAAAGATGGAAAATTACCTGAGACACAAACAGTTGTGTGATGTGGTATTAGTTGCTGGTGATCGCCGCATTCCTGCACACAGGTAAATATGTATGTAGTTCTCTAAAATGAAAAAGAACTGAATTTTCTTCTTCCTGGTTTTTTAAACATTGTGCCTGTGAGTTTGCACACCTGTCCAGAGCAAGCTTAGAATTTGACGATAGTCTTCATCTACTCTCATAAAGGCATGTGTGAGATATCTTCTTTTCACTTCTTTATCTGCAACAGTAGTAGGAACTCTAAAAGAACCTCTCTAGAATTAGCTGCTCTCTTCCTTATTGTGCTTCTTTCATTTTTATCAGTTTTTACTTTGCTGAAAATTTTATTGACGATAAAGAGATTGCTTGTCCCAGAGGCTTGTAACCTTACCCGTCCTCTTCAAACAATGCGTTGTTTAACATTCAAAAGTCTCTCTGGCTGACAACTATGATAAATGTCTGTTATACTTTGGGAGACTCAGAAATCTGGCAAATGTAAGATTTGCCTTAGCTTTACTTGGGGAGTGTAAAGATTCAGTCCATGGAAACATGTGTAACTATAGTGGTACTAACAATTTCTAAATCAACCAGGATGCTTAATGCTCGGTTGTGGGCAAAAGGATTGACAAGTTTGTACCAAGGCCTTCAGTATCCATGACAACATCACAATAATCATTTGACACATTCCTTAACAAACCTTGAAAAGAGGCTCACAAGAGTAAAAGAGCCCAGAAAGAAAAAGAAACCAAATCAACATTTATTTTAGTCATAGAGCAGTGTGCAAGAAAAAAAGGAAATACTTTGATATTTTATTGAAGTTCCATTGCTTTCCATATTTACAGTCTCTCCTTCAGACATTTTTAATACAAAATGTTCACCTGTGGAACTAAGTGGTAGCCCAGGCATTCAGGTTCTCAGCTCAGGGAAAAGTGTGCTCTTAATTCAGTACAGTGCCTATGTTGCATCCCAAGTCACCATCCATCTGCTTCTCATCCGAGAATTGTACTCATCCTGGTAAGACATCTTTTTAAATTTCAAAGCATCACTCTGAGAAGTGACACTATCAATATTTACTGACTGTATCATTTGAATAAGTTATAAGCATTTTCAGGTACATAATCTTCTGCCATTACATACTCTGCTGAAGTCCAGGAATCTTACACAACTTGCTTATTTTACCAGAAATTGTTTCAAAGACAGAAATGCTCAGTGTCTCACTCCTCTCTCTGGTCATAATGGATCCCTGTTGCAGAGTCCAGGCTCTGGGTCAACCTCTGATCTAAAAATTGATTGGCGGTCAAATCGCCCAGTGCTTTCTCTGCTTCTTTTTGTTTAGGCCTATCTTAATACTCCTCTGATGAGGAAGAGGACCCAACAGAGTAATGCATCACACCTTCTTACCTTGTGGCAATTGACCATCTCTGCATCGGTGTGACTGTTCTGAGCAGCCTACATCCTTGTAGAATTATGGTCATAAGTCCCACCATAAATACTCTCCTCATGGAGCTTCATCTCATTATCAGTTATGGCCTCCATGGCTTTGCATTTCACTTTCCCAGAAAACCTTTCAAATAATTCCATCTGTTGTGGTCCATTTGAGAAATTTACCTAAGTACCTACTCTGATTTCAGTGGCAAGGAGCACATTTGAGGCCACAAAATGTGTGTTGGCAAGTGTAACAGTAAGGCATAACCCGCACATTCACATAGAACAATAAAAAATTAGAAAGATCAGCTTTAAAATGGAATAATCATAAAGTTGTAGCAAGGAAGCACAAAGCACAGAGTGAAGAGGCAGAAGCATCTTTCTTCATACGGTACACATTCCAGCCTCCCTCCCCTCCTCTCTTGCTTCCTCTCTCTTCACAAAGCCAAACATACCATGAAATATAAAGCAAACAAAATCAGCTAACCCAAAGTTCCTCAAAGTGGACAAGAGCAAAGTGGACAGCAATCTCCCAAAGTGGAGAAGAGTATGAGACACAGAGGCCGCTTCCTTGAAGCCCTAAAATCTTGTACTCTGGACTAGTGCTCCTTCTGGTGCTTGCTCTTAACTCAGAATGCTGCTCTTATGTCAAAGCAAACCCTTGGCTGAGTAACAGCACTTAACTCAAAATGCTCTTAAGTTGGGATGCTCTTAAGTAGAAGTTCCAGTGTAAATTCATAATTGCAGTTACCAGGTAGCAGTTTACCTTGTAGAAAAAGAAAAAGAAAGAATATGTATAGAACAAGTGGATGATAAATTCGGTTCTGCAAGAATCCCCAAGGTAGACCTATTTGCTTCACAAGTGACAAGGCAGTTACTATTCCACTGCAGCAAAAAAGGAGTGTGGCATGGGGAATGCTTTTCTTTTTCTCTGGGAAAAATAGCTTTACCTTTTGCAAGATAATCTTATTGGCACAGTTGAACTGCAAGTTGCTAATCAGGAAGAATTCGATTGCTTTCTCTGTACTATCCATCATGTTTCCCTTTTCATGCAGTTTTATAGCCAAGGGGGTTGCCTTTCTGATTAAAGTATATTCAGCAGCAGTTACTGCATTTATTTCTTCAGCGGGATTTTAATCTCATTATTTTCATTGGCTGATGGTTTTCTGCAAGATATTCAGAATCTATATGAGACCTACCATGATGCAGTGATTTGAGTATAGGGCTATAAACTCTGGAGATCAGTCGCCATAAGTCAGAAACAACTTAAAGGCATCCAAAAACAATTCAGAATCTATACCCATGTGTTCTGAAAATGCCTCCTCCTCGGAGTTTGTGGATGTCCCCCCTCCAACTCCATTAGCCAATCTACCTTTTAAGCCATTATCCACGGCTTTTTACAGCTATTTATACTTTGCAGTTGTCTGTTTTGGTTGTTCTGAAGCCACAGGTTATAATAGCGCACTAATTGTTGATTCAGTTTTGCTCAATGCGGTATCTGCTTTCCATTTTTCTCCTTTTGAAACTAATCTTCTAACTCTGAAACATTTTTTACATTCAGCGGATATACCTGGAGTAGAATTTTATGTCAGCCACAGTGCTACTTAAGCAGCCGAAGAGACTGTTTGTGTGCCCTTCAGGAACTAAGAAGTCAGTGCTTCATAAAATTAGGCCATAGAAACTATGGTAATGTTTTATATGTCACCTCATGAACATATTCACAACTATTCAGCATGAGTGGTAGCAGCTTCTTTGGCATTTTTAAAGTTAATCTGTTCTAGTCTTAAGCAGAATAGTTATGTAGATTCAGCACTTTGTGTTTATTAAGCACTATAGTATAAGGATACAAGGTGATGTTTCTTTGGGTAAAACAGAGTTATCATCAGTAGTGTCATGATGTTCCACCTGACAATCTCACCATGGGTAAGCTTGCAACTCTTTTTCCACAAAGATCATAAAGCCGAAAAACTGATCATGTATCTGAAACTATTGTTTTTCAAGTGATCATTGGCGTATTCACGCAACCTACACATTCTTCCTTCAGTACATCTTCTTTCTATCACTCTGTTGTCCATTCATGCGAACTGAAGAGGTGATATTTCACACAGGTGCCTAAAAGGAGACGAAAGAGGCTAATTCCAAATTCAAAGCTTTCTGGGAGATTCCGAGCAATTGCTCTATGCAAGTGTACTGCCTCATAGGTGTAAATGCAATGATAAAGAACAGAAGTTCAAATAAGTAACTTGGGTTTGTTTGTTTTTGAAAGAGTATCTATACACAACCCCCCTGCAATATATGTAGTATTTCCAAGTCACAGTTTGACAGATCATTCCGTCTGTTTCCAATATTCAACCCCTGGTATTGTTTACATAGCTAAATTAGTACTGTCCAGGCACAGGAAGGAGTTATTTGCAATGCTGATGCTTATAGAAGTCTAGTAGTAGTAATAGTAATAATAATAATATATTCAATTTTCTTTCATCTCCAGTCAGTTCTTTTGGAAAGTGTTTCTTGCCAGTTTGGCAGTTTGATTCACTTGGTAGTTTTCTGTTTGTTCTTTAAAATTGGAAAATTGGAAAGATTCAAACTGAGAAATACTGTTTCATAGACTCAGTAATGAAACAGTTGATGAAATTTAAATTAGGTTTGCTTCAAGAGAAAACAGTAAGTAGATAAAACAAGTCAAATTTACCTCCTTTTCAGATTGGTGTTGTCATCTGTCTCAGACTACTTTGCAGCCATGTTTACTAATGACGTAAGAGAGGCAAGACAAGAAGAAATAAAAATGGAAGGCGTGGAGCCAAATGCACTCTGGGCTTTGGTGCAATATGCATACACAGGTAATGAAAGTGGCTGGTAAAGTTATCTAGTTCATATATTAAGTTACTTTTAAACTACATCATGGTACGCAGAGGTTGAGTAGTATTTCTTAGGTGCAATGTGGAGACCTTCCTCACCTCTTTTTTGCATGGTTTAATCTCATCTTCACATATTAATATTTCTTGTCATATTAATAATAATATTATTCTCTGCACAAAGGAAACTGAAAAGTGGCTTACATTTAAAGCATTTTCAAATACGTTTACTTCTTGGGAGGAGAGCAGTGACATCACAATGGCAACGAAGATCAACATAGTGAAAGTAATGGTTTTCTCTGTAGTATCCTATGGATGCGAGAGCTGGATCATAAGGAAGGCTGAGTGAAGGTAGATAGACACTTTTGAATTGTGGTGCTGGAGGAAAATTTTGAAAGTGCCTTGGACCACAAGAAGATCAAATAGCCCATACTACAGGAAATTATGCCTAATTGCTCACTGGAGGGAAGGATATTCGGGGCAAAGATGAAGTACTTTAGTCACATAATGAGAAGACAGGAAAGCTTAGGGAAGATAATGATGCTGGGGAAAATGGAAGGAAAAAGGAAGAGGGGCCAACCAAGAGCAAGATGGATGGATGGTATCCTTGAAGTGACTGGCTTGACTTTAAAGGAGCTGGGGGTGGCGATGGCCAATGGAGCTCTGGAGTGGGCTGGTCCATGAAGTCACAAAGAGTCGGAAATGACTGAACAAATGAACAACAACAAATATCAATGATATTTAAAGATTCACCTGAACTAACTGCAGCTGGAGTGCGTAACAACAACAACAACAACAACAACAACAACAACAAACCCTGGCTGAATGTGTGATAATGTTTCTGCACAATGAGATAAGAATGGGCTTCCCATTAGCCTCTTTGTTTACTTCATTTGAACATATTCTCCAATGTTGTTGGATGAACTAATGGATATAAATAACTTTTACAGAAGCCAAGATATGATACTGTATTATCTGGCTTGTGTATAATTTCAAGTTATTAACCATGATTCCTTGCTTTGGACTTAACACGAAACTGTAGTTATGACTTGCCGGCTTGCTTAAAGGTTCTTATAAAGAAAAGTATGCAAATGCAGATGACAAGGTTCCTTGATAGTTTAACTTATATACTTACCTTTTTATCTTTGTATTTTTTTATTCCCACTAAGGGAGATGGGACGGCTTGTGTAGAAGTCATTATAAAAAATAAGAACGGTATTCTTTAAAAACAGACTCTGGCAAATTCAAAAGCCAAAACTTTTAATCTTATCTGAACACATCTTCTGTAAGTAGCTGCATTTTATGGACTATTAGGAAACAGTATTAAAATGAAACTTCATGTTATATGAATCTATACAGCATTTGGAATACTGGCCACATTTCAGATTACTCCATCTCAAAAAAGATGTTGTACAGTTGAAAAAGGTACAGAAAGTCATAAGCAAAATGGGCAAGGATTGTGCTCAAGGCAAGAAGAATATGAAGGAGGAACAGAGCGGAATTTAAGATGAATACAACTATTTTAGATCCAAATTATCTTACATGTGGACGTGCAGGAATTACAAGGGATCTGACATCTTTTCTAGAGTAAGAACTTTAAAAAAGTTGATGACTAAAACTGCAGATCTTTGAGCAGTTCCTGCCTAGATGGTGCAAGTGTTACGTTAGTCTGCAAAAATAAGATTGTCCATGATTTCCATCCCTCACATCACTTTAAGGAAAAACTCAAAGTGATGTCCTTGGTGATCATGCCCCATTATCCAGGCCCCAATTGTAAGCAACTAACTGTAGAAAAGAAACATGTGTTTTAAAGTTACCTGTCAACTTCAGTGGGACCTCTCATGAGAATAAGGAACATGGAAAGTGGGCAGTTAAGGCAGCAGTGACACCTTTTCCAGTCCTTTCATCTCACTTGCATGACACAGATAATGCAGATTAGTTGATCGTTAGGCCAATTCATGCCTTCAGAATGCTTTCTCTCTTTCAACATTTCCTCTTCTGAGAATCCTGTCTCTGCTTCCTTCCCTGGAACCCCAATCGTTGGAATTTCTTTCCTATAAATTGTATATTTTAGTAATGAGTGTAAAAGAGAGGAGGTTGGATCCAGACTAGGCTCGCTGCACATGATTCCTACTGAAATCCATAGCAGTTTAGTCATGGGTGTCTTCCTTTTGATTTCGGTGGTCTAAAAAGTAACTTTTCATGTCCAGAAAGAATGGGCTCATAATTGCCATGTGCATTGGGATAAAGAAAAAGCAGAAGAAAAGAGATGTATGTTATATTCATTCCAAACTTGTAGTCTTCCTAGAAAGATTTTTTTTTTGTTATATCCTTGGAAATGGGAGACCAGGGTGAATGGGTCCTTGATCTGATCTAATTGGAGTCTTCTTATTATAGTATTATTTTCTGAAAAGTCATCTTTTTTAACTACTTTAGGTCGCCTTGAATTAAAGGAAGATAATATTGAGTGCCTGCTGTCTACAGCTTGTATTCTCCAGCTCTCTCAGGTTGTAGAAGCTTGCTGTAAGTTCCTAATGAAACAACTTCATCCGTCAAATTGCCTTGGAATCCGCTCCTTTGCTGATGCGCAGGGTTGCACAGATCTGCACAAAGTGGCTCACAATTACACAATGGTAGGTTGTTTTAACATGTACTTCCAGTCTGTTTATTCAGGTCCTTTTTTCGTATCAGGGGTTCCAGAAGAGAGGATACACATCTTTTTGTGTATAACAGATGCTAGTTTTTAGGAATTATGTACTTTGTGGCACATCTGGCTGGTAGTTAGCTGCATTAAGATCACTACTGACAGAAAGGTCATGAGTTCGAAGCCAGCCCAGGTCGGAGTGAGCTTCCGATCATTCTGTGTAGCTTGCTGTCGATCTTTGCAACGCGAAAGACAGTTACATCAGTCAAGTAGGAAATTTAGGTACCACTTATGCGTGGAGGCTAATTTAACTAATTTATGACGGCATAAAAAATATCCAGCAAGCAAACAAGCAAAGAATGAGGAAGTATTCCATCAGTGTCTCAAATGGACTGTGAAGCGACAGCTCCCCTGGTGGCCAGAATACCCTCATGAAAGCTGGAAAGTCTGTGTGTCTGTCTATATATGTTGTGTGTCTATGGCATTGAATATTTGCCATATATATGTACATTGTAATCCGCCCTGAGTCCCTTGCAGGGTGAGAAGGGTGGGATATAAATACTGTAAATAAATAAATAAATAAATCTGGGGACCCACAGGTTGAGAACCACTGATCTGGAGAGACCATATTTCCTTATATGATCCTGCCTGAGCTGTAATATCTGTAGTAGAGGCCCTCTCTTGGTCCTAACATTGTCATAGTCAAATTCCATTAGGATACAAAAGAGAGCATTTTTAGTGGGTGGTCCCAAGTTCAGGAACATCCTTTCTTTGGGAGATTTGATTGGTCCCTTCCTTCTGTCTTTTCATCAGCAGGTAAAGAGGGTTTTTTTAAAATGTAGGGAGGTATATGATACATTATGCCAGTTTTCAGTGATTTTTTCATTAGAAAACTGGCAAAGTGAATACAAAACCTGCCACAGATATTGTTATTTAGTTTCGCTAGCCTCAGATTCCCCATCCTCAAACCAAAAAGGCAAAAATCAGCCAAACCAGAAGTCCAAAGAGTCCGGGACATAATGTTACTTCTAGTGCACCCAAATACCCCTCCGGAGTTACCCACCCCTAGTCTAGGCCTCATTGCTGGCCCGACAGTCCCCTTATCCCTCACTCTTTATGGTTAGGGCTGATGAGAGCTACACTCCAGCAACATTTGAGAGGCAATATATTATTGATTTCGGGCACACACAAACAATTAGAATATAAAAAAAAACCTAATCATTATACTACTGTGCTAAAACTTTCATTTCAGTAGTTTTCCCAGGCAAAGCATCCATTCTGTTCTTCCCGCTGGTTCCCGGCCATATATCTCATCACTTTTGTATATTACTGATGCCTCATTTCCCCCTCTATTAACCACTTGAGAAATGTCTGCCAATAGCTCCTTAAAGATGTGGTCATCAAAATCACTTCCCCAAAGCTACTGATACTGAAATAAAACAGTGACACCATTCTAGTCTTTAATAGTTTGATATGAATAAAATTTAAATTAGATGAATTTCAAAATGCTATTTTTTGACTAATTGGTTGTGGTAAATGAAGTCTTCCCATGGCCTCTTTTTTATATTGCTTAGTTCCAACAGAGACATGAAATTGAATTTTAGTAATAATGAGTAATATGGAAGAATCTACTTTGGTTTTGAAACGGATGTTACCATGGAAACAGGAGAGAAACGTGTATTCCAATTGAATCTTCAATTAGAATAAATCCCATCTAATTTCATTTGCTTAAAAGCTGCTTGAAAGTAAGAGAAATGTTAACATTAAAACGGTGGCCATTTGATGTTCATTCTTTAAAAATGCTGTAATATGACTTCAGGGTACCTATACAACAATTAAACTCTGTCGCTTATTAAAAACTGAATTATGTGTTCAGCTGCAAATGGAGGCAAGTTCAGAACAAGCTCAAATGTTGCACATTTGTGCATCCCTGCATTATGTTGCTTCTTTTGAAGGCTTTTAAAATAGGGATGTAATTAATACTAAACTGTATAGTCAGTTCAACCTTGTGTTCACAGTTTTAGTTTCAGTCTTATTAAGCTAGTTTATTCTAGAGGACAAGACCTGGAAACTGTGTTGAACCATAGGGCCACATTCATGTTCAGAACAGTACTTAGGGCTCCCATTCCAGTACTGGACAGGGCCAGAGACCAAACAATAGAACAGTCCAGTGTATTTATGCTTAAATATTTTATTTCCAGTACTGAAGCTAAGAAGAAGAATTCAAACATTTAGGAAGGAGAAAAATCATACAAAATTTGGGAAACAATCAAACGCTAGTGCTAGGAAGAAAGGGCATGACCCTGTTGGACATCCATCAGAATGGGATTTGGTCCCAAGGCCTGAAAGTTCATACTTTTGGTGTAGGAGTTTGAAATACCTGTGTTTAAAGTACCAATTGTCTTTAAAAGTATAGTAGGTCTCCATATTATGTGAGGAATCTCTTCTGGGATTCTTCAGGTCATACAGTTTTTTGTGCAGTCTGGAACCCTATCTTTCATAGATGAAATGTCTTGGGATTCTGGCCAAAGAATACCATAGAATAGCTCTGGAGGACATAGAAAATGTCCAAGGAGGTATTTTATGTAAGTCTCCAGTGTGATTTTATGTGGGGTTCTTTTGTGTCAGCTGAGAAACTGCAAGTCGCCTCTGGTGTGAGAGAATTGGCCATCTGCAAGGACGCCCAGGGGATGCCCAGATGTTTTACCATCCTGTGGGAGACTTCTCTCATGTACCTACATGAGAAGCTAGAGCTGACAGACAGGAGCTAACCTCGCTCCCCGCATTCAAACTACTGACCTTTTGGTCAGCAGTCCTGCTGGCACAAGGGTTGGTTTATCCCTTAATATTTTATTCCCAGTATTGAAGCCCCCCCCCCCCCCTACTGGGAGCTCCATGATTTTATGGTAAACTACTGGCAGAACTTCCGATAAAGGTTGACCATAGAAACCTAGCAAGAACTTTTCTCGAAGATTTTTTTGAGGTCCTCCAAAGTGACCTTATCATGTTAAATGCTTTACAGGTATAAATGAATCTATTTTCAACAAGACCATGCAATAAGCGGAACGATTGTATCTGCTTTTCAGACGTAATAGTCTTTTTGATGAGTTCAAACTTTTGTGTGTGTGTGTCAGGAGTGACTTGAGAAACTGCACTGCCATATTTAATTTTAAATTCAAACAGCTCTATGTTCATGTTTCACTGGATCCGAGTACTCTGAGTTTAATAGCTGTGCTATAATTTGAAAGGATTCCCAAAAACAAACTGAGGAGTTTCTTTGCATGGTTTTGTTTCATATAGGACTTGAAGGACCACTAAGTACCGTCAGCTTACAAATAAATATAACTACAGTATTTATGATAAATACTATATGATAAGTTTTTCTTACAATGAGTGGTTTTAAGAAATAAGATTTACTTGTGATATTTTCAGAATGCAGGAACTAGCAAGAGCAGAACAAATTCCACAAAATGGGGCCTATGTGCTCGTGGAGTTCATAAATGTTTCGAAGTTTCGTTTTTCTTGAAATAAAATTCAGGGACACTTTTAGGGTTCTATGAGCAAAGAGTAAACATCCCAACCTTATCCATTTTTGTTCTGTTTCACAAATTTCTTATATTTTTATTATTCCTTTGCATTAGCAAAAGTAGAGCTGCTGCCATGTGTGATTAATGTGCATTACATTTTTTATTGTGAGGTACCTCCTACACAGAAGATATTTGGGGCAGAAAAATGATGTTCATAAGGGGAAACACTTGTATGTGAAACATCCCTGAAAAATGTGCTAGATTCATGTATTACAGTTTTCTGAATTCCTCTGCCTCTTATTCTTTTCTGTGTCTCTTTCTCTGGTAAAGCAAAGCATTAATTAGAAAGGAATTGGAATGAAAGATGACAAAATGTCTCTTTCCAAAGTGTAGCTTTTGAATGCTGAATTTTCCTTAGCTCAAGAAATGGAAGCTTCATTTCATATATCAATCTACAGTTAAATGTTAATAGGTATCCAGATCTTTAGTCTATTTAAGGTAGATATTGTGTTTTTCATGCACTTTTGTAATATCTGTTTTGAACCTTTAAGGAGCACTTCATGGAAGTAATCAGAAATCAAGAATTTTTGTTGTTACCTGCCACTGAAATTGCAAAACTTTTAGCAAGTGATGACATGAATATTCCTAATGAAGAGACGATCCTCAATTCATTGATTACGTGGGTACGACATGATTTGGAACAAAGAAAGAAAGATCTCAGTAAACTCTTGGCATATATCAGACTGCCACTGCTTGCACCACAGGTAAATGGCTGCAACCAATATGCTCATTTGTTTGCTTCCAATTGATAAAACAGCCCAACCAAATATATCTATATTTCTTGGTGTCTTGATTTCTGGCTGTTATTTTGGGTGCTGATTCAGAAAATTGCATTGTATAGACCGCATCAGCTCTAGTTTCTTAGATATGGTTGAATTAATAATAGAAATCTCATATCATAAATCTGTGCTTTTGGCATGAAATAAGTAGAGTTTCATGCAGTACACTTATCTTTAAATGTTTAATATGTTTCCTTCACGCTTAAAAGATATTAATTTAAACACAGAAATAAAATACCCTGATTTGCTATGGGCAAGCAGAGTGAATAATACAGACTCTCATCTGTATATGGCATATATCATCTCTCTCACAAACTGGAACTGATAGGGGAAAACTGGTACCATTTTTGTAATCAGCAGGTCAGATATAAGCAAAAATAGATCTAGTATTTGAGGCACTAAAATGTGTGTGGGCCAGTGAATCAGTAGATTAAGATAACATGGCTTTGCTCTCCTACTTAAATGGTTTGCGAATAAGGCAGTGGTTCTCAGCCTGTAAATCCCAGATGTTTTGGCCTTCAACTTTCAGAAATCCTGACAGCTGGTAAGCTGGCTGGGATTTTTGGGAATTATAGGCCAAAACACCTGGGGACCCACAGGTTGAAAAACCACTGCTCTAAGGGATCACCTACATCAACCACTTAGGTCAGTGTGTAACTGGATTAAGCTTTGCTGCAGTTAGAATGGTGCATGTGGCTGATCTGGCTTAACCCGAGACGAGGCTGCCTTAATCTGGCCTTTCCCAGAGTTAACCTGACTTGAGGGAAAGCCTTGATCCTGGCCCAAGATTTTGGCAGTCCCACAACTTAGGGGCAGTCAAGACAGTTGGGCTGATTCCTAACCAGAACTACCACAACTTTCTTGACTGCCATTCCATGTTCTCCAGGTTCAAACAGCCTAGGAACCTTCCCTGTCATCGCTCCTCCTGTGTCACAATAGTCCCTAGTTGTGACACCCTACCTACTCTCCTTTCAGGGCTCAGGCTAACATCAGGCAGAGCACTGTCATGCTTACAGTGATGGGAGGGGAGAAAGGGAGGGGGAAAGGGGGTATTTCCCTAATCCTGCCTTCATTAGTGGGTCAGGCAGAGCACCAAGGAGATGTCATATAGCAGCTGGGGACTACCACAGCAGGGGGCGTGGGGCGGGGGGGGGACCCTGGGGGTAGCTGCCTAGCTTTGTTGAATTCCTTCCTGCTTTTTAGTTGGTTGGGGGAATCCCAATCAGGACACCATGTGGGGCGGGATCTGTTATCTTGGATGCTAGATCTGGCTCACATTTGATGTTGGTATACAAGGACCCTGTGTTACGCATTGAAATTGGTTTTTTACTGATCAGATTAATATTCTTTTTTTTCCTTTTCTTGGCATGATACATATGGATTCCACACCTCTGAAGAGCCTTGCATTGGAATATTCTAAAGTTATTCTGTTTTATTTATTTTCTTTAAATCTTTATATCATGCCCTTTATCCGGGAATATTGAGGTAGCATATAATAAAATCAACTTTGGATAATAAGTAACAATAATGGTAATTTTAAAAGCCTCAAAATAGAATAGATTCCTAATTTAAAATAAGATGAAACATGGTATGTGTGTATACTGAATAGGCCCCAAGGGTTTAATGAAAGATTTGACTTGTATCAGAAAGACAGCAGCGTTGATGCCTGTTGGGCCTCCAAGGGATTGGTATTCCATAGGTGACATTTTGGTGGAACTACAGCTCTCATTTCTCCTTCACCAGCCAGATAAAGCTATTAGTTGTATTTCATTGCCATAGATAGCTCCAACCTTCAGGTGGCCTGTTTTTCAACTATATAATAAAATACATACATGATCCCAATTTTTAAAAGCTAATTCAGATAGGGTGAAAACACTGCTCTTGGTTGTAGATGATTCCTGACATCATCTCCTGCAACTTCCAAAGGGTCCAAGAAGATCTTGATGAAATATGTCCCCAGGGAGCATCTGCTTCTCTGATTGCTCTTTCTTTTCTCCCATCAGCTATGAAATGGCTATTGGGAAGGACCTGTTGAAATGACACATTCAATTATAGGGGACACAGTGCACAACCTTGTAGACTCTCTTCTGTATGCAATTCCAAAAGATGCAAATGGTTGTAAGGCATGTGTACACAGAGATTTCAGCTAGCAGAGAAAAGGACATCTTTATTTTGTCGGTGATTTCATCTTGGGCATGCTGTGATCCGCTTCTTATCTCTGTCATCTTGTCTAGCTAGGATCTGACTTTAACATAAGTATTTATTATCTGTATTGATTACAGGTTAGTTGATACACATATCTGAATTATAACTATTAATTCCAGGCAGAGGCTTTGACATTTTATCTCCAGGATGTTCCTGCTGATTTATTACTCTTTAACAATTCAGCACACCGTATCCATCTGTTCTAGTTTTTGGCAGATATGGAGAACAATGCACTTTTCAGAGATGATATTGAATGTCAAAAACTTATCATGGAAGCAATGAAGTACCATTTATTGCCAGAGAGAAGGCCAATGTTACAAAGTCCGCGTACAAAGCCTAGAAAATCAACTGTTGGTGTATTGTTTGCAGTTGGAGGCATGGATGCAACTAAAGGTATTGATTTAGCATGTTCATAGCAGGACTTTTTTATTTTTTGCTTCTAGGGAAATAGCTGAAAAACCAGTTTATTGTATGTTTCAGTTTAACCAGAGAAAAGTCTGGGTGTGGAGGATGCCTGCTGTCTAGCATCTCTGATATCAGTATTACACCTTATTCCATCCCCAATTCTGGAACAGCTTTCCAACTGTATTTTAAAATGTACATGAATTATATTAATAAGATTAATTATGAAAAAATGTACATACATTATGTTTGAAAAAGGAACCTGTTTCCCATGACCCTCCCAAATTCTCCCCTCTCTTCTAAAGCAGCAGTTCCAAATAATGACATTGCATAGATTTAACCATGTGGAAAACCTGGATCTCCCTTGTTTTGTTATCTGATGACCTCAGATGTCCTCTATCATTTTTAGTTTGAGAATTCTATTTCTGGCTTGTTTTGATTTTAGGACTCTGGCCAGTCTTTACAAATTATTAGTCGAGTTAATTTGGTAATCATTTTTGACCCATAAATATTTTTGTGACCTCAATTTTATCTAAGTTTATTAATTAATTAATTATTTACTTCATTTATATACCACTTTTCTCAGCCCTTGGGCGACTCAAAGCGGTTAACAATAGCAAAATTCAATGCTCAATATCATAAAAAGAGTTTTAAAACAGTTAAAAACAATGAAGTCCTCCAGTTGTTGTTTTTTCTCTTTCCATCTTACCTTAGGTTGTGATGAGAGTAGATCAATCTTATATAACTGAGGTCAACAAGTTTTTTTTTAAATTTCTTTTATACATGAATGGAAAACATTGGAAACAGTCTGGTTATATTACAATTTAATGTTAATTTACATTTGTGTACAAACATAGGCTATGGAATAAGAACATTTATGTTTTGGAATTAAATTAGTTAAATGGTAAATAAGTTGTTTATAAAATATTGCATGTTCATTGTTATATACTTGGTGAAACTAATGAAGAACATTCAATAATTATTGGACATTCTTAACATTTGGTGAAAGCAGTCTTGTCATAGTTGCTAAATTCTTCATTTTGTGTTGAATATATATCTTGAATATAGTTTAAATAAGGAACACATTTTCATTCTCATTTAAATTAGTACTTTATATTTTATGAACAATTGATTATAGAAATGGAACGACTATGACTATGGACTTGATTTTGGATGTTTTTAAATCGTTTTTAATCGGTGGGTTTAAAATATTATATTATCGATGTTCAATTTTTTATGCTTTATGTCCAAATTTTATTTTATGTTTATGTTTTAATTTGGTTAAGTTAATTCATAGTTATATGTTATTGTGTCGCTATTATTTTTGGTTCTCACATGTATGTACGGTGTAATGAGCTGTCCTAACTTGCAGGACTGGTGTTAGCTCTTTAGAGGCCCAACAGCTAGGCATCTATTTTGTGGACTCTGAATCAAGTAGGGGGGGAGCCAGCAGGCATCCCATCTTGTGAACACATTGCCAAAAGGGGCGGAGCCAGAGGGCAGCCTGGGGGGAATGTGTAGAGCCACCTGATTGGATGGAAGTCCTAGAGGAAAAGTGGGCGGAGCTTGGTCAAGGCAAGAAAAAAAAGGTACCTTGGGTTATTTTTAAAAATAATCTGACAGTTGGAGCTAGGAGTCAGTTAGTGGGAGTCAGTTAGCAGCTGTGAAGAGAGAGTTTGACAGTGGTTTTAAAACAGACCCTTGGTAATTGGGCTGTTTGGGAATAAGGAACTATTTAGTTGGAGGCTAAAAGTTTCTTATGTATTTTAAAGGTTGACTGAAACTTAAAGTTTTAAGTGTTGAACTATTTTCAGTAGAGCCACCTGATTCAGCAACCATTACGCTCTGTACAATCTGCAACCACTAAGTTTTCAATGCCTGTTCTCAGTAAACAAATAAACATCTTTCTTTGTTATTATTACGTCAGTGCCTCTGTGTGCCTCTCTCACAATCTATTCCCATACAGAAGACTGTGGAAGAGTTTTATATTTGGTGGCAGCCCTACTTGAAGATTTGTGTTTTGCCCTGTGCCCTGTGTTTAATCTATCACATACGGCATTGCATTTTGCCTTTATAATGTTAGAAACCTCTTTAAGTTCCCTTAGGGGAAGATAAGCTTTATATAAATGTAGTAAATAAATAAAATAAATAATAGAAATGTCAATGAAATTTGAGGTGTACCCCATAAAAAGCAAAGCAGATTTTTAAAATGGTAAATTCAACAATACATAGATTTGATCTGAAGTTGGTTTTAAATTGTTTGTAATTTGGATTTAGCTAAGTAGACCATTTAGTAAATGTTTGCATGAGATTTGCTTGTTTATGAAATTGCTGTTGAAAGAGATTCTGATTCAACTCAAGTATATGTGTGTTGAAATAAATTTATTGTACTATATCTCTTGTAGTATGCTTTTGAATAAAAATTCTTAAAAAACATTGATAGCCATATTGTCCGTCACTACAATGAAGAGCACAATCTATTTATTTGCATTAAACAGTAATCACAAGTATTGACTTTCTCTATTTTATATTATTACTTTAAATTATCATTAAGGAGCAACAAGCATTGAAAAGTATGATCTTCGCACCAATATGTGGACTCCTGTAGCAAATATGAATGGGCGACGACTACAGTTCGGAGTAGCAGTGTTAGATGATAAGTTGTATGTTGTTGGTGGTAGAGATGGATTGAAAACATTGAATACTGTGGAATGCTACAACCCCAAAACAAAAACTTGGAGTGTGATGCCTCCTATGTCCACTCACCGGCATGGACTTGGTAAGTATATTTTACTCATAACTTACATTTTAAAGCAAGAACTATGCTGTGGTCACCCTATTTCAAGCAAACACTTTGAAAGTGTGGCAGCTTGATGTGCTCTGTATCATTAGTAGACAGTAGCTAATAGAAAAAAACCAGGAAGTTTTTTCTAGTGTTATGTTGATTCTTTTAGACGCCAGGGCTAAAAGTCTGGTGTATGAATTCTGCAATGTATTCTATTCGAGGAAGGGGAACATGCTTGAAAATATTTTTTAAAAAATGGCTTGAGTGTGATTGCTTGATAACAAGGTCAACTCTACCAAGGATTCCAGATTTATATAGACATAGAAAAGCTCTGCCACATGATGTGATGGAAGAAATCTAGTATTATCTTGTAGCTGGAACGTTGGACTCTGAGAGACTATGGTTCAAATCCCTGCTTGGGCATGGAAACCCATGGGGCAATTCGTACACCCCCATATTCAGAGGATGGCAACTCCCCCCCTCCCCTGGACAAATGTTGCCAAGAAAATCTCCAAATAGAAATGCATTAAGATCAACATAAGTCAGAAAAAGTTTGAATTATAAGGAAGAATCAGGTAAAATGCTGAAATTATTTTAGGACTCATCCCAGTTGTTTGGCCAGTGCTTCATTTGAGTTTATTTTGTATCTCAGTAGATTCCTTCTTTCCGTGAATCAAAAAAGTTAATGAGGAGAGGGTTTCTTCAAGGCAGAACATATTCAAACCACTTCTGTATGTGACAGACAATTAGTCAATTTCACATTTAGGAACAGTGTGTGTTTTGCTTTTAAGGTGTGGCCGTTTTAGAAGGTCCCATGTATGCTGTAGGAGGACATGATGGCTGGAGCTACCTGAATACTGTGGAAAGATGGGATCCGCAGGCACGGCAATGGAATTTTGTGGCTAGTATGTCAATTCCAAGGAGTACCGTGGGGGTAGCTGTATTAAGTGGAAAGTAAGTAGACTAACAGAGAAATAAAGTCTAATGGCCCATAACATTTTACTCAGGAACTAATAATATATTTAATTGTGTGTGCATAAATAAAATTTAGAAACCTCCAGAACATCCAGAAGGACAGAATACTGAGTTGGGTTGATTTCATATTTTATAGTCATATCTATTGTCTTCTAATTTATTCAGTAGGCGTTAAGGAATCTGTCACATTCAGTTTATCCTTATTATTGATTGCTCTGGGGACTTAAATAGTTTCAGGACAATTTCACTTGTCATGCAATGGTTCTAAGAAATTTGTCATAATCATACTACTATATTTTAATAGCAAATTTGATAGTAGGTTATAAAGATCTTGAAAACTAAAAATTAACATCTGTCTACAGCTTGATGGCTGAAGAAGCTTTAATATATGAAGGGAATGACAATTTTGTTGAAGGGGATAAAATTACAAGTGCATTTTTTCTACTTGAGAAATGTATCAGAATATTAGAACACTCTAACAGATTGAATTTTAATTCACAATACAACTAATGAATCGGGATGATTTGCAGAAGTGTTGATATACAGAGATTAAATCAATGAATCCAATTTAATTGGGAATACTATTTGGACCCAGATTCTAATATACTGGAAAACCTCTCTTTCTACGTGTTTTCTGTAATTTCTATTGGTTCCATTAATTTGTGTTTTGGATTTTGTTTTTACTGTTGTGTATCTTTGTTTATTCAGAAGTAGGAAAGATGCTTTCCTATGATGCTGAGTTGGGCCACAACCTGAGGTCTGGGGCAATATATGGCCTTCACCAAATCTTATTAGGCCATTCTCTATTTTAAATTATTATTATTTATTTTTAAAACCCAGAATTCTCCCCAACACTTTCTAGGGGGAAGTCGCATTTAGTCATCCTTTGTTTCCCAGTGAGCTGTTTTTGACCCCGGAAAACATTTTGTAAAATGGAAAGTAAGCCAGTTGTAACTCATAGTTTTGAAAAACGCCCTCAAATTCAGTTGTGTTTTTAATGTATTTTGTTTGCTTAATTTTTATTTTTAAAGGGGGGAATAGAGTCTTTTAGTTTTAGTTGATGGAGGGAGTTATGGGAAAGGTATATTATGGGATTATTTTTCAGTTGATTTCTTTGTTTTCTACGGCCAGGGGGTAGGGGTGGGATCAATTGCATTTCAGTTACATTTTTGAAAATGTAATAGAAATTAAGTCCCCCACTCCAAGTATAGCAACTCAAGTGAGTTCCTTTGAAGAAAAGTTTCTGAGTCTTATTATCCCTGGGGAAGATTTGAGTTAGATTTTGTGTAGCTTTAGATCTACAAGAATAAAATATCTAATTCATTGAGAACATAATTATCCCCTGTCTCTTATTTACGTTTTTAAAGTGTTGACTATCATTTGTAACTTGTCTGTGTGTATTACAGGCTATATGCAGTTGGCGGTCGAGACGGAAGTTCTTGTCTCAAATCTGTGGAATGCTTTGATCCCCATACTAACAAATGGACGCTCTGTGCTCAGATGTCAAAGCGAAGAGGTGGCGTTGGAGTCACCACCTGGAATGGGTTCCTCTATGCCATTGGAGGTCATGATGCACCAGCTTCCAACTTAACGTCAAGGCTGTCTGACTGCGTTGAGAGGTATTCATCCAGTGAAGTGCTTATATGAAGCTCTTCTATCTAGACCAGTGGTTCTTAACCTGTGGGTCCCCAGATGTTTGGCCTTCAACTCCCAGAAATCCCAACAACTGGTAAACTGGCTGGGTTTTCTGGCAGTTGTAGGCCAAAACACCTGGGGACCCACAGTTTGAGAACTACTGATCCAGACAAACCATATCAAGAAAGCATAATGCAGTGACTTTTTAAAAAAATTAAAGTAACTACAGTTTACCCCAATGCAGCTAAGGATAAGTATTTCACAGTGAGAAACTTCCTATTAAATGTCTATTCTGAAATCAGTGACATTTCAGAGTTTTCAATATCTCGATCATATTTTAAGGCAATCAGAATAAATCTGTATTAGAAACAGAAATTGACAGATATTCATAAATAACAGGCTACACTTTTCAATTTTTGCCTACCAGACAAAAACAATTCCCATAGTTATTTTCTAACGGCAGGTATTTGTGTGTTGAATGCTTTGGGCTGTAAAAGAACTGATAGTAATTTCTAGCTCACTGTGCTATGATTTGACAAGCCAGGGGTATGCACCCATAATTCTTTTTTGAGCGCATGTCTTACTGAGATTAACAAGAACAAGATAGTCTTTAGATTTAATATTTCCTTTCTGCCAAAGGAAATATTAAATGATGCAGAATTCTACCTCAGATATTGGAACTTACTTGCCATTGCCTTGATGTGTGGTGGGCATTAACATCTTATGTGGACAGGACTGTGGCCTTCTACTGGTCCCAGAGATGTTTCTTGTGCTATGTCTCCCAGCCAAAAATACTTCCAGTCTCTTAGTTCTTCTCAAAGTAGGTAACTTCTACCATCTATCTGTCCTATAAACTTGCAAAGCAAGAACCTCCCTTTTGCATGCACAGCCACTCCATTAGATCTATGTCTACATCACCTATCTTTCTGAGGTGTGTTCCTCTGGAGGATGTTTGTAGAGCAACTACTCGATCTTTATCTTCTAATACAGAATCAATACATGATCCTTGGCTAAGCCACATGTGGGAGAGCTGTACTGTTATTTTGTCTCACTTGTTACTCCATCCTCTTATAATGAGTCGTTTGCTAGTCTTCCATTTGTGTGAGTCACAATGACCATAAAGAAGAATGGGTTGTGGCTTATAACTATAGGTTTTTGAGTAGTCATCTGTGACTACTCCTGCCCTTTCTTCTCCCATGTGTTCACTTTCATAGGCTACTTGTTTCAGCATCCAGGGAAGCAAAGAATTAAGTGAGAACTGTGCTGGTCACGTGTCGCAGTGTAGGAAAAGCTTGCCGCCCAAATACTCTAGAATAGGCCTTCACTGCTTGTGGCCTTCCAGATGTTTGGGCCTCCCAGAAGACCTTGCCAGTTTGTCCAGTGGTAAGGAATTCTGGGAGCTGAAGTCCAAAACACTTGATGGAAAATAGGTTATGGAGGCCGACTCTAGAGGCTGCTGATAAATACCATGCAAAGGCATATAAAACATGTTTATGAATTCACAAATGAGCACTCTAAGAGCTACAGTTACAGGTAAGCATGTCCTCATGCCCATAATGGAAAATTTTAGCTTTATGTCTGCAATCTATGATTTAAAATGTTGGTGTAAATTAATATTAACTGGAGCTGTAGTTTAACCGAAGCATGGTCAGTGCAATGATGGAATGCAGAAGGTAAGAGACAGAATAACAAAAAAACCCTAACACACACACAGATAGATATCTACATAAAAACTCCAACCATCACCCAAGTCAAAAAAGAAGCACCATTAAAGCCTTGGCAGACCGTGCAAAAAGAATCTGTGAATCCCACCTCCTCCAAGATGAACTGAACCACCTCAACTGGGCTCTCCAGGCCAATGGATACTCCACCTCAGACATCAGAAGAGCTGCAAGACCAAGAACAAGCCACGAGAGTAAAGATGAAGATCCACCCAGAGGAAAAGTGTTCCTGCCATACATCAAGGGAACCACTGACCGCATAGGGAAACTGATGAGGAAACACAACATACAAACCACACCACCAAGAAAATCCAACAAATGCTACGTTCAGCAAAGGACAAGAGGGATCCTCTCACCTCTGCAGGAGTCTACCGTATACCATGCAGCTGTGGACAAGTCTACATAGGGACCACCAAACGCAGCGCCCAGACACGCATCAAGGACATGAAAGGCACTGCAGACTACTTCAACCAGAGAAGTCAGCCATAGCAGAGCACCTGATGAACCAGCCTGGACACAGCATACTATTTGAGAACACAGAAATGCTGGACCACTCCAACAACCACCATGTCAGACTACACAGAGAAGCCATTGAAATCCACAAGCATGTGGACAATTTCAACAGAAAGGAAGAGACCATGAAAATGAACAAAATCTGGCTACCAGTATTAAAAAAACTCTAAAATTATAACAGCAAAACAACAGAGAGGAAACAACCAGGCACAGATTAACACCTCCCAGCAAGAGATTTTCCCAGGCTCAGGCAGGCCTTCAAATGCTAATGAAGGTGATCAGCTAAACATTCACACCTAACTGCAGCAGGGAAGATCTCCTTGCCCCACCCCAGCCATTCCACAGATATATAAACCCATTGTCCTAATTCCAACAGACCTCACTACCTCTGAGGATGCTTGCCATAGATGCAGGCGAAACGTCAGGAGGAATGCCTCTAGAACATGGCTCTATAGCCCGAAAAAACCCACAAGAACCTAAAAAAACCCTAAGCTTGTAAGAAATATATCTTTTACATTTAAATTGATAGGACTCCTCAAATACTGGATACATTGTGAGGTTAACAAGCAAAATGAGACTATTTTAGAGATTTTAAATATTTTTATTTGTGAAAATTGAATCAATGAGTGAAACCTTACTTTATTTTTTTTTTTAGGTATGACCCCAAAACAGATGTGTGGACTGCTGTGGCGTCAATGAGTATTAGCAGAGATGCAGTGGGAGTTTGCCTTCTTGGAGACCGACTGTATGCTGTTGGTGGATATGATGGACAAACCTACCTTAACACAGTGGAGTCCTATGATCCCCAAACAAATGAGTGGACACAGGTATGGGTTTAGATTTGTAAGGTGCATAGGCCAAGGGATGCATACCTGGGTGAATTCTTCTAACAACTGTTACAGCTGTTCTGGCAGGAAGGGATTGCAAACCCATCAGGCCTTCAAAGACCACTGCCAGATATTGGACCAAGGCTATGTAAATGCCTCATGCATTTCTAGAAGTCATATTAACCTTTTGGGGAAGTAGCTTTATATATCCAAATAATTTAAATAGACATTAATTGGGTTGGCAGCACCAATGTAAACATTTCTCCCCTCCTTCATGCAACCCAGTCCCTGCCCTCTTTTGCCTGGAGAAGAAAATAAAAGACGATTTTCATGATAATACTGTTACTTACAGAAGTTCACCTGATGGGCACTAAGGAGTCTTTCTCAGGTGGAATGTACAACTATCAGAGTTACGATCTTTCCCTACTTTTGCTGCTTTTAGGGAAGGTGATCAGTCATGTCTTTGGAATTTGGCTTTTCAGTGTCTTGAAGAAATATTGATCCAGTTGACTTATTTATATTTTCTTGTGTTATCACCTGAAATGGAAATGAATTTAACTGGCATTGTTACACTTGAGCTATACAAGATATCCTGCTCTGTGAGGGTGCAAAATGTTTTCATTGTGACATAAAAGTAAAACGAACTGGTAAAATATACAAATTAAAAGTTAGACAACAATCAGTATTTAATTATTTATAAGGAAAAGTACTGGAACTCAAGCCTACCTAAAAATTCAACCTCTAACTTTTAAATATATGGAATGTGGATGTAGAATAGCTATGAAGTCAAAGCAAACTTCAAACTTCATCTTATTCAGAGTACAGAGTAAACTTATTTCAGGATAGGGTTGACTTAATCCTGAAATAATTGTTCAGGAGAGAGTAGACTTAATTTTCAATGTTAGTGCTGGGAAATGAAGACAAAGGTTCCACTTGAAATATGCTCTTCCTCTTGTTCTATGTGCATATATTTGGGACAGAGCTTGGAAAAAAACCATTTTTGGATTATAACTCCCATTGTGCATATAGTCTCTGTCCATGCTGACAGGAGGATTCTAGGAGTTGTAATTTTCGAAAGGGTGTGTTTTTCCAAGTTTAGACAGTCTAATTCAGAGCTTTCCAAATTGTGTGTTGCAACACGTTAGTGTGTCAGCTGCAGTGTGTAGGTGTTACATGCAAACATAACAAGAAACCTCTGAGTCTATATGAAATAAACAATAAATCATAAGTTTTAACAAATATCAATGCAAGGTTTTCACAAGATACATTGTATTCCCATGCATTTTGTTATTACAATTAATGTATGAGTTTGTATCTGTTATAAAGGGTTGCTTTAACCTCCCTTTAGAACAGTTTGCTAGTGAAACTAAATTACTTTGTCGTGAAATAATGCATGTCTAAAAAGTATGTCACCAACAAGAAATGTTTGGAAAGCTCTCATCTAATTGGCAGGGCAAGCAGAATCTATTAAATGTGCCTGTATATACCTTAAGCCTTAATGTGCAAAAAGCGACACCAGGGATTGGAAGAACCTTATTTTTTTTAAATGGGAGATTTAGGCAGACTACTAATATTTCATATTTTCTGGAATTGATAATTGACATGACTTGAAAAACCAAGGATGAAACTAGCTGACCTTTTGTTCAAGTTGAACTCTGATTATAAATCTTCCAAGGATTCCTTGCTTGCTTGCTTGCTTGCTTGCTTGCTTGCTTGCTTGCTTGCTTGCTTGCTTGCTTCCTTCCTTCTTGCTTCCTTCCTTCCTTCTCTCCTTCCCTCCCTCCCTCCCTTCCTTCCTCCCTCCCTCCTTCCTCCCTCCCTCCCCTTCCCCTCCCCTACCCTCCCCCCCTCCCTCCCTCCCTCCCTCCCTCTCTCTCTCTCTTTCTTTCTTTCTTTCTTTCTTTCTTTCTTTCTTTCTTTCTTTCTTTCTTTCTTTCTTTATCATGCTACTCTCGCCTCCACACATCTGGTTCCTAGTTTTGTATGTTTCTAAGAGAGATTTCTTTTCATTCACTTTTTTTTTGTTTTACCATTACAGGTTGCACCATTGTGCTTAGGAAGAGCAGGAGCATGTGTTGTGACTGTGAAACTCTAATGATGAAGATGTCCTTCTCTCCTATAAATACTCAGTAGAGGAGGCAGATTTCCCCAAATTGCTAAATTATAATGAAACAAGGTACTGTGTATCTTCACAAGACGAAGCATTTGGTCTTAATCCGTTACCTAAAGTTTTTTTTAATGGACCAACGTTATGCACTTTTTAAAATGAGTAATGCAATTTGTGTACATTTATTTGGAACTACATACTCTGCATTCAGATGGCATATTACAAATACAGAAGTTGAAAAATGGTTTGCACATACAGATTTTGTTTCTTTCTGTAGAGACTTTGCAGGCAACTTTTAGAAGCCTGGACACACAATATATATATATATACACAGACTTTCATTTTCATATGTGGACTTTTGACAGTTCAGAATGCATTGACCTTGCTTTATTCCAAATCTTTTGTCTCCATTGTTCTACATCTCATTATTATTATTATTATTACTATTATTATTAGGTACAAAGAGAAGTGAAATGTATTGAGTGTACCACATGCCTTTGAAATGTTCATGTAATGCCTGGACTCTTTTCACACAGGTGACTTTTTTAGTCTTTTTGTTTATTTAACCAAAGCCTTACTTTAATTATTGTCTTATGCTATGGAATACATTCTTAAGAACTTTGCACCATCTAGCAGGGTTGCAGGAGTTATTAATCTTTTATGTAACTTTCTGTTATATGCTGTACAAATGTATAAATAATTCCATCATATCTTTTTTGTGGATCACTTCTTAAAAGCAGTTTCAGGAGAGAAGAGTTCAGACGTGTTTCATAGTGACTTTCATTTGTAGTTTCTGGAACATTCCATGATTTAGAGTTCTCTGAAGCTAACTTTAATTAACTTTGAATGAGGAGTTTAAACACTTCTAAGTAAGTATTTATAGCACTTTTTGTGTTACTCTGACAAAAAGTGGGCATTATCCTACAAGTGGTGGATCCATTGAGAATGTTCAGCATCTTTAAAAAAAATGCTGTTATTTCCAAGGATCAAACTTGTGTTATTGAAGTATGTAGTACTGTAACAGATTTTCTTTAGAATTTGCCTTAAGTTGATTTCTTACACTCCTCAAAATTCCTTGGGTATTCTAAGTGCTGTCTGAAAATTTTATATTTTCTTTTGTGCCTTGTTTCTTATGTTTTCATAGATGGTATGTAAACACACATTCTTGTACTTTATCATAAAAATATATGAATATGTAAACTCAAGGGACTTTTTCTGACAATAAATTGAAAATATCTGATAAGCTTTCGCATATTTGTAGTTTTTAACACCATGTTGGACCTCAAAATTCACAGTGAAAAATGTCTTAGTTTAAAAGAAAACAGTGAAACAATTCTTCAGGGCAGATACTATTTTAACTACTGTAGTTCATCGAATCTAAGGCATACTTTTTCCCATTAAGAGGCTTTCAAAATATATACAATTCCAACAAAACTTTAAGGAAGATAACAAATCTGGCTTCAGCCAAGAAGAAAACTTCTGGGAGTCAATACTGCAGAAAGAGAAAAAGCTGATCAAAATCATATACAAAAAACTGTTAGGATGGTATACGGAAGCTGAACAAGTAAAAAATTGTCAAATACAGTGGGCAAAAGACATAGGTCATAGCATATCCTCGGAACAGTGGGAAACAATCTGGAACAAAAAACTAAAATATACAGCGGCAAATGATATAAAAGAAAACTGGTATAAGATGTTTCACCGCTGGTATTATACTCCTGAAAAACTATCAAAATTCAATAGAGGGATATCTAATTCATGCTGGAAATGTAAGAAAGAAAAAGGAACTTTTATACACACATGGTGGTCTTGTAAACAAATTAAAAAATACTGGAATGAAATCCACAAAATATGCCAAATAATTTTAAAAACCAAATTCCCCCTAAAACCAGAAACCTATCTATTAGGAATATCAGAAGCAAGTTTAACTAAAAACCAAGACAAAATGCTATTTCTGCTCAGTACAGCAGCAAGACTTCAAATTGCAAAAATGTGGAAACAAGAAGAGACACCGACAGCCGACGACTGGATAATTAAAGTTTTCGATTTAATACAAATGGGTAGCTTATCACAGAGACTAAACAACACCCGAGAAAAAACAGACTGGTCAGGCTTCAGAGACTTCACCAACCAGAGGAAGATTCCATTTTTAATAGATTTGTCCACCCTCTGAAATCATAATCCAAAGTGAACTCGAGAGGACTCTGGCGAACCCGTTATAATCGAGAATGAAAGTTTTTTTTTCTCTCTCTCTCTTTCTTTAATCCTTAGACGACTTTGGGAAGTTTCAACAATTTTAAGACTGTGTTGGGGAGGTGGTGGGTATCACCTGTGATGTCAGGACCTGGTACAGGTTCTATGTTACAAGCGTCACCTGAAGAGGACAAGATTCTTTATCTGCATCCTTCCACCCTCCCTCCCAAACCCCCCCTTCTTTTCTCCAACTCCCTTCCCCATACCCCCCCCCTGCACTTCATGTCTGTATGTATATATGTAAAATACACAATAAAAATTTGAACAAAAAAAAAAAGAGGCTTTCAAAATGAGGTACACCTCATGTCCACTGGTGCACCTTTCATCCGCCATTTTTTCTGGCAAATCTGTCTTGTTCTCAGTGCCAATCAGATGACTATATTTTTTTACTAAGCATGTTTCATCCATAGACTTAATAATATAGACCAGCGTTTCTCAACCTGAGGGTCGGGACACCGGGGGGGGGGGCCGCGAGGGAGTGTCAGAGGGCTTGCCAAAGACCATCAGAAAACACAGTATTTTCTGTTGGTCATGGGGGTTCTGTATGGGAAATTTGACCAAATTCTATCATTAGTAGGGTTCAGAATGCTCTTTGATTGTAGGTGAACGATAAATCCCAGCAACTACAACTCCCAAATGTCAAGGTCTATTTTCCCCAGACTCCACCTGTGTTCACATTTGGGCATATTGAGTATTCATGCCAAGTTTGGTCCAAATCCATCATTGTTTGAGTCAACTCTAAAATTCAAGGTCAATGCCCACCAAACTCTTCTTGTATTTTCTGTTGGTGTTGGGAGTTCTATGTGCCAAGTTTAGTTCAATTCCATCATTGGTGGTGTTCAAAATGCTCTTTGATTGTAGGTGAACTAAATCCCAGCAACTACAACTCCCGAATGACAAAATCAATCCCCCCACAACCCCACCAGTATTCAAATTTGGGCATATCAGGTATTTGTGTCAAATGTGGTCCAGTGAATGAAAATACATCCTGCATATCAGATATTTACATTATGATTCATAACAGTAGCAAAATTACAGTTATGAAGTAGCAACGAAAATAATTTCCTTGTGGGGGTCACCACAACATGAGGAATTGTATTAAGGGGCCGCGGCATTAGGGAAGTTGAGAACCCCTGATATAGACTCATATAGACACATGACTTGCGGGTTTCTTCTCATTTCCCCTCACCCCATAGAAAAAAAATGCACCAGAATGCCATATTGACACACAAAAAAGGTATTGTGTATGGAGAGAAAATTCTTAAGATTTTCTAAGAAATGTTTCTTACCTAAAATCAAACCTTGAAATTCATGTGCACTGATTTACTGAACCTAGTGGATAAGTAGAACACATAACAGGTTGGAATCATAGAATGCAAGCTAACAGGCAAATGTCTTAGGGTAGTTCTACATGGACAAGTAAAGTGGGCTCAATCTGGTATCCCAAGCACTGGTCTGAGCCTATGGTCTGATAGGAACCCTCTCAGGCACCTCAGCAGCAGCAGGAAATCTCCACAGGGTGAAGCAGATTAAACACAAATTCCCATAAGATAAAATAAGGAACCAGAATTCATCAAATCACAACCTAGCAAACCCTGCCACTATCCAATTATTTTCTAGATTATTGTGATGTGGTGGTAGTGTCTCTTAAGAAGACATTGATCCACCCTACTAAAAAAAAAGCTACAATATTTATTCAGGGGATGTTTTGGTCTTTCTTTCCTCTTAGGCTGAGAGTCTGAGACTTGCCCAACCTAGTGTATTTCCATGGCTGAGTGGGGATTCAAACTGGCTGCTTTAAGTCATAGTCTAATGTTTGAACTAATATATTATGCTCACTTTCTTTTTTTAAAGAAGTGTCAACAACAGTTTTAAAGGTTCCTTCTAGGTTGAGAGAATGTGAATTTACCCAGGGTCATGCAGTATATTTCTGTGGCTGAGCACAGATTCCTGGTTTTCTTGACTCGTCATCCAATGTTCAAACCATTACATATTGTACCTATCTTTCCACATACTAAGTACACCCACTCATTTCTCTTAAGATTAATGGCAATCTTGTGATTCTACAGAAGTTGGTGGGTCCAAATTTCTAGCATTCCTTACCATTTTCTATGCTGACTAAAATTATTGGGAGTCGCAATCCAAAAACACCTGAAAGCCCGTGTGATTCCTGTACCTATCCTAAGATGAGCAAGCAATAGGTTACACCAGAATGGCTCAAACTGTTCCTCCAGATGTTTTGGACTTCAGCTCCCACAATTCCTTACAGCTGGTAATTTGGCTGGGATTTCTGGGAGCTGAAGTCCAAAACACCTGGAGGAGCACAGTTTGAGAAACACTGGCTTAAACAATGGCTTAAGTAAGAATGCCTCGAAATAAGCCTTTAAATGGAAAGAAAACAAAACATCTGAGCATTCAATTTTTTAAAATAGTCTTTACAACATAATCAGTACAGCATCGCTAAAGCTGATGATATATTTTTGTAAAATATCTATGAAGCATCTCAGGAGAACCATATATAAATTTTCTAAGTCAATAACAGCAAATGTTGATAGCATCATACTGGTATTATGGCGGATTTAAATTAACAGCATCTGTTATGGGAAAGTCCAGGATAACTAAAATGAACCTGCAACTCAGATAAATGTTTATATAATGCAAAGAGTGCCAATTTATAGTCTCCCATTAATTTTAAAAATGCAAATTAAAAATTTAGAAAAAAAATAGAAAATTCTGATGGGCACCTACAGGCAGATCACATGCCAGCTAAAATAAATTCCAGCCCTCCTCAAGGGTGGCAGAACAGTGATATGTAATTATCACCAATCATTTACATTAACTCAGGCAGTTTTAAAATGTGGAGGGGTGGAAAGGGGAGGAAGGTCGCTGTTTGGGATTTGAAATCTTTTTCTTTAGATATTTTAAGGAGTGATTCTGCCTATGTACATCGGCCCACATACTAAGATCTGCAGTACACTGTGTGGAGACATGAAGCAGAGTGCATGGGCTACATGATGCCTCTCCCTGGAGACAAAATTAGCTTCAACATTGACATGTTTTCAGTGCCAAGTTTATTTATTGTTTCAGAAGCGAACCGAGGGTACAGTTGTAATGTATTTTAAAAAACTTGGCATTATACTAAATGTCCTTTGACCAGTAGCTGGCCACTTGGAAGTGCTTCTGGTGTCGCTATAAGAAGGTCCTCCATTGCGCATGTGGCAGGGCTTAGGCTGCACTGTACTAGGTGGTCTGTGGTTTGCTCTTCTCCACACATGCATGTCGTGGACTCCATTTCTTAAGATTGGCTCTGCATCTTGTAGTGCCAGAGTGCAGCTTATTCTGTGCCTTCCAAGTCACCCAGTCTTCTGTGTGCCCAGGGGTGAGTTTCTCATTCAGTATCAGCCATTGCTTGAGGTTCTGGGCTTTACCCTGCCACTTTTGGACTCTCACTTGCTGAGGTGTTCCTGCAAATACCTCTATAGATCTTAGAGAGTATTTCTTGATTTAAAGCATTGGCATGCTGGCTGATATCCGAACAGAGGATGCGCTGGAGATGTCACTGCCTCATTCCTTTCATTATTGGCTGCTACTTCCCAGTGGATGTCAAGTGGTGCAATACCGGCTAAACAGTATAATTTCTCCAGTAGTGTAGGGTGTAGACATCCTGTGATAATGCAGTATGTCTTATTAAGAGCCACATCCACTGTTTTAGTGTGGTGAGACGTGTTCCACACTGGGCATGCATACTCGATAGCAGCGTAGCAAAGCGCAAGGGCAAATGTCTTCACTGTATCTGGTTGTGATCCCCAGGTTGTGCCAGTCAGCTATTGTACGATATTGTTTCTGGCACCCACTTCTTGCTTGATATACAAGCAGTGTTTCTTGTAAGTCAGAGCACAGTCCAGGGTAATAATAATAATAATAATAATAATAATAATACTCATCATCATCTTTATTTATACCCTGCCACCATCTCCCCAAAGGGGACTCGGGGTAGCTAACATGAGGCCAAGCCCTGAATTACAGTACAACAAAATAAAATAAAATACAAACAGCAAATAATAACATCAAAATAAAATACATCCAATAACAGAAAATGAAATAAACAGATGCAAACTAACGTGATGAAGGAAAAAAATAAAAGCAAGGTAGGTGGGCCAAATGCACAGAATAAAATTGATAAAACCCTGGGTGAGATAAGTAAATGGAGAAGTATGAGTCTGTTGGGCAGCTCAGAAGGGCTGAACAATGGGATTGAGCCTACATTAAAGACAAAAGTGCGTCATAAGGACAGAACTATATTTGGGACGGACATGATATAGGGATGTGTTCACGCGCCAAAGGCACGCCGGAAGAGCCAGGTTTTTAGGACTTTCTTAAAGGCTGTCAGGGTGGGGGCTTGCCTAATCTCACTAGGTAGCGAGTCCCAAAGCCGAGGGGCCACAACGGAAAAGGCTCCCTCCCTCATCCCCACAAGTTGCACTTGTGATGTAGGTGGGAGCAAGAGGAGTGTCTCCCCCTAGGATCAAAGAGATCATGCAGGATTATAAAAGGAAATGCGGTCTCGAAGATAGGCGGGTCATGCCTACCTTCGTGACCACATTTCTGTGTACGAACCCACACGATCTCTACGTTCATCTGGAGAGGCCCTGCTTGCGTCCCCACCTCCTTCGCAGGTGCAATTGGTGGGGACGAGGGAGAGGGCCTTCTTGGTGGTGACCCCCCGACTCTGGAACTCACTTCCCAAGGACATCAGACATGCCCCAATTCTGGCAGTCTTTAGGAGGAGCCTGAAAACGTGGTTGTTCCAGTGTGCCTTCCCAGAATAAGGAAAACCCTCAACAATACGCCCTCAAAATGCATTTTACCATTGATTTGGGATTGATTGCGTTCCTTCATCTCTCCTTGAAAATTCTGCCCTAGTTCTATCCTACCTTGTCCATATCCAGCATTATTCTTAATTTTAATCTATTGCATTTGGCCCGGCCATTGGTTTTAAATGCTTGTGTGTTACTGTTGATGTATTGTTTATTTTTTGTTATGTGATTTTTATTAATTGTATTGCTTTGTTTGTTTTGTAATTGCTTTTGTTTATTGATGTACTGTAGGTTTGGCCTCATGTAAGCCGCACCGAGTCCCCTGGGGAGATGGTAAAAAGTAAAGTTAAAGGTAGTCCCCTGACATTAAGTCCAGTCATGTCTGACTCTGGGGTGTGGTGCTCATCTCCATTTCTAAGCCAAAGAGCCAGCGTTGTCCGTAGACACCTCCAAGGTCATGTGGCTGGCATGACTGCAAGGAGCACCGTTACCTTCCCGCCGGAGCGGTACCTATTGATCTACTCACATTTGCATGTTTTCGAACTGCTAGGTTGGCAGAAGCTAGGGCTGACAGCGGAAGCTCACGCCGCTCCCCGGAATCGAACCTGTGACCTTTCGATCAACAAGCTCAGCAGCTTAGTGCTTTAACCCACTGCGCCACCGGGGGGAGATGGTAGCGGGGTACATGGCTGTTCTGTGTGGGAGGTTTGGCCCAATTCTATTGTTGCTGGGTGATTGTAGATGAACTATAAATCCCAGCAACTACAACTCCCAAATGCCAAGGTCCACTTTCCCCAAACTCCACCAGTTTTCACGTATTGGCATATTGTGTATTTGTGCCAAATTTGGTCCAGATCCATCATTGTTTGAGTCCACAGTGATCTATGGATGTAAGTGAACTACAACTCCAAAACCAAAGGTCAATGCCCACCAAACCCTTCCAGTATTTTCTGTTGGTCATGGGAGAACTGTGTGTCAAGTTTGGTTCAATTCCATCGTTGGTGGGGTTCAGAATGCTCTTTGATTGTAGGTGAACTAAATCCCAGCAACTACAACTCCCAAATGACAAAATCAATTTTTTTGAGTGAAGGACATACATTGGGTTGTTAGGTGCCTTGTGTCCAAATTTGGTGTCAATTCACCCAGTGGTTTTTGAGTTATGTTAATCCCACAAACGAACATTACATTTTTATTTATATAGATGATGATGATGATGATGATGATTATTATTATTATAGGTGTCTTGTGTCCAAATTTGGCAGCATTTCATCCAGTGGTTTTTGAGTTATTTTAATCCCACAAACGAACTTTACATTTTTATATAGATTATATAGAAGATACGTTATTAGTTCATCGTCTTTTACAACTCCCTCTGGGAATCTCTAGAGCAGGCCTGGGCCAGCTTGGGCCCTCCAGGTGTTTGGGACTTCAACTACCACAATTCCTAACAGCCTGAGGGGGGGGGGGGGGGGAAAGGTCCTGAGGCTAGGTTCTTGTAGGTTTTTTCAGGCTATAGGGCCATGTTCTAGAGGCATTTCTCCTGACGTTTTGCCTGCATGTATGGCAAGCATCCTCAGAGGTAATGAGGTCTGCTGGAAATAGGAAAATGGGTCTACATATCTCCTCCTTTCTGTTGAAATTGTCCAGATGCTTGTGGATTTCAATGGCTTCTCTGTGTAGTCTGACATGGTGGTTGTTGGAGTGGTCCAGCATTTATGTGTTCTCAAATAGTATGCTGTGTCCAGGCTGGTTCATCAGGTGCTCTGCTATGGCTGATTTCTCTGGTTGAAGTAGTCTGCAGTGCCTTTCACGTTCCTTGATTCGTGTTTGGGCAATGCTGCGTTTGGTGGTCCCTATGTAGACTTGTCCACAGCTGCATGGTATACAGTAGACTCCTGCAGAGGTGAGAGAATTCCTCTTGTCCTTTGCTGAACATAGCATTTGTTGGATTTTCTTGGTGGGTCTATAGATTGTTTGTATGTTGTGTTTCCTCATCAGCTTCCCTATGCGGTCAGTGGTTCCCTTGATGTATGGCAGCAACACTTTTCCTCTGGGTGGATCTTCATCTTGACTCTCGTGGCTTGTTCTTGGTCTTGCAGCTCTTCTGATGTCTGAGGTGGAGTATCCATTGGCCTGGAGAGCCCAGTTGAGGTGGTTCAGTTCATCTTGGAGGAGGTGGGGTTCGCCACCATGTCAGACTACACAGAGAAGCCATTGAAATCCACAAGCATGTGGACAATTTCAACAGAAAGGAGGAGACCATGAAAATGAACAAAATCTGGCTACCAGTATTAAAAAAAACTCTAAAATTACAACAGCAAAACAGCAGAGAGGAAACAACCAGGCACATCTTAACACCTCTCAACAGAACATTTTCCCAGGCTTTCAAATGCTAATGAAGGTGGTCAGCTGAAACATTCACACCTAGCTTCAGCAGAGAGCTCTTTGCCCCACCCCAGCCATTCCACAGATATATAAACCCATTGTCCTAATTCCAGCAGACCTCACTACCTCTGAGGATGCTTGCCATAGATGCAGGCGAAACGTCAGGAGAAAATGCCTCTAGAACATGGCCCTATAGCCCGAAAAAACCTACAAGAACCTAGTGTTTCCAGCCATGAAAGCCTTCGACAATACATTGTCCTGAGGCTGTTAGGAATTGTGGGAGTTGAAGTCCCAAACACCTGGAGGGCCCAAGCTGGCCCAGGCCTGCTCTAGATCCTCCAGGATGACACTATAGCCAACTTCTGCTAGTTTGGAAGATGACCGTAGAGTCGTTCAGCTTTAAAAAAACCACTGCTTACTTTAGATATGGGAATATCCACACTGGTATCAATTGTAGTTCCATTTCCCAGAAGCCCTGGCAATAGACCAGAGCCGCCGAGCCTTCTGGGAGTTGAAGTCCAAAGGTACTCTCTTTGAGGCTCCAGTGACGTAGTAACAAGACACGCCCTCTGCTGGGGGCCGCCATCTCCTGGGTGACGCCGACGCTTGGAGAGGGGAGGGGCCAGGCGAGGCGGGTGATTGCGCAGGCGCAGTCGCTCTGTTTTTTCCCTCTCTCTCCTTAAACACCGTCGGAGTGAAGGCGAGAAGATGCAGGTCGGTCAGGGCTGGGAGGGGTAGGAGGGCGGTTGGGCTTTTCTAAGCCAAGTCACAGTATAGTGTGCAGCAGGCCTGGGCAAGCTTGGGCCCTCTCTTCAGGGGTTTTGGACTTCAACTCCCACCATTCCTAACCCCCTCAGCTAAGCGGCTGTGTGGGGGAAAGGAAGAGGCCTGAGGCTGTTAGGAATTGTGGGAGTTGAAGTCCAAAACACCTGAAGAGAGGGCCCAAGTTTGCTCATGTCTGATCTAGAGATTCCCAGGAATACAGACCAGATTGAAATTGCCTTAGGATGGAAAGATGAAGGGAAATGGGGATTTTATAAATGGGTCAAATATTCATCAGAGTATATGTTCCAAGACTACATATCTGAAAGGAGAACAATATATATATGAATGGCCATCCAAAGGAGAACTGGCAGTTAAAGTGGAAAATGATTGTAGTCAGAATGAAAGGGAAACTATGAGGATCTGAACCAAAACATCATCATGATTGAACAAATAATATAAAGTTTAAACCAGGGGTCCTCAAACTAAGGCCCAAGGGCCAGATACGGCCTTCCAAGGTCATTTACCCGGCCCTCGCTAGGGTCAACCTAAGTCTGAAACGACTTGAAAGCACACAACAACAACAACAACAACAATGCTATCTCATCAGCCAAAAGCAGGCCCACACTTCCCATTGAAATACTAATAATGGAGCCCATGGAGCAGTGGGTTGGACCCCTGTGCCGGCAGGACTGAAGACAGACAGGTCGCAGGTTCGAATCCGGGGAGAGGCGGATGAGCTCCCTCTGTCAGCTCCAGCTCCCAAAGCGGGGACATGAGAGAAGCCTCCCACAAGGATGATAAAAACATCAAATCATCAGGGCGTCTCTTGGGCAACATCCTTGCAGACGGCCAATTCTCTCACACCAGAAGCGACTTGCAGTTTCTTAATAATAATAATAATAATAATAATAAACTTTATTTGTATCCCGCTACCATCTCCCCAAGGGACTCGGTATGGCTTACATGAGGCCAAACCCACAATACAACAATAAACAATAACAACAATAATACAAATCACTCCTGACACAAAAAAAAACCTAATAAGTTTATATTTGCTAAAATTGTTCTTCATTTTAATTATTGTATTGCATTTAAGTGTTTTTTGCACTACAAATAAAATATATGCAGTGTGCATAGGAATTCATTCATTTTTTTTCAAATTATAATCTGGCCCTCCAGCATTTTGTGGGACTGTAACTTGGCCATCTGTTTAAAAAGTTTGTGGACCCCTGGTTTAAACCAATGAGTAGAGTTATATCTGTCCCCATAGGGAGGTGAGTAGGAGGAAAAGGGAGGGAGAAAATGGATATGTATAAATAATAGCTACTGATCTACTGAACTTGCTGACTGAAAGGTTGGTGGTTCAAATCAGGGAGTGGAGTTGTTAGCCCCTGTTTCTCCCAACCTAGCAGTTCAAAAAGATGCAAATGTGAGTAGATCAATAGGTACCACTCCGGTGGGAAGGTAATGGCACTCCATGCTGGCCACATGACCTTGGAGGTGTCTATGGACAAAGCCGGCTCTTCGGCTTAGAAATGGAGATGAGCACCACCCCTCAGAGTCAGACTCAACTGGACTTAACGTAAAGGGGAACCCTTTACCTTTATCTATAAGTGATAGATGTATTGAACTGTAAAAGATAAAATGTAATCAACAGAATGTGTTATATGTGGTAAAAATAATAATATATTGTTGTGTATATGCGGTTGTGACAATGTTACAAATTACTTACATCTAACCAATAAATAATAATAATAATGAACAAAGTTTTCCCCTTAGCTATTTCTCTAAGCATCACTTGTTGAATTTTTGTTTATTACCACAACTAGGGATTCAGATTCCTTTTTCCCAGGGATGTGAATCTCCCTGATGGTTTTAGAGCAAACAAAAATTCAACAAGCAATGCTCAGGGAAATTGCTAAGGAGAAACTTGTGTGTATTGGATTGTGCTCAGTGGTTTCCATGTCAGTGAGTGGTGAATCCAATCTACGTTTTAAAATAGGCTTTAAAAGAAGCTCTTCAGGATGCAAAATAGGTCCGGATCTTTTGGATTTGAGGTTATCCAAAATGTGGGGTGGGTTCTCTTCCCTGGGTTCACAGGACGCTATGTTACAAAACTTGAAAGAAATCTGTTCCTGGTTTGACAATGTTATTTCCTGTTTAATTGTGTGGTACTTCCTTTGAAAGTAGTTGTTATACTCCAGAAACTTCATTTTTGTGGCTGCCACAAATATGTTGAATTGTTGTGACTCTGAGATATTGAAAAAACTATAGCAAAATGTGCTGCAGGATGTCCTGCAGCATATTTTCCCCATGTTTTATGATAGAACCAATTAGGAAATGACATTTATAACCAGGATCAAATATTGTATGTTTACAAACTCATCATTGATTTTTTTTCTTTTCATAGCGAGTGTTTACCCTATCAGAAAAGGATTCACCTAGTTCCCCCATACAATTTGCTTGGCAAAAAGCTCTAGGAAACTACATTGCTCTTACAAGGTAAGACAACATATGGTCAGTCCTCCATGTTTGTGGGTTTGACTTCTACAGATTTTATTATCTATAGAATTGACTAATGTTCTCCCTAGGAATACTCAAGAGCAACTTCCTCTCAAAAGTGACCATGGAGTCCTCTGAGAAATCTAGAGATTTCTTGGGAGAATGCTCTTCTGGTAATCTCTAGGTCAGTGATTCTCAACCTGATGTTTTGGGCTTCAACTCTCAGAAATCCTAACAGCTGATAAACTGGCTGGGATTTCTGGGAGTTGTAGGCCGAAACACCTGGGGACTCAGGTTGAGAACCACTGCTCTAGATTGTCCAGCACAATCCCGTTGTCATCTTCTAGTGGAAGTTAACCCAAAGACTCTCAAAGAGGTGTTCTGTTTGGTAAAAAAAGGGTTTTACTTTTTATTCACAGTGTTTTCACTTTTTCAGGAGTCCTGAACCACCAAGCCTCATGAAACTGGAAGGCCTATTGTATAATTCACAATACTGAAGATGTTTACACTGCATTTCCAAATATAATATATGCCTATGAAAAGTTGCTTATTTTAACTACTCAGATGAGTCAGATAGCATCACATACAAAGAGGTTAAGATTCTAAAAATGTTTATAGGTGTAAGAAAGAAGTCCATCAACATGGTTATTTTGCCTTCTGAGCTATCTTTTCTTTCTTTCTTTTTCAAAGACATAATCACACTGTACAAATCTTTGATCGGCATGGTCAAAAGAAGAATGAAATTATTTTACAAGGGTAAGTTTGTGAAAATGGGACAAGATAGTCATAGTTATGTTTAAACATTGCTAACATTTTAAGCAAACTAAGGTTTACAAAATGAATTTAAAATGTAGTAGCAATTAATTTGCTCAATTAAGATTGGCATTTTCTATTACATTAATGCTTTCAGAAAGGGTTGGGTTATGAAATTAGATGAGAGCCACAGTAATGGGAAATTGATATCTCAACGAATCCAAGCAACCATTGCAGTTAAATTTAATGTAATATCATCTAGGCAAGGCACCTTTAGAATTTGTGGTTAATATTTTCTTTGCTACTTCAGCAACTGCATTGCTATGGACTGGGATCAAGATGGAGATACATTAGCAATGATTGCTGAAAAGTCCAGTTCCATTTGTCTGTGGGATGCCAACACAAACAAAACCACCTTGCTGGACACTAATATGAGGTATGATTGACTTCTATATTAAGTAAAAGTACACGTGTAGTCCACTGTGTATCTTAAATAAGAAGACAGCCTGATAATAACACATTCCAACAAAAATACTAGTGTCTTGGTTTTTAGGGTTATTTGAGATGCTAATTCAGAAAATTTTATTGGATACACCACATCAGCTCTAGTTTCTTAAATATGGTTATCCTGGTTTTCTATGGACAAGGAGATAGCAACTGGTATATGGCATATGTTCTGTATTTCAAAAACTAGAACTGATAAGGGAAACAAACAGGGCTAACATCTGATGCATCAAAATATGTGTTGGTCTTTCCTTGCCCTTCCCTCTCCTTCTTTCCATGATATGTCTGTGCCTTGTGTTGCATGTGAAAGCCAAGAAAGGATTATTATTATTATGCCATGTCTCCATGCTGTGCAGTCCTGGGAGTTTCCCAGGGTCCACTGGAGTTTCCAAGGTCCCTGGACCCTACTTTAAATACCATAACTCCATACTATGCGGTCCTGGGAGTTATAGTTTTTCAAGGTTCATACTCTTCTCTGGGTGCATTTACAGTATGGAATGAATGCCCTTGTACCCCACCTTAAATGCCATGGCTCCATACGATGGGGTCTTCCTGGGAGTTATAGTTTTCCAAGGTCCATACCCTTCTCTCGGTGCATCTACACTGTGGAATGAATGCAGTTGGACCTTACTTTAAATGGCAGGTCTCAATGAGATGGTCTTGGGAATTACAGCTTCCCAAGGTCCATGAACCTTCTCTGGGTGCATCTACACTATGAATGCAGCTGGACCTTACTTGAAATACCATAGCTCCATACTATGTAGTCCTGGGAGTTATAGTTTTCCAAGGTCCACACCCTTCTTTTTGGGGAGAGAGAGAGTAATGGCATTTTCCCTCCCTGCTTCCTTGCTCCTTGAATTGAAGACACCTAACAGCTGACATTTCAAAGAGAGGAGATTTTTCCCACAAAGATGGTAGGATGGTGGGCAGTGCTTAGTGATTACTGTGTGATGGTAAGTCTACTGAAAGAATGCTGAGTACAACTGAGTAACACAGATGCATTTAACATTTAAGGTAGGGAAATAATCCATTTCATTTCAAAACTGAGTCAGTCTGAGCTCTATTCTACCAAACACTTCCCAGCTTCAATGTGACAAAGTCTTATGACTTCTAGATCCTTTACATATGTACTGTTTTCAAGCCAGGTGTCACCCATCGCATTTCATATTTATTGCCAGAATATAGTTGGCCCAGCTCCCTAATCTGTTACGATCATTTTGGATTCTGATCTTGTCCTCTGGATATTATCTATCCATCCCAATCTGCAAATTTGATAAGCATGCATTCTATTCCATTTTCCAGGTCGTTGATAAAGATGTTGATCTCTTTTTCTTCTTATTAGTCCTGATTTTTTCCTTTTTTCCCTTTCCTTCCTTTCTTTTGGAATTGTAGGGAACCAATGTCTTTCTTACGATGGGCAAAAGCTGAACCCTTACTTGTTGCAGGAACAACCAAAGGAAATGTACTCATATATAATCATCAAACTTCTCGCAAAATTCCTATCTTGGGTCAGTACCATAATGTGGTCAATAACTTACATTTGTAGAAAGAAACAGAGCTCATATTTGTGTCAGTATCTGTTTCATAAATCTCAAATGTTAACTATTCGTAAAGAGATGCTATTGATTCACATTACAGCATATATATGTGTGTGTGTGAATGAGAGATCACCAGGTTCCTTTACTATTTATTTTAATAATTAGCCTCTTGGGTCTCAGCTTGATAATTGGATATTAAACACAATAACCTAAAACAAGTTAATGTCCAAGCATTAATTTCATAAAAATTATTTACTAATTTCATGTACTTATTCTATGGATTTTATTCTAGGTAAACACACAAAGCGGATCACATGTGGTTGCTGGAGCAATGGAAAAGTTATAGCTCTAGGTGGTGAAGACAAACTTATCACAATTAGCAATAATGAAGGAGATACTATCAGAGTGGTAATAAACTCCTGTTTTTATGCACAATATATTCAAAAGTTTCATGAAAAGATTAAAAATTCTGGCTGTTGATTTTTTGATGTGTGAATGTTTTCAAAGCATGAGAGACTAAATAGAAGAGAGACAACTATAAACTGAATTTACTACCTGATCATTCAGTAAGTAAATTTCATTATAAGAAATAATGAAAATGCAGAAAAATCTTTCTTAATGTTTTACTTGGGCTTTTATTGTTGAGAAAATTAAACATAAGACATTACTAGATTACTGAAAATGGTCAATGTAATGCTGAAAAGCCATCTGCTCATCACAATGGTTATTTGTGAAAAGCAGCTTTGCTCATTTACTTCTTTTCAGTATTCCTCTGGCTTTCCTGCTTTCTCGATTTACTGGGGGCCCTTCCAGGCTCTATATCCCGGGATCTGATACCAGGTTTCCTGTTTATCCCAGATTATCTAGCAATGCAGACACATATGATCCAGTTTAAAGCAGAAAACCTGGGATCGGATCCTGGGATATAGGGCCTGCCTGGAAGGGGCCTGAGATAAAGGCAGTGGAAGAGCTAATTTTGCTTTTGATAGTCAAAGGGAGAGCCATAGTTAAATATAAATAGAGGTATTATAGATATTTACTATTCACCAAATTGCTACTGGTCTAGGACACAATTTTATCATTGGTTTGTATGATGCATATTTTTGATTGCTACCTGGAATTTATGAATAGGAAAAGGATGCCACTTTTAATGAATATGTGCAGAGTTTAGCTAATGTCATACTTTATTACAAGTAAATATATTTGAAAGTTGCAAAAAACTGGATCTGGATTTGACTCTTAGTCATATGTCACATTGTGGAAAACAAGCTAATGGTCACTTTGTTTGGGATTAGTGTAGAGATCCTATGACAGAAAATCTTAAGATAAAGGAAGCAGTTGAAAGGTTGGGAGGTTGATGGCTGTATTCAGATTATATTAGTATAAAGAAAAAAGGAAACAGCTCTCTTGTTGGCCACATTTTTGCCCAGCAAGTTATACTTGGAATCCACTAGTGGCACAATGATTAATAGGAGTGTATTAATTCACAAACAGTATTCACATTGGGACCTTATTCTTGCAGACAGCGGTGAGAGGAGAACCCAGTGATATGGAATTTATAGTAATGAAGACAGATGACAGAACCGAAGGCAACGAGACCACAGTAAGTTAACAGTAGCAGGACTTGTACAGATTTCAATTATTCCTCTTCATCTGATGAAACTTAGGGTGCTGTGGAAATGAAAATAAAAAGGATAATTTTAATATAGAATTTTTTTAAATTAGGCTTGGCACACCAAACCCAAGGTGAGGATTAAAAATAGGACAGGGGATCCAAAATTTGGATCATTTTCTTAGCATGTATGTGTTGACTTAACAGATACGATTTTTTCAGTAGGTATACTCTAATGGAAATAACACTTGAATTTAGTACTAAGAGACTAACATTCTTCTATCTGTATCATGTCCTTGTGTAAAATATTAATAATTCTTTAAAGGTATAAGATAGAGCAGATTAAATAACTAAAAAATATTCTTCATTGTTAAAGGTTTTATGTACTCAGTTCTCATTGTATGTTTTATGTTTTATATTTTTGTTTAGGTGTGCATTGTGGTTGGGCAGAAAACACTCTATTTTTATAATTTCAAAGATCCAGATAACCCAATTGAATTGGCCTTTCAGCAGCGATATGGGAACATTGTGTCTTATAAATTGTAAGCAATTGTTGAAAATATTCCTGAAGTTTTTGAAAGGATGAGCTAGGTGTATAAAAAGTTTTCAGGGGACTAGTTGCATTGTTCTTTCGCAGTATCCTTGATAACCAGAATGTGTGTTATGATATTTGTGAACTAAGATCTATTTCTATAGTCCACAGAAGTCTATTCCGTAATAATTTTGTCAGTCTTTAAGATGTGAGGGTTGACTTTTTGTTTTGGGGTGAGATGGTGGTGTATTATTGACTAATAATGCAAAAACCTAAAAGAAATTCTCTTTCATATAGTTGTTATATAAATTGAGATACAACATGGCAACTTTGTATAAATACTACTGAATAGCTTTTTTTCAATTTGCTTACCACTTGGAATTAGCTTTCAGTTGTGTTTTTTATGCAGCCATGTTGGTGGAGAACTTTTGGTTATATTGGTAATATCTCCAACAGATATGGAGAGAACTACATCATGATTGGTTTCTCAGTTGGCTTTTTTGTGGCCATTTCTACCCATGTTCGAGAGATTGGTCATGAGCTCTTTCAAGCTTGTGATTACAAGGATAACCTGACCAGCATAGCGATATCAGAGTCGCTCAATAAAGCTGCATCATGCGGAGATAACTGGTGAGTCAGAATGTTTCCATATTTCATTACGATAACACAGATAAATACTGATCCCTCATACTGGAAATGCCATTATGGCATGTTTTCAGGATAGGAGATAAATTGAAAGTTTGTCCTTACGAGAGCATAATCATTGAGATCTGTGAGACTTGCCTGAATTATATCTAAAAAGTCCCATTGATTCCAATGGATTGATTCTCACTGGAACAAATATTTTATTTAGCCCTCTGTTAGCAATTGTTCCTTGCTCAAGCTATCTTTTTTGTCTTCTGACACACATGGTAAACAGGATTTGTTTAGGTGTGTTGCTGTATTTATTCTAAAGGAGGAGAATGCTGATGTTTCCATTCTGTAGATAAAAGTAGGCATTCATTACCCTTGTGATATTAATACCGTGATTCCCATAGACCCCAAACATTATGGTCTCAGATTGTGAGAATTGTAGTCCAGAACCCAACTTGGAATCTTCTGGTTTTGTTTTCCATTTCCAATCTTCTGGTTTTGTTTTCCATTTGAACAAACTAATGTCTAGTTAGTGAAACATATTTGTGATCTGAGAGTTACATGTCTTATCTTCCTGCTAAGAAACTTTTGAGGCATTAAAAAAATAGACAAGGATCATTGTGTTCTTTAAAAACTGTGTTTCATGAGATCTCAATATAGGAGTATGATAAAGAAGTGTTGATGGGACAGCATCCTACCTTATTTCCAAACCCATGCTTAATTGTTATAGCTCCTTATGTATATTATATAGTAAGCCCATGTACTTTGTGAGTTTGTGTTACATGGTTCCAGTTATACATGAATGTCCTAGATCAGACTGCTCATGTCAGCTCAGGCTGTTCGCACTACCTTGCATTCAGCAACAATTGGCAATACGCTACCTGCCTGTTAGTCACTTGTGGTGGTGAAGAATTCATGATAAAAATCTTGCCAACCCCCCTCCCCATTGTAGGGTTGCCATAAATCAGGCAATAATACTTGAATAATACTTGAATAATACTGAGTAGGAGAAGGGGAAGAAGTTGTTTATTTTTACCCCACCACCATCTCACCAAAGGGACTCAGGACAGCTCACAGAAGCACTACGAAGTGCCGCACTCAAAACAACAATACACAAACATATAAAACAATATAAATCTGAAAACAATGAACATACATAAAACTCCATCTGATAAAATGTAAAATTAATAAAATGCAGTAGAACCTGCAAATATAACTGGCTATCTACGAGCTACAAACCATAGTACCAGCGTACAACCGCTGCTGAATTCTCAATCTGATTAAAATTACACAAAGTCAAAGGCCTGTCTAAAGAGCAATGCTTTTAAACTAGCCCAAAAGGCTTGGGAGAGTGGGGGCTGACCTAATCTTTTATGGAAGGTGTTCCAGAACTGGGGTGTCACTACCGAGAATTCCCTCTCCCTCGTCCCCACCGACTGTACTTCAGACAGTGGTGGGACCAAGAGAAGGGCCTCCCCGGCAGATCTCAAAACCTGCGCTGGTTCATAGAAGGCGATATTATAATAAAACTTTATTTGTATTCCACCTTATCTCCCTGAGGGGACTCAGGGTGGATCTTGAAGATAAGTTGAAAGCACACAGCAACTCTCTCTTGAGAGAGTAGTACAAAAAACTAACTTCAGCTAGGGTAATGCTGGGTAAATTTCTTGGTGATTTATGTAATGTAATCCATACTAAAGTTATGTTTTTGAAGAGAGTGGCCTTTTGTTTTTGTTTTAGCATCAAGATTCATGAGCTGTCAGATCTGAATGAAATGTATGCCATAATAAATTTGGAGGATGAAAATAAAGGTACATAAGTTTTCAAATCTAAGGAACTACTTGTAAAATCATGCTGATAGATTTTTATTTAGCTTAGCATCTTGCTTGTATTTTTATTAGTTATTTACCATATTTATACCTCACTTTTCTCACCCCACAGGGGAATCAAAGCAGCAGTGATCCAATGTCATACAAACACAAATAATAAAATAAACGTTTACATCAAAGAAGCATTAAAACATATAAAAACCTTAAAACCAATTATTTAAAATCATGTAAATCCAGTATCATAATCAGTGGCCATTCCAAATTGTCATTTCACCATTCTATATTATCTTATTGCACTGATAGATCACTAATCGAACACTAGGTTCCACATCCATGTATTTAGCCTTTTCCTGAAGGTCAGGTGGGAGGAGGCTGATTTAATTTCACTAGGGAGGGAGTTCCAAAGCCGAGGGGCTACTACTGAGAAGGCCCTGTACCTCATCCCCACCAATTACACGTTCAAAGGAGATGGGACCGAGAGCAGGGCCTTCCCAGAAGATCTTAATCTCCTAGATTGCTCATAGATGGAGATATGTTCAGATAGGTAAACTGGGCCAGAACCATTTAGGGCTTTATAGGTTAAAACCAGCACTTTGAATTATGCTCAGTAGCAGACTGGCAGCCAGTGGAGCTGACATAACAGGAGGGATGTCCTCTCTCTGTATGCTGCTCCAGTGAGGAGACTGGCTGCCTCCTGTTGGACTTCTTGCAGCTTCCAGACAGTCTTCAAAACAGCCCCTCGTAGAATATACAAATCTTAAAATATAATTAAATGTTGATGGTATTAAAAACAAACAGTTAAAATCCTTAAAACGGATTGAAATGTATTCAGAGCTAAAAGATATGTAAAAGGAAGCCCTAATGTTGACTGTTCTCCCTCTATTTCAAGGGAAATGAGATTTGGAGCTTCAGCATTCGGTTAGTTTGAACTGGACAAATGTTACTTGCTCAAACTATCATTTTCCTGCTAACCAGGATCCTTGTGAAGTGAAACTTTTAATTTTAATTTTCCTGTCCTGAGTGATGGATGTAGCCAAAAAACTACACAAGGGCAGCTGTCGTTTGCTTGCTCCTCAGACTTCCAGACTGTGTTTTGGATATCACTGGAATAGGTCTGGCATCTTCCAGAAAAAAGGAAAAGGCACTTCTAAATTGCCTTGTTCTGTAGATTTGAAGCTATTACTTTATAAAATCTGTTATTTGATTTTCCAAGAGAAAAGCTGTTTTTAAAAATGAAATGCTATTGATATTTTAGGTTTAGATCAGCTGTCATGGACAGATGATGGACAATTGCTGGCAGTGTCTACAAGAAAAGGATCTATCCATGTGTTCCTGACAAAACTTCCTATTCTTGGAGACTCCTTCAGCACACGGATTGCCTACCTGACCTCACTTCTCGAGGTTACTGTAGCCAACTACATTGAAAATGTATGGTATTTCCTTCATTTTTAAAGACAGTATAGTATAATATTGTGATTGACAGTCAAGAGTCCTCAGCTAAAGAAATGCTGTTTTTCTCGGCAGGAGCTCCCAATTACAGTTTCTGTGGAAGTTGAGCCTAGCTTTGTTGCTGTCGGTCCTTATCACTTAGCTGTGGGCATGAATAATCGGGCCTGGTTTTATGTTCTTGGAGAAAGCAGTAAGTATATATGTATTTGTTACTTTTTATGTTTTAATATATGCTTTTATGGTTGTATTTTAACATGTGCTTTTATCTGACTATATTGTGCCCTGGATAATAAATACAAGTTATTATTATTATTATTATTATTATTATTATTTCAATATTTATATAAAATGTGCTGGCCATTTTATAAAATTCTAATATGTCTGTTTTATCAAGTCGCTTCATTTGTTTCATACCAGCTAGGTAATATTTCTCATAACAGTTATAATACAGGCACAGAGTAAAGATAACTTGGGGTGTGATTGGACGAAAACAAGACTATCCATTAGCCAAAGAGTAGCACTTGAGCTTTGCTCTCCAAAACAGCCAGGTAAAAAATACCTTAGCTAGAACCCTGGAACCAGGCTTTGTGTGGTTCTTACTCGAAGAATGAATCTGTTACTACAGTGGCAATGAGGGACAGTAGCATCAAGGGCAACAATAATAATAGGCAGAGTTTCCCCTTCCACTTGTACTGCTGAATTATGGACAAGTGCTGTCAAAGGTAAATTACATTAATAAAGCATTGACTATGGCAACGACTTCATTAGTGCTGTCCAGTCACCAAAATTAACTGCTTGCAAAAACAACCTGACACTTCCTCGTTTATGTGAAGTATGTGAACAATCCCCTTCACAGATTAGTCTCTATGTAAAGGAATAAGTGGGCACAAATCTGACACTGGAAATGACAATATCTGAAAACCTAGGGGAGATCTTCTGGGGTCCTTAAGGTAGTAAAGGAATAGAAAGAGAGATTAGACTGGGGCATAGATTAATTAAAATTAATTAGGCTTCAATAATGATTAATGCATATTTTTACACTATTTATCTTAATTACCCCCGGTTGTGCAGTGGGTTAAACCACTGAGCTTCTGAACTTGCTGACCGAAAGGTTAGCGGTTTGAATCCGAGAAGTGGCGTGAGGTCCCGCTGTTAGGCCCAGCTTCTGCCAACCTAGCATTTTGAAAACCTGCAAGTGTGTGTAGATCAATAGGTACCACTTCTGTGGGAAGGTGACGTGCTCCATGCAGTCATGCCGGCCACATGACTTTAGAGGTATCTACAGACAACGCGGGGTCTTCAGCTTAGAAATAGAGATGAGCACCACCCCCAGAGTCGGACGTAACTAGACTTAATGTCAGGGGAAACCTTTACTATCTTTATTACTAGCACCAGAGAGTTTATATTGCCAGAAATCATTTAGTGCATAGCTAGTACTAATAATGAAATTTAAAGCAGAGAGGGTTTTTTTGAGTCCTGAAGAGAATTCAACTTAAATTCAGGTGTTCTGCATATACCTGAAATTCTAGATGCCAGTAAATTATTGTCATGGATTCTAGATAACATTAAATGCTATAATGCAGGAGTCCTCAAACTTTTTCAGCCATGAAGCCCTTTTTGAAGCAAAAGTTTCTCATGGAGCCCCAATAAATGTGTGTGTGTGTTCGTTCAGGAATGGGCAAACTTTTAGACACAGGGGCCGCATTGGGTGTTAAAAATTTGATAGATGGGCTGGGTCAGTGGCAGATAGATGGAGAGTGCTTGTGTGAACTAACTGAAACAAAACGAACAAATTCCTATGCACACTGCACATAGCTCATTTGTACTGCAAATAAAGAAAATGAAGAATTTTTTTTAATGAAATTTGGCCCAGGGAGTATCTAAATCAAATCCCTTCTACCATGCAGGAAAAGCACAATCAAAGCACCCCCAACAGAAGGCCATCCAACCTTTGTATTATTAATAATAACAACAACAACAACAACAACAACAGAAACCCTGGAGGTCAATCCAGTTTGCGAACCTCTGCTATAATGGTCAAAAGATCATGTTGTCATAAACATGCTGTGTTAGCCTTTATGGTGATGGATGTTTTGTATTGATAATCTCTTCTTTCATATGTGGAGCTTGTTTCCAAAGGTACTTTAGAACACCCTCCCCAGGGAGATTAGGCAAGCCCCCACGCTGTCCTCCTATCATAGGGAACTGAAAACCTGGTTGTTCCAGCAAGTTTTCGAGAACGATTAATCCCTAAGCCCAGTCCCTAGGTTGTCAGATAGTCCTCTGTCCTGCACATCATTCACTATGATACACTGTTTGCACTATCCCTCACCCAGCTCTTTTTAATTGATTAGGTCCATTTTTAGTACTCCTGGCCATTGCTATTGTTGAACCTCACCTGATTGAGATCTGATGTATTCAGTTTTGTATTTTATTTTTAATGTGTTTTATCAGGATTTTTTGTATTTTATAATGTTTTTACTTTATTTTTATTTCTTATTTTATTTTTCACTATTTTGATTATTACGTTATAGTTATGCTGTTTTCTTGTCCTGATGGAAACTGTTTGTATGATTTTTTTGGGGCATTGAATGTTTGCCATATTTGTTGGAAACCACCCTGATTCCTTTCAGGAAGATAGGGTGGTCTATAAATAAAGATTATTAATATTATTATCATCATCATCATTTTCATTATCATTATCATTATTATTACTAAATCAATTTGGACAGAATTTACAGGAATAAAATACATGTGGGGTATATGCTATAAAATGCAATTTTCCTGTACTGAAGTGATTTAATACATTTCGATAGTTTTGATGTGTATGTGCTATTCTGCTCCTAGCCAACAATTTGCTGCCACCAATAACTAACTTCAATTTTTTTGGATTTGTAACCTTTTGGACACAAACTCCACATATGTTAAGAAGTATTTTATATTATTAAAACCATGTCCAAAAGGAAATATAAACTCAACGATTTTGTTTTTTAATATTCTGCAGGTGTAAAAAAGCTCAAAGACATGGAATATTTGGGAACAGTAGCCCGCATGTGCCTTAATTCTGACTATGCAGCTGGACTACTTGAGGGTAAAGTTCAGTTACATATGGTGAGTTTATTTTAAGAATTGAATTCAAGGGGAGCCATCTGAACCACCTGAATAACACTGGTTCTGGAACTATAAATGTCTATTATGTGAGTTCAGTTTCAGTTCAGGGTTGAAGAAAAGTTAGAAGTCAGTCTTCCAGAGTAATTTAACAAGAGAGCAGGGAACAAGAAAAAATTAAATGTATTAAAGTTCATAAGGATACGTGCAGGGTAAAAAGTTATGTAGCATTTATATAGTATGAAAAGTTAATAGTAATATGAAAAAGTTATGTGGTATGAAAAGCTTAGCTTTTCACTTAACATTGAAAAAACCAAAGTGCTCTGCTAGCAGGCACCAGCCAACCCCTCTGCAGTGCCAAGACTAAATGGTGTCATGCTAGAAAATGTTGACCATTTCCACTACATAGGCACCTATCCACAAAAGTCGACATCGAGACCAAAATACAACACCATCTCACTCTGCGAGTGCAGCATTTTTTATTTTTATTTTGAATGAATCAGAGAGTGTTTGAGGACCAGGACATTCGTAGAGATGCCAGGATGCTTGTTTATAAAGCTATTGTCCTTCCAACTCTGTTGCACACCTGTAAAACATGGACCATCTGTGAATGTCACTCTCGACTTCTGGAATGATTCCATCAGCATTGCCTCTGAAAAATCCTGCAAATCTCTTGGGAAGACAGGCAGACAAATGTCAGTGTGCTGTAAGAAGCAAAGACCACCAGTATTGATGATCTTCCACCAACAACTCTGCTGGCCATGTTGTCCGAATACCTGATTACTGTCTCCCAAAGCAGTTACTTTACTCTCAGCTCAAGAACAGAAAACGGAATATCGGTGGACAGTTCTAACTGGTGCATTCTAACTGGAAGTCAGCTGTTACCAACAGTGCTGTGGATTTCTAAGAAGCACAAATGGAGAGCAAAAGGAAGGAACCTGCCAAGAGAAGTCATAGCAAGCAAATCCTTGTTGGGACTGCCTTCCATTTGGGAATCTATGTCCTCACAGTGAAAGATGTGTGAATCCAAAAGAGGTCTACGGTCACTTACAAATCCACCACCAAGACTCTACCCTTGGAAGACAATTACATTTGACCAAAAGTGATTGGCTATGATATGAGTTAATAGAGGTGTTTTGAAAAATATTTTTGAGAATATGAGTGTTTGCTGGTGGCTTTTAATTAATGTAAATAAACAAAGGGCGAACTTGTGCTGAGAACAGTAGAGTGGTTGGAATATCAAATTGTTAGTTAAGGGAAATCATGCGTTTTCTGACCAGAAATTTATGTTTGCTGTCTTATTTCAGATAGAAAGTGAACGCTCAAATACTGAGGAAGAACGGGAGACTAGATTGTTCCCAGATACAGATGATAACAGTAAAATTTTGTGCCATGCTTTAACTAGTGATTTCCTCATCTATGGTACTGATGTAAGTATAGGAAGGAACCTGTCTTCGTCCCATACTGATGAAATGATAGCCAATCCTTGGGGCCTGGTCCCCAGTCAAACAAGATGTAAAAATGGGGGAAAATGCAAGGGAGGGAGAGAGGGAGGCAAAGAGAGAAGGAAATAGATCAAAACAAATTGAAGCGCCTAGAGGTTTTTTATTTCTCTTTTTAAAATCATTTTGTGCCCACCTAGTGGAGTACAACAGGGTTCAAATTATTATTATTATTATTATTATTATTATTATTATTATTATTATTATTACTACTCTGAATTTATCTCTCTAGCACAGACTTTACCAGGGTACAGTTCAGACTTCCTCTCTAATTCTCCTATAGAGATTGTCCTCTTCACATTTCAGTTGTTGTTACATTAGCAAACATGAAAACTGTTTTACTACTAACAGAAACAATTAAAATGAAACGTTTGTCATTATTACTCCATAGAACTTCTGTTCATAAATAGTTTATCAATCAGATTGTTTAAGTAACATGGCTGAATTGATCCAAATTATGAATGTGTTCAGCTTGTACATTTCTAACCTATGCTATGACCTATTTGTTGTTTGCTATAGACTGGTATTATTCAGTATTTTTACATTGAAGACTGGCAGTATGTGAATGAATATCGGCATTCAGTTGGTGTGAGAAAAATCTTCCCAGATCCCAGTGGAACCAGACTAGCTTTCATTGATGACAAAAGTGATGGTTTTGTTTACTGCCCTGTAAGTTACTCCATTTCAAAGTATCTGTCAGTTGCAATCTGCTTTTCTTCATGTATTGCTCTATATTTTTACATGCATGCTATTAACTGACAGTTATGATAGTTAAGAGGTGCTGACTAAATATAATTCTTGAAAAACTTTTAAAACATGGTCCAAAACATGTTGGGCTAACCTTAATTAATGAAATATATAGGAAGGTGGGAATGAATTTGATTACACTATAATAAAATTTGAAAAAAATCTGCTCCAGTTTGAAAGTGTTATTTCCTGTTTGTGCAGTACTTACAGAAAGTAGTTGTTATACTCCAGAAATTTGTGGCTGCCACAAACTAATTTGAGTTGGTTGAGACACTCTGAGATATTCATTGAAAGCTATAACCAAATGTGCTGCAGGATGTCCCGCAAAAACAAAGTTTTTGCAGTTTAGTACATTTCCCCATGTTTTTATGATAGGATCAAATGGGAAATGACATTCATAACCCAGGAGCAAACATTGTGTTACATAGTGTTATTTTTCAGCTAAGTGGATTTATGATTAACTGAAGAACTGCACTTTTGTCTTTCACAAAAATATATTTTTCCCAGCAGAGAAGTGAGGAACAGTCTTTGGATGGTCTGCTCTTCCCACTCATTGCAGTAGATCTTTTCAGTGTCTCCATCCAGGGTGGGGGAATCCCCCAGAAAGATTAGTCTTATTCCAGTCTCCCATTCCTATAGGACACATTTTCTTTACTCTTTGATCTAGAACCTTCCCACTTTTAATTTTCTCCTTTGATTTAACTTCATTTCCTTCTCTTCTCACTCTTTCCCCATACCTTGAAAACAAAAGCCCTCTTTCTATAGCTTTCCCTACTTTTACCACCTCCTCTGCTGTTTTCCTCCCTTTACTGCCTCCTTGGAAGTTAAGCAAGGGATTCAATCAACTGGCTGAGGATCTCTGGCCTGGCAGGAGAATGGAAGACTGTCTATAGCACTCCCATTGGCCTTCCATGGGTCTGCTCCATTCTATGCTCCAGAAAGCCTTGCACAGTGGGGACTGAAGAGGGGGAGAGATCATTCATTCATCCCTCCCCTTTAGCTGATGTGTGACTGGGTGTTGCTTAAGTGGCAGATTCCAGATCCAACATTTCAGCAGCCTCCTAGGAGACCAGTACTCAAAGGTCATGCTGCAAATTTGGGGGCAAGCTTCTTCCCGGCTAACAGCAAGGGCTTCTTTGTGTAGATCTGTTACTTTCTCCCCCTGGAGTGTTTTGAACTGGGTGTAAATGGCACAAGGCGGCAGCAGAATAGAAGGACTGCACCTTCATTTCCTCTGTGGCCCTTTAGACTAGCCTTCTGTTGGCCTGTGTCTACTTAGGAAAAGATTTTCTTGTCATGTTGGACGTTCCAGACTTGGTTTCTGGATCTGATGGGCACAACCTTGGCAGCGTTGATAGACCTAGATTTAAAAACCTCACAGCCTACATGACTAAGCTTGAGGCTTCTGCTGGAGGCTGTTTCTGCAAAAGTCTGCAAAGAAATACTGTACAGGATAACCCACCAGGGTCCCCCACTGAAGAATGCAGCATGTGGTAGAAACTCACTTTGTACTGGGTTGCTATGAGTTTTCTGGGCTGTATGGCCATGTACCAGAAGCATTCTCTCCTGATGTTTCTCCCACACTTATGGCAGCCATCTTCAGAGGTTGAGGGATCTGTTGGAAACTAGGCAAGTGAGGTTTATATGTTTGTGGAATGTCCAGGGTGGGGGAAATAACTCTTGTCTGCTTGAGACAAGTGCAATTAACCACGTTGATAAGCATTTATGGCCTTGCAGCTTCAAAGCCTGGCTGGTTGCCACCTGGGGGAATCCTTTGTTGGGAGGTGTTAGCTGGTCCTGCTTGATTCTTGTCTGGAATTCCCCTGATTATTAAGTGTTGCTCTTTATTTACTGTCCTAATTTTAGAGTTTTAACAACACGATTATTGGAGTGAGGAGGAGGACCAATCCATCAAAAGGATTTCTGTTTCTTCCACCATTACAAAAGAGAATAGTTTACTTTATGTGGCCTACATAAAATCTGGTGGTTTGTGTATTGTTTTGCATTTCTTCTAGAATAAGCCTAACTCTGAAATAGGCAGTTCACCAGGATCTAAAATTATAGCTTTCATTCCCACTCAGAATATGGCCCATATTCCCACATTGCCTACTTCCTTACTTATGTATACATAACTAAGTAACATCTTCTAGCCAAACTTCTCCAAACCTACCTTGTCTAAAATAGCAGTGGTACCAAGAAGTGAAGGTCTGTGCCATTCTATTCGAGGTGCAGATTCTTTTTACTTAAATACATTTTATATATTTGTGTTTCATTCTTAAATGTAACACCAAAAGATACTTAATGTAATATCTAAATATAATTCAAATATGGATATTCATTGTTGGTTTAATGTAATTATTAGTTCCATCTAGTATAGACCTACTGAATCAGAGACATAAATATGCATGTAACAAATCATTACTACACTTGGGACTAACCAATGGGTTTAGTCCCCTGTCCCACTGCCTTCTTCCCCTACAGAATAGATGTATATGTTATCTTTTGCAGGCGAGTGATATTGCCTTTGAGATTCCAAATTTCCAACCGACCATCAAGGGGATTCTGTGGGAAAACTGGCCAAAAGACAAAGGTGCCTTTGCTGCATATGATGATGACAAAATATACACCTATGTCTTTCATAAAGATACTATACAAGGTATTGCAAAGTTTTATTATTATTCAAAGTTTTACATGGCAATTAATAAATCCATTTCAGCAAAAGATTCTAGTTCTTAGGTGCTTCCATCTACGTTTAGACAATGGGAATGTAAAGAGAAAGCTTAGGAATGATGAGGAAATAGAATTAAAGCAAAATGGAATTTAATCCTCTATTGTATAATGTATTAATCTTCTATGCACAGAAGATTTTGGATTCCATGCATTTAGAACTGGCAGTGGATGGATTCTACATATGCTAGGATTGGACTGTCATCCTATCTTGAGGCCAAACTGGCTGGATACCACAAACTTTTTCTTGCTTTTTTGACATGTGACTCAACTCTCATTTTAGCTTTTGCAAACAGTGGGATCGTTGGGCTGCCTCCATTCCCTGCACTGAGTGACACCAATCCTAGCAATACTATTGTTTGCAAGCCTTCTTATCTAAGATTATTTACTTTCTGAGTTTTTCTGCTTCCTAGTCTATTCTCTACTCAGCATGTATATATTACATACATACATAATTATATGTATTATAGAATTAGAATTATTTATTTATCTATCTATCGTGTCATAAGTGAATTGAAAATACAGTTAGAATGTATAGAAAAACCATTGCATTGCATGCTGCAAGTCACTTCTGGTTTGAGAGAATCAGCCGTCTACAAAGACATTGCCCAGGGGACGCCCGGATGTGTTACTATCCTGCGGGAAGGCTTCTCACATGTCCCCCATTAGAATAATATGGGCAGGACAGTAGATAATTCTATCTTTATGCAGGCAATAGTTTTTTCGTTAGTGGGTGTTTAAATTTGTAACTTAGTTTAAAATTAGGGTTCTTTGATTTCTTTGTTGAAAAACAATCTATAGTGAAACGAGACAGAGATGAAACAAGTTGACGTAACTGAATCCATTTAATAAATGCTGCCAGTTGTCTCAATTCGGCTACTAAACAGTTACATCAGCTAACTACAGGAGCTAAAATACATATGATCATCTTTAATTTCAAGAAAAAAAGTTTATCCTGATCATTATCATTGGTTTTATTAAGTAAATCATATTGGCTGCCACTTCTAGGAAGTAGCAGCCAATAATGAAAAGACCAAGGCAGTGACATCTCCAGCCCATCCTCTGTTTGGATATCAGCCAACACGCCAACGCCTTCAATCAGGAAATAGCTTTCTAAGATCTACAGAGATACTCGCTGGAACACCTCAGCAAGCGAGAGTCCAAAAGTGGCAGGCTAAAACCCGGAACTTCAATCAGGCCTGATACCAGGTGAGAGACTCCCTCCTGGGCACACAGAAGACTGGGTGACTTGGAAGGCGCTGAACAGACTGTGCTCTGGCATTGCGAGGCGCAGAGCCAATCTTCAGAAATGGAGCTACAAAGTGGAGTCCACAATATGCGAGTGTGGAGGAGAGCAAACCACAGATCACTTACTGCAATGCAGCCTGAGCCCTGTCACATGCACAGTGGATGACCTTCTTTCAGCGACACCAGAGGCACTCCAAGTCAAAGGACATTTAGTATAATGCCAAGTTTTAAACTTAGTTTGTGTTTTTAAATACATTATAACTGTAACCTCAATTCGCTTCTGACACGATAAATAAATCATACTGCCTGTGCATGGTGTGCCAATATATGTTTCTGGGATGTAGTAGAACATTACTTCAGTGTTTGTGTCCAGTTGATTTTTCATGTTTGCTGTCTGAGATATTATTGAGCTTGAATTCTGTAGTTTTATTACTGAGCAGGCATTATAGACATGGTTCTTGTGCTAGGGGAAAGGCAAGAGATTGATTGATTAATTGAATGAGTAAATGAATGACCAATTGCAACAAAACAAAATTAACATTAAGTAATTTTTCTTTTTTTCCCTTTTACCCCATTTATTGTTCTTTAACTAAATGTTGGGTTAATTCTAATTAACTCCAAAAAATAAACCTTTTTTCTTGTGTTGTAATATAGGGTCCAAGGTTATTTTGGCAGGAAGCACAAGAGTTCCTTATTCTCACAAACCTTTGCTATTGTATAATGGAGAATTAACTTGTCAGACTCAAAGTGGAAAAACCAACAACATCACTCTTAGTACCCATAATTTTCTTGGCCCTTTGAAAGACATGGGATATAATGAGCTGAAACAAATCCTTACACAGACTTTAGTATTGAAAAAGTGAGTTCCCTTTTAAAACAGTATAGAAAAGAATTTCCAGGAGCCCGTGATGCTGTGACACAGTTAATTGCTTTTCTTTTCTGCAAATTTGCATAGATTTTCGGAATCATGGAATATATGCAAACTTCTGAATGATCAGTCGAGTTGGGATGAGCTGGCCACAGCTTGCTTACATCACATGGAACTGGAATTTGCAATTAGGGTTTACAGGACAATCAGCAATGTGGGAATGGTCATGTCATTAGAACAAATAAAGGTAAATTCTTACATATCTAAATGTTATAGGTATTTGTTTTTGTGATGTGATGTGAGATGGTCAGTGATGTGGGGCCTGAACCCAGGAAGCTTTAGGTGACCACCCTGGCCAAATATGATGTTTTTTAATCATCATTTCTTTAGACTCGAGATATTTGAGCTGGACACCAGAAATTGAGTTCAGGGCAAATGCAAAGTAACATTAAGAGTTGATTTTTTAAAACATCAGATGCCTTATTACACAAAATTTATTTAAAACTAGCTGTCCCCTGCCACGTGTTACTGTGGCCCCGTCTGGTGATCTGGAAAATAAAGTAATGAGAAAGTGTTGGTTTCTAATATATGTAATTTCTTTATACTTGTGGGTAAACAATATTTGATTACGTTTTCTTGCCCTGGTGAAGGGAGTTGGACTGGGTAGCCTTAAGTATTTTCTGTTGGTCATAGGGGTCCTGTGTGGGAAGTTTGCCCCAATTCTATCGTTCATGGAGTTCAGAATGCATGTTGATTGTAGGTGAACTATAAATCCCAGTAACTACAACTCTCAAATGTCAAGGTCTATTTCCCCCAAGCTCCATCTGTGTTCCTAGTTGGGCATATGGAATATTTGTGGCAAGTTTGGTCCAGATCCACCACTGGATCATCCACCATTTGAGTCCACAGTGCTCTCTGGATGTAGGTGTACTACAACTCCCAAACTCAACGTCAATGCCACCAAACCCTTATAGTATTTTCTGTTGGTCATGGGAGTCCTGTGTGCCAAGTTTGGTTCAATTCCATCATTGGTGGAGTTCAGAATGCTCTTTGATTGTAGGTTGACTATAAATCCCAGCAACTACAACTCCCAAATGACAAAATCATGTTTTTGAGTGAAGGACATACATTGGCCTGAGAGGTGTCTTGTGTCCAAATTGGGTGTCAATTCGTCCAGTGGTTTTTGAGTTCTGTTAATCCCACAATCGAACATTACATTTTTATTTATATAGATGGTTATGAGCTACCATATGTACTTGAGTATTTTTATTTTGAAATTTACCAGTAGCCACTGCGTTTCCCACCCTTGGCTTATACTCGAGTCGTTTTTCCCAGTTTTTTGTGGTAAAATTAGGATATCAATTAAACAAACAAAAGGTCTTTTATTTTTTATTTTGAATGTTTATGTCTATTGAAGGTTCTTCAAATATAGCTAATGTCCAATAATGCAAATCAAATTCATTGAGTTAACACCGAACTTACGGCAAATAACAAGAAGTCATAATCTGGCGATTCCCTGTGTTTGGAGCAATAGGGGGCAGGCAGCTTTTACAAACATGAACCCTCTCATTTTAAATGCTCTTTTATGACTTAAGGACATCTATTGGAACAGACAATGCTCATGCCATTTCTCTTGACATGATTTTCCGCCTTGAGTCGCTGACAGGCTGAGAAAGGCGGTATACAAATACAGTAAAGAAATAAATAAATAACTTTTCCTTACTTTGGGCATAAACCAAAGACAGAATTAATTTGCCTCTGCATTTTTTGGACAACAACACATCAACTCTCTCAAGTTATAGGCTGATCTTACACCTTTATACATGCATTTATCTGTTTTCAGGGCATAGAAGATCACAATCGGTTAGCTGGACATCTTGCGATGTATACTAAGAATTTTAATTTGGCTCAGGACTTATATTTGGCATCTTCCTGTCCTGGTGCTGCACTTGAGGTGAGGTATAATATTTAATATTTAATGACACAACTATATTCTCTTTAAAACATTTTTTGTTAGGTGAGTGGGTCGTAATTAGATTTCTCATTAAAATCTTTGCTATTTCTGGCAATAGATGAGAAGAGATCTGCAGCATTGGGACACTGCCCTTCAACTAGCAAAACGTTTGGCACCAGACCAGATTCCCTTCATCTCCAAAGAATATGCTGTGCAATTGGAATTCACGTAGGTTTGCTTGACAAATTCAGCCATGTGGTCCATTTGGATTGTTTATTTTTATCTTTACATTTTTATGCACACAGAAGTTCTTGGAGTTGTGGAAACATGAATGGGTGAGAAAGCTTCAGTGGAGACAGCTTTTCCCCATAATAACTCTTCCAGGAGTTAAATTCCCTTCCTATGGGTAGATTTCTTCTCACTTCCTGTTGTCTCACCCCTGTTCTTAACTATGAGTTGTTTGTAAGTCAAATGTCTGTAACCTGAGGTCTGTCTGTGTATACAGTACTTTGCGCCTGGATTGAAGGGGAAAACAGATAGGCCTTTTGTAAAGCATGGAGTATACTGGTATATTAAACCAGAGAAACTATTGACAAACATATACTTTAGGGAAGAGATTATAGCTTGAGTCTGGGAGTTGTATAGCAGTCATTTTCTTGGTCTGTAATACCACTGCAGGAAACAATAAGGGTTCACAAAGCAATCCAAGAGTCTTGCGAGTGCCATTTTTTCCTGACTTAATTGAATGTGTTACTCTAGAGGTCTATTAGAATCCTTTAAATGCCTTGTTCATGTCATTACATTTTAGTTTATATCTCAATATAGATATATTATCTCTGTTACAGTGGTGATTATGTGAATGCATTGGCACATTATGAAAAAGGAATTACAGGTGACATTAAGGTAAGAATCTTTCTTCATACTGGCTCTGTGGTAAACTTTAATACATCTTTATAGTAACATTTTGATTCACAGCCTTCAGTCGCTGTTTAAATGCTAATTAACCAGAGCTGGGCACAATAACATTTGGAATAGCTTTTGTTACATGACTTTTTAAATATAAATGCCAGCCACACCAGATAGTTTAAAAGGTAATTGTTTCCCCTGACATTAAGTCTAGTTGTGTGCGACTCTGGGGGATGGTGCTCATCTCCATTTCTAAGCCAAAAACTGCATGGAACAGCATTACCTTCCCACAGAAGCAGTACCTATTGCTCTACTCACATTTGCATGCTTTTGAACTGCTAGGTTGGCAGAAGCCAGGGCTAACAGTGGGAGCTCACCCCACTCCCCGGATTTGAACTGCCAACCTTTTGGTCAGCAAGTTCAGCAGCTCAGTTGTTTAACCTGCTGCGCCACCAGGGCACCCTACCACATATTTAGGACAGCATTATTTCTTACTTTACAAGCGCTTGATTATTTATTTGATACAAAAGAAGAAGATAATCTGTTTTACTCATGTATTTAGTTTTTTATTTTTTGAAGAGAAGAGTGATGAATAAAAATTACTTTAAAAATAGAAGAGTTTGTATGGCAATTGGATTGCTTCCCATTTGATCATATACATTAGGCCAAAATAAAATGTGTAGGTCTTTAAGCTGCTACAAAAGAAAAGCACTCAAGAATTATAAATAGAAACAAATCTGTTTAGAAGCGTTATTTTTAAAGAAAGAAAACAGAGGTTTGATGGCTATCTGTTGTAAGTGTCTGATTGTGAATTCTTGCAGAATTGATGACCCTTGTGAGCAGGCTCACGCTATCCGTCAGGCCCGATGGGCAGCGTGAGCCAGCTTTACGCGCAAGTAGGCCGCATGGGGCTGCTCCTCCCTTGGCAGGCTCATGCTATCCGTCAGGCCCGATGGGCAGCGTGAGTCAGCCAAGGGCAGCTGCTCCGCGTGGCCTACTTGCACGTAAAGCACCTTGAAAGGTGCTTTACGCGCGAGTAGGCTGCACGGGGCTGCTCCTCCCTTGGCAGGCTCACGCTATCCGTCAGGCCTGATGGGCAGTGTGAGCCAGCCCAGGGCAGCTGCTCTGCGTGGCCTACTCTCGCGTAAAGCACCTCGTGAGGTGCTTTACGTGCGAGTAGGCTACACGGGGCTGCTCCTCCCTTGGCAGGCTCACGCTGCCCATCGGGCCCGATGGGCAGCGTGAGCCAGCCAAGGGAGGCTGCCCCAGCGCTCTATGCAGTTATGCTGGCCACATGACCTTGGAGGTGTCTACGGACAACGCCGGCTTTTCGACTTAGAAATGCAAATGAGCACCACACCCCAGAGTCAAACACGACTGGACTTCAGGTCAGAGGAAAACCTTTAACTAGGAAAATTGTGGAAGATCCAGGGTGGGAGAAAGAACTCTTGTCTGTTGGAGGTAGGTATGAATGTTTCAATTGGCCACCTTGATTACCATTTCATAGCCTGACAGTTTTTAGGGAGAATCCTTTGTTGAGAGGTGATTAGCTGGCCCTGATTGTTTCTTGTCTGGAGTTCCCCTGTGTTTAAGTGTTGTTCTTTATTTATAGTTATAATTTTAGAGTTTTTTTTAATACTGGTAGCCAGATTTTGTTCAGACTAGAAATAGGAAGATTTCCCATTCTCTGCTCCTGGAATTACTGCCTAAAGAGGGCTAGAAAGAACCCCCTCTAAGGGCCCTTCCACACAGCAAAATAAGATAATGTGCAATGTGCATAGGAATTTTTTAATTGATTTTTTTTAAAAAAAACTATAGTCCGGCCCTCCAATGGTCTGAGGGACAGTGAACTGGCCCCCGGTTTAAAATGTTTGAGGACCCCTGCTTTAAATTTTCCCATTGTAGCCAATGGGCCGAATCTCTACTGAATGAAACAGAAAACACCGCTCCCCTTTCGGGTAACTTTCTGGTAAACGAAATGAGGGGTGAGATGAAAATGGTATGCCTTTTGGCCCAAATGCATGTGACTATTTCCAACTGTATGATTCTAGACTTCCTTAAATACTTAGAAAATAGTGGCTATTTAAATTTCAGTTCCTTTCCCTCTCCCTCCTCCCAATATTTTCTTGGATGCTCTGCTTTTTTGCTGTGGGAATATTTTTTATTGTTCTTACCCTTTTATACCATTTTCTCCATTTGCCAGTACCAAGAGCATGATGAGGCCTGCCTAGCTGGAGTTGCTAAAATGTCTATCCGTATGGGTGACATTCGGCGAGGTATTAACCAAGCCATCAAGCATCCTTCCAGGATGTTGAAAAGAGACTGTGGAGCTATTCTGGAGAGCATGAAGGTACTTATTTCTAAAATACACAGGAAGCATTCAGAATGTCTGAATTTGTATGTTAGCTAAAAGTCTGTACCACTTACTGTATTGCAGCAATTTTCAGAAGCTGCCCAGCTCTATGAGAAAGGCCAATATTATGACAAAGCTGCCTCTGTATACATTCGTTGCAAAAATTGGTAAGTGGCATCATTCCACTCCGATAGTCATGTTGAGAAAATAATAAAGGAAAAACCAGAAAATATGAAGAGAAGTCTGTCTGAGTCTCCAGCTCTTATTATAGTTTTCCTTCTCTTTTGTTTCATATCAGAAATCTAATTGTAATATATTCCTTTGCTTCTGCCATTAAACGCAATTGTGTTGATTTTACAGGTGCATAAATTGGATACAGCTGTGGCACAATGCTCCCCCCCCCCCCCTTTCTTTTGTTTTTAGTTACAAAGCCCTGGCTAGGTTGCAATGCAAAAGTCAAAATAACGTTTGTAAAACAGAAATTAAGAGTTAATTTAAACAGAAAAATATTGTGTTGTTTCCCACACGTTCTAAGATAAAATCGTTTTACAATTATTGGAAGGATAGTCCCACCTCCATCTCAAGCTGGAGAACATCAGATCAATTGAGGGGGTGCTGTGGGAACATCAGATCAATTGAGGGGGTGCTGTGGTTTTTAACTTTGAATTTGCTTTAATGGTTTTTAACTGTGAATTTTTAAAATACTGTTTGTATTTAATCCTGTTTTAATGTTCGTATATTGGTATATTTCAGTGGTTATGCTGATATTTCAATGGTTATGCTTTTATGTTAAGCCTCTTTGAGTCCCCTGTGGGGGAGATAAAGTGGGGTTTAAATGATGATGATGTTGGTGGTGGTGTACGAGATGGAGAAAAAGAAGAATTTAAATATTTTGAGAATCTGTGTTAGTATACATTTACTCATTAAGTTTCTGCTACTCAGTAATAACTATTTTCCTAGAGATGTACAAACATGATAAAATATAGTTTGAATTCACAAAATCCACAGAAATAAAATTGCATATGGCACCTGTAATTAACAAAAAAATTAAACAAAAAACATTTAATGATAAGCGCAAGTGGTTGCAATGCCAAGCAAGTTATACAGTATTAGGCGGCTAGCCTGAAATACAATGTATAAAAAGCCTGTTGTTTCAAAGCCTGTTGAAGGAAAAATGTCTTTGTGGTTTGTGCATATTTTGAATTGATAAGCAAATCTCTCTTCCCCCCCCCCCCCCACAAAAAAACCAAAAAATGTTCACTCATTCAAAAATTAGTTTAGGGTATTTTTGGTGTTTCTAAGGCTGTACTTAGGGCTTTCAAGGGCTACATGCAACCGAAGGGCAGTATTTCCCCTCTTCACTTTATAGCAGTGGTTTTTAACCTGTGGATCCCCCGGTGTTTTTGCCTACAACTCTCAGAAATCCCAGCCAGTTTACCAGCTTTTACAATTTTTGGGAGTTGAAGGCCAAAACATCTGGGGGAACACAGGTTGAGAACCACCACTTTAGAGCATATCTTCTCTGCTGTAGAAGCTGTCTTGAGATTTCCAGAAAACTGAATTCTGCATGCACTACTACATACTGCAAAATTTCTGTTCATCAAACAATTAATGGAGTCATTTGCATGCTCTGAAGAAACATATAAGATCTCTGGGTCCATCTCATAATAAATAACATATCCCTTTTCCTGTCTTAAGTTATTGTTATGTCAAAAAATATTTCAGATGTTTCTTAAAATAGACTAGTAGGAAGTTTGATTGTTTTGATTTTTGATATAGTGGGCTAGGTGGCTGGGCTTTTGTTGAAAAATGAATATAATTGATTTCTGTTTATATAGGGCAAAAGTTGGTGAGCTTCTCCCTCATGTGTCCTCTCCAAAGATACACCTTCAGTATGCCAAAGCAAAGGAAGCGGATGGCAGGTATATTTCCTTTCTAGAATGTATTCTAGAATGATCTTCATATGTACATGTGCAGGCTGGTTCTATGTAGTTTAGTTAGACGCGCTTTATCAGAGAAGGTTTGCTAAATTCTGCAATAGATTTTTTTAAATTTCTCTGTTGAAAATGTTTAAATTTTGTATTTTTAATGTGATGTTGATAGCTTTTCCTATGTCAGAGATTCATGTCAAAATTGGTAGCAGCACAGTGCAGATTCAGGGTATTTGGAAATTGCCCTGTGTAGGTATTACATCTCTGGACTAAACAAACTGGAGGCATCCTAAATGCAATTATTTGAGGTTGACTTGTGGTTTGTTTGCTTTCCGTCACTGTTGTAAACCAAGAGTAAGTCAGTGTCTTATCATTCCGGCTTATGGAGGAAAATACCTGCCATCGTTTGTAAACCTTCTGTCACACGAGGCATATTATAGATAGAAATTTCATAGTTTGTTTAGGCAGTAATACTTGCAAGAAGAGCCGAGTGGCAGCATGCATCAGCACACTGACTTTCTCACAATAAGCCAGATTTCTTTTGAACATAACAATTTTATAGCATGCTAGGTATTAAATACTTGGCAATAGTAAGGAGCCAAAATGAAATAGGCTAAGCCTCTTGAGACTGCAAATAGTGTTGGAGATAACAACCTTCTCAAGCCTCCTCTATTTGATGTTTTGTTTGTTTATAATGTGCCATTTTATTTCCTGAAGTGTAGGCCTTCTTTGGTTTGCAGTTTCCTTAGCTCTATGTACTTGAGGCAGTGGGAGGGGCTGCAGATCACGTGACTGTTTAGAATGCTTTTAAAACATGATAACAGTTGAATGACAGTTAAGGCTTGAATCAGAATACAGAAGTTAGAAGACAGTTAAGCCTTGAGTCAGCTTGAGTAAAGAAGTCTTTTTTTCAGTCACATGTCAGTGTAGGAAGTTAGAAAACTGTTGATGATTGATTTTTTTTTTGAAATTAGACTCTTATGGAAGAAAACTGTACTGAACAATATATTTTTTGAAAACACTGTTAAAGACAGTAAGTTAAAGATATGAATTGAAACATTTTAAAGTTTAACCTGACAAAATTGTCATGTATATTTAAATACATGTAGTTATGTGTAAAACAAACAAGTTATTTTAAAAGAAGTCTATTTGAATCTTTGTCTGCTGAGAGCATTGAATACAAACAAGATATTTACGAGCCCAGTAATCATCCATTATTCAATAAACTAAAAGAACACCTCCATAATTCTGCTATCCAATAGGTTATGAACCTAACAGAACATAATCCATTATCCCATTAAATAGTTTTTAGCACCTTACTTTCCAAGTAAGGTATAATTCATGATTAATTAGCATTGTTGTATACCTTTAAGTTGTTTCAAATTTAGAACAACCCTAAGGCAATGATATCATCAAGTTTTATTGTCAAGATTCATTCAAAGGGGATTTGCCTTTTCTTCCAGACAGACCCTAAACCCGTGATGGGTTCTGAATTAACCTGAAGCATCCAAACAATGCCTCAGATTAATCCAGAGTAAACTGGGATTTTCTGGATTTAAAAAAATACCTCAAAAGATCCAGACCTTACTGAAAGATCTGGATCTTTTTTAGTGTTGGGCCTGTGGGACTGAGTCTCAGGACTGCCTTCCACAATCCTGAGGGCCAATCCCCATTGCCACCCTGGTTTTTCAAGTTCTAGGAGTCCAAGGCAGCAGGATGGCACCCCAACTTTCCCCTGCCAGCCTCCTCATTTCCTCTCTAAACTTACTGTAGGAGCCTAGCTCCATCGTCAACCCCCCCGCCCTCCGAGTAACCTTTTGATGTGTCAAAGTTTCTCCCATTTTTCCTTGTCTTCCTCTTTCCTTCCTCTTTCCTTCCTCTTTCCTTCCTTCCCTCTTTTTCCCACCTACTTTTTTTCTTTTTTCCTCCCTCCTTTTCCTGTCTCCCTCCCTCCTCCATTTTTCTTTCTTTCTTCTTCCTCTCCTTCTTTCTTTTGCTTCCCATCTTCTCCTTCTCTCCCTTCCTTCTGTTCTTCCCTCCCTCACTTTCCCTCTCTCTTTTTTTTCCTTACACAAACCAGGGAGAGTGAAGGTACTAGAGTCCTGGTGGATGGCAGTGGCAGGCAGTGTTCAATGACAGCGCTTTAGGCTTCACCAATGGCTTGTGTGGGCCGCGTGCAGGTCAAAGGCCACATGTTGTGCATGCCTGATTTAGAGGAGAGGGATTTTTCTATTTAGAGATGAAATGTAATATCACCACACAGATAAATCGTTTTAATTCAATGTGCCTACTCTATTTGGGGCTAACTATAAGATTCAGGCCTTAGCCCATGGATAGGGATGCTGAAAGTCAACATTCAATAACATGGGGGGGGGGGGGGGYGCAAGAATTCGCACCCCTGATCTCTTCAATTTTGGAAACTGAAAGCAAAATGCAAAGTGATTATCTCTTGTCTTTATTAGATACAAGGAAGCTGTGTTGGCCTATGAAAATGCCAAACAATGGGACAATGTTATCCGGCTATATTTGGATCACCTTAATAACCCGGAAAAAGCTGTTAGCGTCGTCAGGGAAACACAGTCTCTTGATGGAGCCAAAATGGTAGCCAGGTAACCGTAACTATAGAAGCTTTTCAGATTTTCAACTGACTTACATATCTGAAAATTAAAAATGGTCAGATTATAAATACAGCTTATCACTGGCTATTGAAGTAATTAATACTGCCACTTTCACATTAAAGTGTGACATTTTGTTCCTTTAAACATCTGGATGTACTGAGCATGTACACTTCATGCTCAGTTTTAAACAACATAACTTTTTTAAAAGTAAATAAATAATGACTGGTTAATTCTGTTTAGATTCTTTCTGCAGTTAGGTGACTATGGGTCTGCCATCCAGTTTTTGGTGATGTCCAAATGTAATAATGAAGCATTCACACTGGCCCAACAACACAATAAGATGGAGATATATGCAGACATAATTAGTGAGTATCGCAGTGCAAGGTGATTGTTCCGAGTTCTTAATGAATACATGTTTTCTTATATATAATGTTGAAAGTGGATTTTGTCATATTGGAAATTTGCTACCAAGTACCATGGCAATCTTGTATGTGCCAACTCAGAAAACCCTTTGAGTTGAGTCAGGCCTACACCAGGGAAGTATGCATAGCTTTGCAATGTCAATCAGTGTGTGGCTGTGCCATCTAAAATGTTTTAAGATTGGACAGGGTTCCTTTATTATGGTGTACAACTGTTAAGAGGAATGAATGGCCAGTCAGTTTTTTTAAAAATTGAACATTTTGTGGAAGTGGGGGCCCATCGCACGTACAATTTTTTATTGCAACAGAAAAGGAGAGCATTGTGATTTGGATCCTCATTTGGTCTTTGGATAACTCTGCCACTCCTTTTTTGATTTGCAGCCTCATTCCCATAGCAGTCTTAAAGGATTCCCCCATATCTAGAGTTTGCGTTTCAGGAGATTGCAGTAGAGAACATCATCTAGTGAGCTTCTTAAACTGTGGTTCCCAACCCCAAATGGGGTTCTCTTACCTCATTATTGGAGTCTCAAAAGTTTTTCCTTAGTCTCACCTAGTATCCATTTAAACATTTACACGAATCAGTTGTGCAGTGTTTACAGTGGACTCTGCAGAAGATGCTTCAGCTGTACTTAGTAAAACAGGAAATCGGCTTGCTTAGCAAGGTTTGCAAATGCTGATGTGTTATCAGTGAATGTTTAATTTTTATACCTATTTTATATATGGATATATGCTAAGCACATATAAATTTCTCATGCCAAAAAGGAGTCCTGTCTGGAAAAGTTTAAGAAGCCCTGATCTAGTGAGCACTCTTCTGTTCACAGAAGAACAGTTCAGAAGCAAGCCTGTTTTCTCCAACTGCATAAAGAGAGGGATTTCTTCAAAGGGAAACTATTGTGATTCCACCCCCCTTCCTTTGTTGTAGGTTCTGAGGACACCACTAATGAAGATTACCAAAGCATTGCCTTGTATTTTGAAGGGGAGAAAAAGCATTTTCAAGCTGGCAAGTTCTTCCTTCTGTGTGGTCAGTATGCACGGGTCAGTATGAAGGCATCATCACAGTATTACTGGGTCAGAACAGGGTTAGACCTGATGGAACATGAGCACACTGTCAGAGAGTCTGCAGAAAAATATTAATATTTTGAAATAGCTGCATCAGGGATCAAATTCACAATACTGCTGGAGCAATTCAAACGCCTTCCCCATTACCATATTACTAGTTTTCAAAGGAATAGAAGATTTAGATGGTGGAGATGGGAATGTTGTGGATTGGTAATTGAATCTGTCCACCATCACTAGAGCCATGATCTAAATATGTGCCCATTTCTGTTACCCTTCCACATGATGGAACATGCCAGCGATAAAGATTTTGAAAAATACAATGGATTGAGGGTGGGATACCACTAAAATATGGCAATGGCACTGAGAAGTATATCTCTCCCTTTTGGTCATTACATTTCAAGTAATATGACACATGCCTTATTTTCCAGAGTCTGTTCTTCATAGAAGAATATTTAGGACACTGGAAGTTTCCAGTACAGTTGTTTGAATTATCTCAGTAGAATAAATTGTTTTCATTGATTTCATGAAGTCAAATTACTGAGGATTCATGTTCTGTGTTCATAGCGCATTTCGAGAGATGCAAAATTGTATTTATTTGTTATCTAAAAAAAGTGCATCAATGTAAGAAGCCATTTCACATTTGGCGTTCTTTTTACAGGCATTGAAACACTTTCTGAAAAGTCCAAATACAGACGATAATGCAGCAATAGAAATGGCAATAGAGACGGTAAGAAAAATAATTTCAGAACAGAGGGGGCAGCCGGGGAAAGGAGACTGGGATCCTCCTATTATTAAAAAAAAAAAAAAAACTAAACCCAAATCCCATTGCTATAGTTAATTAAGCAGGTAATCAATGCTAGATATACATTTATTTTTATATTAATTTATAGTATGGTCTCCTGCTTTTCCCAGTGCTAGAATTTATTATGTTTAAGGATACCATAAATTGGATCTTTTCCCTGCATGTGGGAAGCCAGCCTTTCATGCTGAGTCTGACTTCTCCCTTGTGCTTGACAGGGAGGGCAGTTACCTTAGTTGATTGAGACTCCTTCAATTTGGTGTGCTCTCTGGGAATGTCTAGAAGCAGATCTTGAATGTAATTAAAGAAAGTGACGTGGCTTCCCATGGGAGCATGGCGAGGTTTGATGAATGCCACACCAACTCCTTGTTATTAGTGGCCAGGAGCTCCTTCCAGAGATGTGCAGCTGGAATTCCCTTATAGTCAAACAAGAAGCTGGTGTGTGTGTGTGTGTGATGGTGGGTCAGTAAACCTCACCATATATGTAAGAGATGCTAAATGGGTAAGGAACACTATTCTTATTATCTAGCTCCCTGTAGACCAGTGGTTGCAGACCCATGATTCTGTATTGATTATGGTTGGAGCATGCAAGATGTTACTTATATCACCAGAAATAAGACCTTGGTTGTTTCCCTCATCATCTCTATGACGTTGTTTACTTTGTTGATATTTTCCGTAGGTGGGGCAGGCGAAAGATGAAACTCTGACCAATCAGCTTATAAACTACCTCATGGGAGAAAGTGATGGCATACCAAAGGTACTGAATTCCACTTTAGTGAAATAGAGTTAAATCCTGTGAGCTGAGCATATTATCTAAGTCAAGAGTCTTCAAAGCTTTTAAGGCGAGAACCAGTTCATGGTCCCTCTTGGGGTGGGGGAGGCAGACTGTTGTTTGTTGTTGTTCTTGTGTACCTTCAAGTTGTTTCAGCCATAAAGCAACCCTAAGGCAATCCTCTCATTACTTTGGGGGCCCAGATCTGGCTTGTAGGCCTTAGTTTAGTGACCCCTGATCTAAGTGGATGTTGTAGAACAGTGTCATGAGTGTCATCCTTGCCTGGATCTGTACTGCCCTATATCCCAGAATCTGATCTCAGATTATACTTTTATATGAAGTACACTGCCAGATAATCTGAGATAAAAAGTTAATCTGGGATCAGATTCTGGGATATAGGATAGTGCAAATCCAGCTCTAGTGGCAAATCTTAGTCTACCTCCTGCTGTGGTTTCAGGATAGCGATTTCTAAAACTGATCACTATGGGTTGGGTTTCTGCTTATTGTGGCAGTCCCCCCTCATAGTCCAAAGTTTGGAATGCCAGAATCCAACTTTTGAGTTTTTATGATTCCCAGTGCAGTTTCCAACCTCATCTGTGAATCAATACAGAAAATTTTGAAGAAAAATCTTGCTAGGTTAGGCTGATCTGTGAAAGTCTCAACACAGCACCAAAAACTGAGTTTGGTAATGATTAGAAGTCACAATGAATTTCAATAGGATTCACCTTTGCTGTGTAACTGTTATTTCAGTCTGTCTCTTGCTCCTAGGAAAATTTGAGAAATGGTTTTAAAAAGTTGTATTCATTTTGTGTAATCATTCTGACTGGTATGCTAAACAATACTTCCCCCCTTACCAATTACTTTCCCCCTTCTTTGATCATCTCTTTTATTCTTTTGGCTGCTTTACTGCTTCTTGCCATAGTCTGTTTCTGTGAGTAACTATTCTGTTTTAACTAGTCATAGCTGCTGCTTACCATTTATTTGAATTAAAGCTTCAGTCCTGCACTCATATAACTTAGAGTAACACCTGCGGAATCCAGTGACATTTCTTTCCAAGTAAACATGCATAGAATTGTGCTGTGAGAGTCGAAACCTAAGATTCACTGTTAGCATCATTTGAGGAAAATGTATAAAATTCTGAACTGCTTTTCAGAAGCTTTTCTAAAACTAGATTTAAAACTTCATTAGCTCTCAATCCAAAACATATCCACAGGAACAAAGCTTTTTTCAATAAGTTGCACAGGGTAACAGGAAAATTTGACTTCTATATGAAACTTTATTCAGGTATTACTAACAGAAATGTTTTTTTCTGATTGAAGATGAATGTTTGGGATAGTTTCCATTGAATCTGATCCAGAATAAGACAACATATTTGAACTTAGTGTGTTGACCCTGTGGAAGTGTTCAGATCATACATACCAATAAAAAGAGTATTACTGAAAGCTGATTAATTAATTGGAATTAATTAATTAATTAATATGGAATCAAAACTCTCTATGAACCTACAAACTGTAGACAACTGGCCTGTGTTTGTTGATAGTCTGAGGACTTATAGAGGCTGCCCCATATTTCCCAGGATCTGATCCCAGGTTATGTTCTTATCCTTCTTATACATTATCTGTCAATGTAGACTCATATAGTAAAGGTAAAGGTTTCCCCTGACATTAAGTCTAGTCATGTCCAACTCTAGTGGGTGGTGCTCATCTCCATTTCTAAGCCGAAGAATTGGTGTTATCCATAGACACCTCCAAGGTCATGTGGCTGCATGGAGCGGCATTACCTTCCCGCTCAAGTGGTCCCTATTGATATACTCACATTTGCATGTTTTCGAATTGTGGGGTTGGCAGAAGCTGGGACTAACAGCAGCAGCTCACCCCACTCCCCGGATTCGAACCGCCGACCTTTTGGTCAACAAGTTCAGCAGCCTAGTGGTTTAACCCACTGTGCCCATAGACTCATATAATCCAGTTCAAAACAGATAATCTGGGATCAGATCCTGGGGTGTTGGGCAGTTTAGATCCAGCCAGAGAGTTTGGTGAAGTCAAAATTCATGTAATAATAACAGGGCTGTGTGCTTTCATGTCTGTATATACTTTTCCTTTCCAATATAGGAAGCCAAATATTTGTTTCGATTGTACATGGCACTGAAGCAGTACCGAGAAGCTGCTCGGACAGCCATAATAATTGCCAGAGAAGAACAATGCGCAGGTATGCGTCGTCATACTGAAACTTCAATTTGGTTCACTTCCACTACTTTTGAGGGAACAGATTGGTTAAATGTCAGCATTAGCTATATATTTAATTACCTGAGCAGGAGCCCCTGGTGGCACAGTGGGTTAAACTCTTGTGCTGGCAGGACTGCTGACCAAAAGATTGGTGGTTCGAATCCGAGGAGCAGGGTGAACTTCAGCTTCTCATGCGCAGACATGAGAGAAGACTCCCACAGGATGGTAACACATTCGTGCGTCTCCTGGGCAACGTCCTGGCAGACAGCCAGTTCTCTCATACCAGAAGTGACTTGCAGTTTCTCAAGTTGCTCCTGACACAAAAAAAAAAATACTGAAGTATTCATATAAAAAAGCAGATAAGAGAGGTGTCTAGAGAACTTGACATTATCATGTTTCATTCCATTGTTTTTAACTTTAGAAAAGTACTTTCACATGAGAACAGAATTTGTAATCCAGGGTGGGTTAAATACCTGTAAACTACCTTAGCTGTGGCTAAAGATAGAAACTGTTTATGTAGGCGTTATTTCGTTAGATAAGAAAGCTCATATAAAATGTGTTATATGAAGAGTTTAATCCTTCATCCTTGAGGTGTTTAAGTATTCTGAAGCTGTGGAAGCTGGAATGTAATGAATATGGGAAAACTGTTGTTATAAAACAGTAGGTTTCTGAAATGTAATAGCTGTTTTTTTTTTTTAAGGGAACTATCGAAATGCCCATGATGTTCTTTTCAGCATGTATTCGGAATTAAAAACCCAGAAAATTAAGATTCCTTCTGAAATGGCTACGAACCTTATGATTCTACACAGCTATATTTTAGTAAAGGTAATACTTTGAAATATGGAATTAAGTGAAATACACATTAAGGATGTAAGCACCCTCCTCTCATTTTCCACAGTAACTGGTATACACAAGCAACCTACCTCTGTCTTTAGTGCTAGTATTACTGTATAGCCAGTGTGACTTGTAGCCATTGATAGCTTCATTCTTCATGAACTTATTTGGTCAGCTTTTGAAGCCATCCTAATGGCCCATCCAGACAGTACCTTTGTCCCAGGAGCTCCCACAGCAAGCAGGAGGGTGACGAGACACCATTCCTTCAAAACGTGGAGGGGAGTGCTACAAACGACAAAAACCGCAAGATTTTCAAGTGTAGGAATATCCCGTTTCTGAGCTGAAAATCCTCATCTTCAAATGTCTGTATGTCCCTGAAACTGGAAATCACGGGATTTTAAATCTAGGTTTGTTCCCAGTTTTTAGATGTTTGTTCCTGGTTGGTCGGTTCCTAAAAAGAAGTTGACAGTTCAGTAGACCGCGAAAACTTTGTGTGCCAGAAATTTCATGATACACGTGGAGGGCATATTTTCTCTGGCCAGGACAAAGTTGTGTCCCCCTAGTCAACATGGTACATCTTTTCACAATAAGAGCAATGAGGAATAGACATGTATGACCCAGGAACAACACCCTGTCTACACAGATTGTCCTGCAGCTTATATAACCCAGGAAAAGAACTTATACAATGATTTGCAACATTGCATGTTCGCATATTTTAAGTTTTTTAAAAACCCACCGAAATCTCCAATGGAAGTTCTGTGGTGGCCATCTTGGGAGCCTCTGAATCCCGCAACAAAGCAGCAAGTGTGGACGATTGAGACAGAAATCCGGGACCAACAGATCTGTATGTGAAGTACCAGGATTTTTTGCCCCTGATTAAAACATGCGATTTGGTGCTGTCTGGAAGTTCCCTAAGGTTTTACTTGTATGTAAAATTTCTCTGACCACTTTCTTCATATCCTGCGACTTTCCTCTGAAGCACCTTCAGCTTGTATTACAATGTAGTATTTACAAATGGGACTAAACAGACATGTGAAATGTGTTACACCAAAGCTTTCCAAACTTTTCATGTTGGTGACATGCCTCCTTTGCGACATGGTATATCAATTTTTACTAGCAAACCAGAGATTAAACCAACCCCTTTTAAGAGTTCCATGCAATATAGATAATATATAATATGCAGTATATATGTTTCATTTAATCCTTACTGTATAAATGAGCTTTGGATTTTTTCCCTTTACACTTTTTATGTGTTACAGTTGATTTTTCTGTAGCTTTCTCTATAGCTCTTCCATGTGGTTCAACACAAACATTACACTATGTAACAACATAGTTGAAAAAAATCTGTTCCTGGTTTGAAAGTGTTATTTGAAAATCCTGTCGCCTCCAGTCTCATAAGATTTGATGTCCTATTCATGGGAATGTGTATATGTTTGCCTGTCACAGAAAAAAAAACTTTCATAAATAGTTGGCTCTGGAATATTAAAACCAGTAAGTAGTCTTTAGCTACAAAATTCTTAGGATAAAATTTAGAATAACTCATATTTCTATTTCAGATTCATGTTAAAAGTGGTGACCATATGAAAGGAGCACGTATGCTTATTCGTGTTGCCAACAATATCAGCAAGTTTCCATCCCGTAAGTGATATAGTAGGTGGGTTTAGGTTTGCAGATTTAATGCTAATCTTTATGCCATTCTTCAACAGATTCATTGATGTCGCGATTAAGAGGGATCTGCAGCCAATTCATTTTCAAATCTACACTGAATTGAGCCATATTGGGTTAGGTCAGAATTGGAATTAGTCAGTCCAGATTAGTCCAAATCATGTCAAATTGTTGCAAAACGTCACTATAAGGAGAACATTAGGAATGAGGAGAAGAGTTGGACCTTTTTCATGTGGGGCAAGGATCTCACAACACTCTTCATTCACTGTAGTTATGAGGAGGAATTATTCCCCTTTCTTTTGCTGGTTATCTTTTAGCAAATGGGAGGGTTTTAATGCTTTCTGTTGACTTTTCTTTTGCTGGTTGTATTTTAGCGGATGAGAAAGTTTGTGTTGACTATAGTGGTGGTCTTATTATCTTCTTTCTGCCGACATTTCATTCCTCTTTTCCTGAATGCCTAATATTTGCTGCCCATTTGATCATGCAGTCTTTAACTTGTTCTGTTTCTATGGACCATTCTAATATATATATATATATATATATATATATATATATATATATATATATATATATTTTAATTTTTTTATCTGTCTTCAATAGTTTATCACAGAAATTTTCTTTTTCAGAAAAACCTATTATCTTATCTTTCTTCTAATATTCTCATTATATTGAAACCAAGAAATATTCTTGTCTATTTGATTAATTTATTCTTCATCAAATATTAAGAAGAATCCTGTGTTTTCAATATATCCCTATTCGTAATCCACTTTTCTTGTTCCATTTCTCTTCTATGGCCTGCTTCGAATGGAGAGATCCATAGTGGAGTTTTTGTATATAGTCTACTTTTATATTTTCCCCAAATTTTTATTAATGCTGACTTAATGAAGTGATTGCAAAAATTCTTCTTTATTTTCTTTTTCCCATACCAGAGATAAGAGTGCCAGCCAGTTCATAAATTGAATCCTTCTAATGTCCGAGTTTTTATATTACTTAGAGCCGACCAATCTTTAATCAAGTTAAATCCACACGTCTTGTAATATAATTTCAGATCTGGTAGGCCGAAGCCACCTTTTTTGAAAAATTTGTTAGGCTAACGTACTTAATTCCTGGTTTCTTCCCTTGCCATACAAATTTATTCCACGTTTTCAAGATCTGTATATTCCTTAATATTTGTAGTGTCTGAAATAGATATAACATACATTTTGTTAATATAAAGGACATACTACTTCTACTTTTGCTGGACCCCCCCCCCCCCAAAAAAAAAAACATTAATTGCATAAAATCTACAATGCCTAGTAGTCATGGGCCCAGTTACCATCTCATCCATTTAATTCGTGCTTTTGTACCGTTTTGTTCATTCAGAATGCACATTCTCTGCCTGATAGTTTTGTTTTCTCGATTTTCCAGACGTATTATAAATCTTCCCCATAAAATGACACTTCTAATTAAAAAAAATAGTGGACATTTGACCCCATCTTTGCTGAAGATTAATTCAAAATTTCTCCTTAATCAGCATCGTGAATTTGTCCATTTCTGCTAGTTCACACATCTTTGTAAGCCAAACTTCTTGGGTCAGAGTAGTTGATTCTTTCCATCTTTGAGCATAGATGATCCTTGCTGCCATAGTCATATATAACACTAGTCTTCCACATGTTTTATCAAGTTATAATCTAACATTTCTAGCATGTAAAGTTAGGATATGAATTTACATGAAAAAGAAGAGTGTTGTGGTCGATTTTATGACAATTTTTAGATAGAACAAAATTCCCCAGATTTGTGTGGTCAGCAAACTACCATATCTGCAAAAGTCATGTACATACATGAAGAAACAATCATTTGAATTCGTTTTGGTTGCCTAGTACAGGTCAATAGTTGTATCAACAGGTGATACAACATTGGGTTTCCTGATTTTTATTTGGATTGAGACTGAGTCAGGTACGAGTAAGCCCAAACTAAATCAGAGCCGAGGCCAAATCCTAAACATATTATCATGAGTTGATAATGTCTCTTTAATAAAGTGTATGAACACCAAGATTATTTCAAATGGTTTAGACATTTTCTTGTTTCTCTTATTAAGATATGTTAAAATGTATTATTTGTCAATGAAGGGAGATTAAAACACTCTGAGAAGTTGGAGTGTGTACGATTTTGTATGTGTGTCAGGAGTGACTTGAGAAACTGCAAGTTGCTTCTGGGGTGAGAGAATTGGCCATCTGCAAGGACATTGCCCAGTGGATGCCCAGGTGTTTTACCATTCTGTGGGAGGCTTCTCGCATGAGTAGCTGGAGCTGACAGATGGGAGCTCACCCCACTCACCAGATTCGAACCACCAACCTGTCGGTCAGCAGTCCTGCCAGCATAAGAGTTTAATCCATTGTGCCACCGGGGGCTTCTATGGAGTGTGTGTGATTGTTCCAATATACATTGCTTTTACTCTTTTCTTTAATTTCTTCTGTCTTTGTATTACTCACTTTTCTAATTCTGAGAACCACAATCTTAAAGGATCATTCAAATCTCTGTAAATCTGTCATAGAATAAGATGGCATTTCAGTGAGTGGATCTTTGCTCTTATATGTGAAAGCAATGCCTACAATCCTAGAATTTTTGATTTGGGTTTTTTATTGTTGAAATAACTTGATGCTTGATGCCATGGATTTTGTGATTGTTACTGGCCCATGTCACCAACATTTGGGAGAGTCAACTGAATTAACAGAGTTTTTAAATCCAGAAAAAGATGACTGTGACAAAAAGCAAAAAAAAAAAAAAAAACCACTCTACACACAACATTATTGTCTTGTTTTACTTGTAGATATTGTGCCCATCTTGACTTCAACAGTGATTGAATGTCATCGAGCAGGATTGAAAAAGTCAGCATTCGGTTTTGCAGCAATGTTGATGAGACCAGAGTATCGGAATAAAATTGACCTGAAGTACAAAAAGAAGATTGAAGTAATGGTCAGGTTAGCTTAAAACAACAACAAGCCTCTATCTAAATGAGATTTGGAAATGCATTGATACAACTTTGCTTGCCCAGTATAAATGGACTAACTAAGCAGCAGCCTTAGGGTGCCATCTTCTGCATGCATAATTTGGGAATAACTCTTATTTAATTTATTAATACGCAGGGCAGGGTATTTAATCACTGCTGCCTAGCCAGTGTGCCTTTTAGCTGTTGTTGTTTCCCCCCCAGAAGCAATACAAGTAATAAGATTATGAGAGCTCTTTGTTCATCAAATCCAAAATCCCTTTATCCATTACAAGCAGAGGCAAGGTCAACTGAACTTCCCTTATCGTGGTCACTGTGAATCACACATATGGTTTATTCCTGCGCTCGTGCAGGCAGCCTCGGAAAATTCTAGACACCCTGATTTTTATTATTTATTTATTTCGTGTGCTTATACCCCGCCCTTCTCAACCCCCAAGGGGGGACCCAGGGCGGCTTACAAAAGGCACATCTTGGTGCCTGCACAAATACAATAACATATAAAAAACCAGCAATTAAATGGTCAACAATTAAAACAGTTAAAAACAAACAGTTAAAAACAACAATATATCACAATATTTTCCATGCGTATGTGCTTTTTATCCTGGTTGCACTACAGTATTGTTGCATTCCCCACAAATAACATATATTATATCACTCAGGGCCCTTCCAGACAGGCCCTTTATCTCAGGATCTGATCTCAGGTTTTCTGTTTATCCCAGATTATCTGGTAGTGTGGGCTCATATAATCCAGTTTAAAGCAGAAAATCTGGGATCAGATCCTGGAATAAAGGGCCTGTCTGGAAGGGCCCTCAGTCTTACAATCATCAGTTATTTCCATGTTATGCAGCAAGGCCCAGATTAAGTTAGAGTCTCATTCACAAAACTATAAAGCATGGGAACTTGAACCAACAGAGACCTAAAATCACAGCCCATGTACTTAACTAACACCTGTGGTCCTCATATATTACTAGTACACATTTTTACAGTCACTGATATAGGATAAGTTATACCCACTTTAAAATCACCAGCTTACAAATCTAAAAGTTAGTGCAAGGAACTAAATTCTCAGCGTTTTTGGCCTCCCTACTGGAGGTTCCCTCAACAGAGCCAAGACCAGATGTTTATTATAACACAGGAATGACCAGCCAGGTGTCCTCCAAATATTTCTGTTTGTGACTCTCATAAGCCCCTTGCATTGATGCCACCTGGAGCTGATAGGACTTGTAGTCCTAAACATCTCATGAGCCTGTGGTATCCGATCCTGGTATAGCTTTTCTGTGATTAGAGGCTGGACTAATGCTTAGTGATGAAAAACATGGCAATTTTAATGGATGACTAAAGCTGACAGTCTTTCACTTTCCTTGTGGACATTGTCTTTGCTTTCACCAGGCGGCCTGACACATCAGAAGGTGAAGAGCCCACAACGCCATGTCCATATTGTGACTTCCTGTTGCCTGAATGTGAACTGCTCTGTCCTGGGTGCAAAAATAACCTTCCATATTGCATTGCTACGGTAAGTATGAAATACAATAGGTCACTTGAGTAAAGGGGTCTGTTTTACATATATATCAAGGTCAAACTGCTAAACTTAAGAGTTCACATAACAATAACAATAACAGTAAGGATTTAAAGATAGAACTGCAAAGACTTTGGCACAACCAGTGGTGATCGGCACACTAAAGACCTTGGCCTGCACTTAAAAACAATCGGTGCTGACAAAATTACCATCTATCAGCTGCAAAAGGTGACTACTTGGATGTGCAAACAGAGTGCTTTTCATTTGAGGGTGGATCATCTCTCCCCAGAAACTGGAGAATCAAGGGCAGATTTTTTTTTCATCGCATAATAGTTGCACCTCCTTTAAAAGAAAGTGATATAAAAGTGTGACTGTTAATAGCATTATGATGTTCCTTCCCACTGGAAAGGAGCAGTAATAGCTCAGCTACTATGGAGGGGAGGTTTTGCATGATCACAAAATATAAGAGAATAGCCACCACGTGTCCCGAGTCCCTTTGGGGAGATGGAGGCGGGGTACAAAAATAAAGTTATTATAAAATAAAAGACATACGTGAATGTAAGCCACTAATACAACTCTGCTCCAAGAATACTACATTATCGGATTCTAGAAACTGCATTTGTTAAAAAAAACCTTTTCTAATAATTGCACTATATATTAGGGAGCCATGTGAACAATTTTCCATCAGCATTTATTATTCCAATTCTTTCTAGGGGCGGCATATGGTTAAAGATGACTGGACCATTTGCCCGCATTGTGACTTCCCTGCCCTACATTCAGAGTTCAGAAAGTAAGTTTGAATCGCTTTTAAAAAAATGTTATTTAAATACCAAGCACATTTCCCATGCCAAAAGTAAATCTGATGAACTCAAGTGGCCTGCTTATCTGATTTATTTCAGATCAAAATGCAAATTTCAGCCATTCTCTCCTGTTTTAGTTCCTCGGTGTAGCTTTCTTTTTCTCAGGTGTTGTCTCCCAATTTTCCTTTTCCTCCCAGACCTTTTGCTCATATTTCCACCTTACTAGACAATTTCTTTCAACTCTTCTGTCACAAACAGTGTTACTACCTTCTCAAGACCCTTGTCTGTTGTTTTCTAGCTCTGTAGCTTCCTATACATTTGAGATGTTCATTGTTTTAGTGTGAACAGTCTAAGAAACATTATAATCACTCTCTAAATATGAATTCAGCATGTGATCAAATCTTACTGCTTACATAATACTGTGATATCAACATGCTCATTTGCTCAATCCCTAATCGGCTGGGATAAATCTAGAAAACAAGCCAGCAGTATTATGGGATAAGGAGTGACAGAAAATACGCTTGTTGAATATTTGTTTATAAAGAAGTCTGAGGAAAAAATTGCTGCCTTTTAAACTGAAAGGGGCAGACATCAAGCAAAGGCCAGTTTGCGTACGACAATTCTGATTTTGAAATTTCGATTTCATCTCCCCTTCTCAACTGGAAGTAAAACAAAACAATCTCAGAATTTGTGCACAAATACTCCTTGATCGAGTTGCTGTGAGTTTTCCGGGCTGTATGGCCATGTTCCAGAAGCATTCTCTCCTGACGTTTCGCACACATCTATGGCAGGCATGCTCAGAGGTTGTGAGGTCTGTTAGAAACTAGGCAAGTGAGGTCTGTGGAATGTCCAGGGTGGGAGAAAGAACTCTCGTCTGTTTGGAGCAAGTGTGAATGTTGCAATTGACCACCTTGAGTAGCATTTAATGACCTTGCAGCTTCAAAGCTTGGCTACTTGCTGCCTGGGGGATTCTTTGTTGGGAGGTGTTAGCTGGCCCTGATTGTTTCATGTCTGGAATTCCCAGTTTTGAGTGTTGCTTTTTATTACTGTCTTCTGGAACATGGCCATACAGCCCGGAAAACTCACAACAACCCAGTGATTCCGGCCGTGAAAGCCTTCGACAACACATTACTCCTTTATCAGTGTACAGTGTTGAAAGCAAACTTGTCCTTGAGGCAAGATTGACAACTGTTACGATTATTAAACTATGTAACAAAAATTGAACAAAAATTGTTCCTGGTTTGAAAGTGTTATTTCTGTTTAATTGTGTCGTACTTACTTTGAAAGTAGTTGCTATTCTTCAGAAACTTCATTTTTGTGGCTGCTACAAACCATGTTGAATTGGTTGAGATTTTAGGAGATATTCGTTGAAAAACAATAGCAAAATGTGGAGCTATAGGATGTCCCATAAAAACAAAGTTTTTGCAGTTTAATAAACTTTTTCCATGTTTTATTATTGAACCAATTAGAAAATGACATTTATAATCTAGGGACAAAAATAGTGTTACATAGTGTTATTTGGGTGAAAACAGTGGTCCTTAGGGAACTTTGGAGAGCTGTACCACTTCAATTGCACCCTCTTGCTGTTCTTTCACCCCAAGTCCTTAAAACTTCTTTTGCTGGAAAATGTGTCACATTTCATACGTCATCTTCAAGGCAAGGGTCATTTTTCACAAAGAATAAGGGTGCTGGGAGATGCTGAGGGCATCAAAAATTGTTTGGAGGATTGCATGTAGCCTACAGAAGAGTCTAGATCAGACATGGGGAAACTTTGGCCCTTCAGGTGCTTTGGACTTCAACTCCCACAATTCCTAACAGCCAGGCTGTTAGGAATTGTGGGAGTTGAAGTCCAAAACACTTGGGAGTTCCAAAGTTTGCCCATGCCTGGTCTAGATGCAGCCAATATTTTGTCCTCAAAAGAACAGTATATGACATTGGCACAAAGAATTATCTATCCATTTGGTTTCTGCTACACTCCCAAGAAGAGCTGAAATACAACCGTGCTACTATGTTTTACAATATGTTGTGTTATTCACTGCCAATGTCATGCCCATCTAAGAAGTTGAGAGCTTTCCTCGAAGCAAAATCTACTGCCAGGAAATGACATTAATTTCTGAATTTGGGTTAGAAGAAAATTGGCAAATTGGAACTTTGCAAGTTGTGAATGTTTGTGTTGTCTGCTCTTAAACAGCTTGTTGCAAAATGACAACACGTGTCCCATGTGTTCAGAAAAGGTGGACATTGCCAGTCTTAGGAAAATAGTTGACTGTGCTCCCTACCTCAAGACTGAAGTGGAGCAATGACTTCAGTCGGGTAAGTCCTTTAACCTTGCTTCTCATATCTAGACTATAAATAATTGTTCCATAGGTTGTTTCAGAATTCCAGGAAGCATGATTGAATGCACTTTCCTGAACATAGGAGACAACATAGGAGATGCTAAGTTGGGTACAGGCACTTGAGCCCACTTCACTTTTCTAAGTGTGCAAAGATGGACAAGTGGGAAGCAAAAGTATGCTGGTGGCCTTTGCCCTGGCTTCATGCATACCTGATTCACAGAGGTACATACAGAACAAACACATAGCTGTTATATAGATTTCAGAAATCTATACAATTAGGTGTTTAGGGCCATGTATGCCAGTTGCAGATTTTCAGACTAAACACGCAGATGTCAAGATTTGAGTCCAGCAGAACAGCCAGTGCCTGGAGCAAAGAAAGCGGAGAGGGACATAGTGGCCATGTTGAAATATTTGAAAGGATTTGACATTGAGGTGGGGGCAAGCTGGTTTTTTGCGTCTCTAAAGACTAGGACATGGAGCAATGGGTTCAAATAGCAGGAAGATTCCACCTAAACATTAGGAAGAACCTCCTGACAGTAAGAGTTGTTGGAATAGGCTGCCTCGGAGTGTGGTGGAGTCTCTCTGGAAGTTTTTAACTAGAGGCTGGATGGTCATATGTTGAGAATGCTTTGTCTTTTCCTATCAGGGGGTTGAACTGAATGGCCCTTGTGGTCTCTTCCAGTTCTGATTCTATGATTCTGGGTAAGCAGCCTGTCCTTCTTCATTGTGGGCTCTGTGAATCACACAACTGAGTGACTAGCAAGCTTAGAAAGTTGGATGGCGGGAGAAATGTAACAGAAAGCACTTGACAAATATCAAAAATCTTTATTATAACTTTAAACTATTATTCTTTTTCTTTTTTACAGTTGATCATTTTTATAGAAGACAGCAGCCCAAACCCGCAAAGGAGAATGTATAGCAAAATAGAAAGTTCAACAACGACAGTTACTTTCTTTTTAATTTTTTTCATTCTTTTTTTACAAAACACACTTTTAATGAAGAATGTACGTCAAGCAACAGAAGACATTGAAGCTTAGGAAAGCATGTATAATAAACAGCCAGTTTATAATACAACAAAATGGATGAAGTTATCAATTTCGAAGGTCTCTGAGATGATACGGGTAGTTCCAGTCTTTCTTTAGTGTAACAAACAAAAAGTCTTGGAGGCTGTCTTACAGAAGATGACCTGTGTATATAAAAAGCCAGAGCCCTTTCCACATCCAAAAGTTTAGTTCTCTCTAGAGACGAGACTATGGGTTTGAGAAAAAAAACTGGGAGTATGATGTCCTGGTTCATGTGGAATGCTGAGACAACCATTTGTTGAAAAGAAATTTTTATTTTAATTCTTTGAGAGCACAGAACTCTCTCAAGTATCTCACTGAGGTAATAGCAGCAAGAAAGACCATTTTCCAGGTAGCTAAGTGCAGACCAGAAGTCCTCAAAGGCTCAAAGTTTCTCCAAAATATAGGATTCATATCTTAAGATGGTATTGGGTTGGAAACTGGTGGAGATTACAAATCATACTAATGGCATAATGGCACTACATCCCAGTCGTGTCTGAACAAATGGAAGCAATTCATTTCTTTCCTTAATTATCAAAACATTATGTCTGCAGACTGCTCAATTAGGGGTGTGCTTGAGTTTCTGGTCACCCTTTTGGGTAGGGGACTCTCTCCGACTTCTTTAAAGTCCTCTTTGTCAGCAATATCATGGACATGAAGAAAATGGGCAAGCTTTCTGCTATTAAATCATTCAAGAGTACATAGTAATTACTTTGTATGAGAGACATCTTAGACTCCAGTCCTCTATGCTGTCAGAGCGTCCAGATGTCAAACCCTCCCATTCAAGGTGGAGAGTAGGTTTTGACGATAGTAGAATTGGTGAAACGTGTCAAGATAGAGACAGAAGAGTTGAAAACCAATGTTGTCTCCACCATAGGGTTATGATGCAAGTGATCAAATTCATGATGATTTTCTCGAATACTTTCATAAGGGGAAATGAGGAATTTACCTCAAATGACCTCCATTTGAGAAAGAAGGCACCCCCCAGGAAAGGTCCCCATGATGCTACCTGATTCCAAGCACAGAAGATGTGGTGGTTTTTCTGGTTGCAAATAAATCTGTCTGTGGTGTACCCCATTCAAGAAACAGCAGTCGTAGAGTGTCGGTGTGGAAGTGCATGTTTCCAAAGATCTGCTTAGACCATTTGCAAGGTGGTACTGTTCCCCCGGTAGAGGTATCAACAAGAAATATGTCCAAGCAAGATTTTGACAGTAAGGGTCAGTAAGCTGGGAAGACATTGCTGTTGTGGTGTTGGTGGTAATTTGAACCTCCTTATAGCCATTACATTGCCAGTTTTCTATATGAGTCAGCTGTGTTTCACCAGCTGTATGTGATGATGAGCTAAAACAGATGCTTCTTGTCATAGTCGGAGCCCTGTGATCCTCTTGAGATAAGTTCTCAAAGGGTGCTGCCTTATCCCATAAATATTTTTGATGGGTACCCATGCAGGCACCATAAGTGAAGATTCCAGCCAGAAGCACAGCTAAAGTAGTTTCCTTCTGATGCAGGCTAGCTTCTTACCCTCTTTGTCTGCTGTAGAATTAATTTTTGGAAGACAGACTGAGCTCTGTCTACAAAGATTGTTTGGATTTAAATGGTGCATAAGCTAATCTACCTCAGTATTGTTCATCGAGAACCAGGCTGCAATTTTCTTCAAATATAGTATTGAAGACAGTGTGGTCCAGGAAGCTTTGATAACCTGCAGCAAGTATGAGGGGAAAGGTAAATATGTGTGTATTGGGGCTCTTCATACATCTTTGAAAGTTATTGACAATATTAGTTGTTTGTCTCGCTTCAAGACCCAAAGCATTTGCCATCCTAAGGACCTAATCATTGAAGGTATGCAAGTCGTTCGTTGGCGAAAGTCTTGCTCCAGAACTCTGTGCTCTGGTGAGGTGTTGAGTTTCAATGAACTTTAAGAAATTATATAATCCAAGTCTGTGAATGACAGAGAAGGGTGATGTCTCCTACCAGTATGTGATGGTGAGTTAGGTTCATATCCTTGGGATGGTAATGGGGTCAACCTTGCTGCACAGGAACACATGGAAGAGATGTAGCAGGGCCACTTTGAATAGGGATCGATAAGATTCATGTTAACATCTGATCCATCATTCATACCAAAATATATTTTCCAAATTTCTGTGGAGCCAAACCACCTATTGGTACAAAAATGGCTTTTAAGCTTTTTCAGCTTGTGACTTTTTTACCAGATAATTTTTAATGCAGTCCCAGGTATATGAAGGACAGAGGGAGTGGGAAGAGTGGAGAGACAAATGTGACTTGAGACAGGAAGGCAGAGAGCCGCACAGGCAAGAGACAGGAAGACACGCACTGGAGAGAAGGAAAAACTCAGACAAGTGAAGGCAGAGAGATGCATGGGAGAGGGAAAAGCAGAGACACACATGTACACAGGAGAGAAGGGAGGCAACCCCAACATACAGTTATGGCAACCCCAATTGGTTTAAGAAGCTCCATTTTATGTTCAAAGAGCAATGAAGATGTATACATGGAATAAAAAGAAAAAAGGAACATGAACATGCAGCAGACAGGAGGAATAATCTGATTCACAAGGTAAGTGAACATCCTAAGTGCGGGCAGGACCAGTTTCTCTTCCAGCTTGTCACATTTCTGTTCCCATTGGTATTTCCATTCCTTTTCACAAGCAAAACAAAACATGAAGAAAAGGAGACGGGATCCATAGGATATGTGAAGTTGTGCGTGGCTCCTCTTCCCCGGTGATAGCAGCAGTGCCTTATCTCCCCCACCAGAGATATTCATATTTTTTTCCAATTTCATGGGGGAGTTGCATCTATAATTTCTGCAAAAGTGGAGAATGGCTGTAAAAGGATTCTGGAGGGGTGTACAATGGCTTATGTATTAACTATATTTATAACCTACCCATCTCACTCTGAAGGGGACACAATGGCTTACAAGTACACAACAATTTGATGCCACATAAACAGACATGTAAATATAAATATACATTAAAAACAAAAAGAAAAGAAAAAGCATTGAACTGCCCTGGCTTGTTTGTGGGGGGAGAGGCATTAGTAGAGAGGAGTGACAGTGGAGAGAGAGACACTGTTGGGGGCTTGGCTTTTTGTTAATTTCTGTTCCACGATTAGGAAGAACACTAAAAATAGAATAGACCCATTAAAGTTGCCGTTGATACCAAACATCAGCAAAGAACTGGCACATGAGGCTCAGCCTCCAAATTTGACCAGGGAGCCTACATTGGAAGAGCTGCCTCCAATACCAAGAAAGAGAAAATGGCATCCTCTGTGGGAGCTGCGGTCCCAAAATGTGGAAGTTGTCCAGCAACAGAGAGAAAATATTAAAGCCCACTGTGAAGAAAATCAAGAGCAGGAGATGCAGGCCTGCTGGAAGACCTCAAAAAAGCAATGGCAGGAGCTCCATCTGCTGGACTGACAGCACAAACGCCCCTGCAAACCTTTCAGCCTTGGCCAACCCTGGCTTCATTTTGGGGAGAGAGGCGTTAGTGGAGAGGAGTGAAAATTAGTGGAGAGAGATATTGTTAGAGGCTTGGCTTTTTGTAAGTTTATGTTCCCCAATGACAAAGAACACTAAAAAAGAGAAGAAAAATTGCTGGGTTTAGGCAGAGGGCTTGTTAAAGTTACCATCAATCCTAAACATCCTCAGTACAGACCTAACACTTGAGGGTAAGGTTCCAAGTTTGATCAGGGAGCCAACATCGGAAGAGCTGCCTCCAATTCCAACCAAGACAAAGCAGTGTCCTTTTTTGGATCTGAGTCCCCAAAAAGCTTAACAGGCCTAACAACTGAGGGAAAATATCAGGGTCATCCACAAAGAAGACATAGTGCAAAAGCAGATGCATGGCTTCCAGAAGACCTCTAAAAAAGCAATGGCAGGACTTGTATCTCCTGGACTACTGACAGCATAAAGGCCTCGATGTGCACCACAATGGCTCCTGAAAACCTTTCAGCCTTGGCCAGACTTGGCTTGTCTGTGAGAAGAGGCGCGTTAGTGGAGAGTAGTGAGAGTTAGTTAGTGGAGAGACATTGTTGGGGGTTTGGCTTTTTGTTAGGTTCTGTTCCACCATTAGGATATACACTAAAAATGAGAAAGGCTGCTAGGTTTGAGCAGAGGAACCATTAAATTTACCATCTAATACCAAACATCTTAAGTGAAGACCTTTGAAACCATACATAGATTCCTGTCATGGACCCTGCAATTGGTTTTGAATAGACTTAATAATGCACTATTTGAACCAATTAAGCACATTTTTTTTACAACTGCTCTCCTTTAAAATGGCTTTTTAGTGGCTTCAATCAGAAGGGTGTCCAAGATGGCACCTCTTAGCTTTTAATGTACATTTGATCAACCGTTTAACAATTCACGTTGGCTCCAACATTTTTTCCCTAAAGTGTATTCTAAGGAGGGATACAACACTATGTAACATGATTTTTGTTCCTGGGTTATAAATGCCATTTCCTAATTGGTTCTAGCATAATGGAAAAGTTTATTAAACTGCAAAAACGCGCAGGACATCCTGCGGCACATTTTGCTTTAAATTTTCAAATAATATCTCATTTGAGTCTCAACCAATTCAACCAAGTTTGTGGCAGCCACGAATACGAAGTTTCTGGAGTATAACAACTACTTTCAAAGAAATTAAGTTCACACAATTAAACAGGAAATAATACTTTCAAACCAGGAATAGAAAAAAATTCAATTTTTGTTACATAGTGTAATGAATTTATTCATTTACCAAACTTGTGCCTTGTTTCAATGCACATGTTATAACATATTTGGCAGGCTTTGGATGTTAGAAAGGTGGTTAAGATGGATATTAAAAGGACAGCATAATTCAGAAAGACAGGCTTAAAATATGAATTCATCTGTGCTACAATTTGGATAAATATCCAAGATCTCAAAATATTTGGCCACATTCACCAAAATCAGTCACACCATAATTTCAAAGGCATTTGTGAAGCCGCTGAGTGAAGTGAATCAATGTTTTTGCGTGGCATTGTAAGTTAGATACAGATCTGCTCAAGCAGCATTTAAGCAGACTACTTTCATCTATAGTAGCTTAGTAGGGGTTCAACCCTCCCTATTACAGAAGCTTGAGTAAATGCCATTAGGTCCTCCTTTGTCGTTCTGAGAATAAAAAGTTCTACTTACCATGACGGCAAATTCCCTGTGTAATGTATATTTAAATGATGAATAGAATACTTCAGCTGAAGGATCCGACTGCTGAGCACAGGAAATTAGTTGGGCAGGGCCTGATAATAAAATCTTTACAGCAAGGAAACAATCCTTAATACTCCTGTCCAGTTGATTTGGCTCACAAAAATTAACCCATTTGTATGTGGATTGTTCTTCCTGTCTATCCCAAAATGATCCTTCGCTGCAAAGTATAACCTTTCAATTACGAACTAAAATGGCAGGATGGAGTCAGATGGGCTCTTGAATATCATTACTTCAGTCTGTAGCAGAAGAACCATGTGGTGTGTGAAAGTCATTTAACAGTCTTCCTGTCTTGTTTTATTGCCACACAAAAAGCAAGTAATTTGTCTAGGCAAAATAATGCTTTGTCATCCAGTTTAAGTGCAAAAAAAGTTTAAAATACGAAACTAGTTTTATTGCCACTTTTTCACATTGCTGCACTCTCCTCATGTACAAAAGAAATATCCAGTTTAGGGCGTGTTCAGTATATACTATGTACATATCTGTTATAACATAATATCTATTTAAAAAAATATCAGTTGCTCTGCAAAGGTGAAGTACACACTGAAAAAGCCAGTGCTTTTTCCTCCAAGACACAGCTAAGTTCTGTCCATATTTACACAAATCAGAAGAGAAAGATTATTACATTTAGAGCTGATCCGTGGCTGTGTGCGGACATCTCCAAGCCAGAATACTATCTTGTGGAAGAGTTTCCTGGCTGGTATACAATGTCCAGTCAGTAGGAGCGACTGAACAAATCTTGGGTATCATGTGATCTGAACCCAAAAAGACACTGATCTCTTGTCATGTTTCTTTCCTAACCAGCTTTCTTCCTTTGGCAAGTGTGTTAAGTCCTGCTGGGTTTGGACATCACAAGAATGGAACCACAGACATAAAGACGGTGGTTAGCAAACTCTAAATGCTTCATCATCTCGCTCATGGAGAATAAAGCCAAAAGTCTTTTGGAACATTAGATTTTTGCAATATCCAAAGGAGTCACTATATCATGTTTGTGAAGTAATAGCAAAACACAGGTGTATTGCCACTAACGGTCTTTTGACCCCATTCATTTTATCTACAAGCCAACATAAAGTAATATGATTAAAAAGCTTGCAGAGTTGGGTTAGTTTTGTCAGCACAGAAGAAATTCATTTGGACTTTTTCTTTGCTTTCCCCTTTTTCTTTTCTTCTTTTTTTTCTACCGTTGGTTGCTTGGTAGTCTTGGCCTTCTTCTGCCAAAAAATAAGATATATTTCACAAAGGTATATTTGATCAAAGCTACCCACCTAGCACTTTTTAAAAATTAATGCACACATTTTTTAAAAAATGACCACATTTCATCCACAGCTTTAGGGAAATTGTGGGTTGCAAATGAATAAAATAATAGCATTAAAGGTTATACTTTATCCTAACATCTCTTATTGATGGGCCAAGGAGAGGGGTCTACTCAGCTTGAAAGCTGCCATTCATTTTCCATTTAAAAAAACTTGTTTATAATGTTAGCAATAGCTTAATCTGTTTGTACTAAAGACATGCCTTCAGGTCTTTACTAAAGGCATGTCAAGATTTTTGCTCTCCATTGTAAATAAGGCACGTACATAAATATAGCTACAATTTTCACAAGTAAGAAAAGTTCCCTATAAACCAGTCTTCTGGGGTTTATCAAACCCCAGAAGCTAGCCTAATTTTCAGTTCAACTTCACTGCAAATTGAAATGTTACCTTAATCATGGCGTCATTTTCAACCGTCTCTTCTTCATTTCCAGACTGAACTTCATCAGCTTCCAGTTCTTCATTCTGTTCTGCATCCACTGCAGAACTTGCTCGTCGCTTTGTCTTCTGTACGAGTTGCAGTGAATATGGTGTAAGATGTGCCTCTTTGTTATAGGCTCGTGTGAAAGCGGATTTAACCTGTTCGTGATAAAAAATGGATGTGTCACTGAGGTTTCACTTTAGCCCTTAAATCAGTGCTTCTCAACCTTTTTTTGACCAGGGACCATTTTAACCAGGGACCACTCTCCGACATTAATACTAAAAAGGTTACAAATCAGTTTTTAGTCAGCTTTAGATTTTGTTTAGTTATTTGGGGTGTTGATTCAGAAAACTGCATTGGATAGACCACATCAGCTCTAGTTTCTGATACAGAACATATGCCATCCAGTAGTTGCCATCTACTTGCCCACATAAAACCATATTTAATAATCTGGAGCTGATGTGGTCTATCCAATGCAATTTTCTGAATCAGCACCCCAAATAAACCCAGGAGCAGGTCTAAAATCCAAGATACCAAGAAAATAACGGTTTCTTTGTTGGGCTGCAAAATTATCCATGGATTTTGTTAACACTCAGCGCTATAAGAGGGTTTCATGAGACCAGTCGCTATTGTTGCAACGGTGTAGTAATGGTGAGGCCTCGGACCATATTTTAGTTCTTGCCAACCACTGGTGATCCACGGACCACAGGTTGGGAATCACTGCCTTGAATCAACAATTTTTAAACTGTATGTTCATTGGATTCCATGAGCACTGGAGGCTGCTCCAGAACTCTGCATTTAGAAGACCAATAGTAATGGACACACTTCTCTTAAAAACAGCTTTGCCACTGCTGCCAGCCTTTCCCACCAATGTGCAAATTGCACTTTGTCCACATTAAGTAATAGAGAACCCCCAACTGATCTAAACACATCTGCACTGTTGAATGAATCCACTCTGACACCACCTTAACCATCATGGTTCAGTGCTATGGGATCCTGGAATTAATGGTTTTATAAGGTCCTCAGTCTTCTCTGCAAAAAAATACATTCCAAGATTCCATAGCATGGATCCACACAAAAGAACAACCACATATCAGCTGATTCTCATCCTATGCCTACAGCAGCCAGTGTATATATATTGGCGACCTCTAAATCTAATCTGAACTCATTTCAAAAACAGGATTAAAGTGCATCATCTAAATGCATTTCAAAGTCCTCTGCCAATTCCATTCTTCAGGAAGTGACTAAGAGAGTTCCCTGCAAAGAGCTACTTTCAACACTTTAGGTGTTATATGTTATAGGACAGGTGGCTCTACATTGAAACATTCCTTCTATACAAAGAATCTAGCAGAAAGTTATTATAACCTGCTGGAAACTTCCTGCTGGCTTCTTTAAAACAGGTAACAGGTTGCTAACTTGGAATGACAGCTCTTCAAGTGCATACATTCTAAACTCCTGGAAATAAAGACCGACTGCTCAATGGAGGGAAGGATATTAGAGGCAAAGATGAAGTACTTTGGCCACATAACAAGAAGACAGGAAAGCTTGGAGAAGACAATAGTGCTGGGGAAAATGGAAGGAAAAAGGAAGAAGGGCAAACCAAGGGCAAGATGGATGGATGGTATCCTTGAAGTAAGTGGCTTGATCTTGAAAGAGTGGGGGGTGGCGACGGTGGACAGGGAGCTCTGGCGTGGGCCGGTCCAAAAGTCAAAAGTGACTGAACAAAAAAGCAACTTGCCTTGGAATCGAGTTTAGAGAATTCGCTAGGCTTGCCTCCCCAGCTGGTCACTTCCATGATGCTTTCAACATCTTCCTTCAGCAAGCTGTAAGAATCCATCACTGCTATAGCATCTTGCACTCCTTCTGTTCCCAGGTGAGACAAAGGTCCCACAATTGCATCCCGGATGTATGGCAAATATTCCAGATTTACAGCTCTCTTGCTTGCATGCGTCCTACAGGGAAGGAGAAAAGGGTTTAGCAGGTGTCCCAGAAAACCTTTCTAAACTTGACCATAATAGCATGCTGCATCTCAAATGTCAGTAGCAGAAACAATGCAACAGCTAGTAAATCTTTTATCTCAGTCTAGAAAAATGCCAAAAGTTTAGCACTGACTCGTAAAAATGATTCTCTTGCCTCCACTAAAGAAATGCTTCAAACCTCTGGTGCTGTTGCACATTGTCCTTATTGGATGGTACAGAATATGTGTCAGTTACATAGCTTAAATCAAGGAATAAATGTAGTTACCAGTATTACCTGAGGCTCATGTGCATTGACAACTCTTGAATGATACGGTCATGTTTTCCTGTTGATGAAAATTTTCCCAGCCAGCTTGGAAAGTTTGGGAATTGGCTCATGTAGCCTCTCATTAGCTCTCCAGGGAGGACACTTGAATAAATGGCCTGAATGATGAAAGAAAACATTGGTTAGCTTTACACAGAAGATGCAAAACAGTGCCTTAGAAGATGTATTGAAATGGAGGAGAGTGAAGGCAGAACTCATCTACTACACCAAAAAATAGCTCCAATTTTGCCTGTTGCTTTGCCTAGCCTTAACAAGAACATAAATACAAACAAAAAGAAAGGAACATCAGTTTACATACAATAAATATGAATCCGTCTTTAAATTCATGTGTCACCAAGAATATAAAATTCTATGCATTGGTGTTACAATTACATTTTTAAACAAACCCATCAACAAGAGACAGTAGCACTAAAACAGTTTATTTATTTATTTATGACATTTATATGCTGCCCTTTTCACCCCGAAAGGGACTTAGAGTGCAAGTTATATGTACATACAACATATTATATTAGAGCATAGCACAATATTAGTATTATATACGACTATATTGTATTATACACTAATATTATTAGTAATATGAAATATAATAATAATATATTGTATTATTATTAGTATTATATTATTATTAGTATTAATTTATTGTTAAATTTTACTGATGATGGTGTACAATGTTTAAAATGATTTCTTGTGAATTGTAATTTTTATGGTATTTATGCTGTTAGCATCCTCTGATGCTCATGTGAGGCTGCGCTAACTCCCCCTTGTGGGGAGAAGGGCAGGATATAAATATACGAAATACATAAATAAATAAATAAATAAATAATATTGTATTACATTGTAATATTATCAATATAATGATTTTTATTATGTGATTTAAATGTTTTTAATTGATGTATATATGTATGTGTTGTGGCATCTAATTGTTGCCAATTTGTATGCTGCCCTGAGTCGCCTTCGGGCTGAAAAGAGCGGGATAAAATGCTGTAAATAAATAAATAAAAATATTAGCACAGCACAATTTTGGTATTATATATCACTATATTGTACTATACCACTATACTGTAATATAATTAGTAACATTGCATGTAATATAAAATATATAATTAATATATTGTATTATTATTAGTATTATATTGTATTACATTATAATATCATCAATATTATATCTGTATACAATTATATATATATATATATATATATATATATATATATATATATATATATATATCAAGTTGTACTCAGTATCATTATTCCCCTTTCCTCATTTGTATGCTAGCATGGCCAAAAATGTCAACATATCAAAGTGAGTTGTAAAACACTCTCAGTCTATTTATAGTGCCGGAACTCAATGTCTAGAGGGAATTTCCTCTTAATTAGGAGGCAAATTCACCACAAACCTATTAGTCTTGTTAGTCTTGAAACAAACCAGCACATTAACAAAGATCTTCCACTCCTTTTATCAGAATGACATACAGAGAACAAACTTACATAGATAACAGTTTCCATAGCCATCTCTTACTAAACAGAATAAGCAAACATCTCTTCCCAGCCTCACATGAATGCAGCCTTGCTAAGCAAGTCTTGCACAAGCATGCACAATAAATGCAACAACTTTAAAGATACAGAACAGTACTTTCAGATACACTCTAATAAGAATACAGACAAATCCTTTTCCCCTACAGGACCAAGAGAATTCAAAGGAAAATCCAAGTAAGTCTATTTTTGCAATATTAACTTTTCAATGTCCACTCTATTACATGACTGTTTCTGAAGCCTTTCAAGAGAAAAAAACCCCACTGAATTTATGAGAACTATTAATGGCATATGACACTAAATGGCCCATGACTCTCATTACTCCTCATCTTGCCATTATTCCCAGAAAGTCTTCAAAGACCTAGTAGCATTGCCTACATACAACAATATTAAAAGGATATGGGTCTGCAATAGCTTGCAACAGGCAACTGCACAACTAGACAACACATTAAACAAATTATTCCTGGTTTTTTTTTATTAAAAATGGAAAATATTCTGTTGAAAGAAGTGGCTCCTTTTTCCCTTTAAGAGGAAAAAAGGAGGAGCAGAAGAGAAAGAGGACGAAGAAGAGGAGGAGGAGGAGGTAGTAACTGTTGACAGGAATTTTCCTCTGCCCTACTTCTAGCTTTAGCAATAATAGGAAGAGATTTTACCATACAATGTAGTTTGAATGTCAAAGAATCAAAACTGCAAAACAACATTATTCTGTAGAACTGTGCTTAAAGAATAGAAATAGGCTCCTCAAAAGATCAAGAAACTTGAATAAGGAAGAAAAGCTGAAATTATTCTTCTCTCATGCAATATCCAGTAGGTCCAATAGGGTAAAAGCTAGTGAGGAACTCAACAAGTCCTCTAAAAACTTTCAGCTGTATTGCATGCTTTTGTATAGGATGCACTGTTAGATAACACATAACACAATGACACTCTGCTGATTCTAAAACTTCTAAATTTTGAAATGAGAGTCAAAACAATCCTTCACAAATTAATTTTGATTAGAAAAGGGCTAAAAGACAAAACTTTCTCATCATAAAACAATCCAAAATTAAACAAAAGATAGTGCCAGAAGATGAAACTCCTGAGTTGGATGGTACTCAATGAGCAACTCGGGTAAAACAGAGGAACAACTCCAAGTAGCATTGTGGTTAATGACTCAACTCGATTCAAGTCAAAAGGACATTCAGCTGTGGACATACTCAGAAATAACAGGAAAGTCCAAAGTTGCACATCAGGTATTATTGAGCCGGTTACTTGATAGCTATTTTGTTCTAACCACATTAGGATGCAGAGACAACAAATATGTGAATTCACTTTCTCTTAAATCCTATTTTTTCTACCACCGGTCTTACTGACAGATATTTTTGTTTGCACATTAATACCATTTTCTGCACATACTCTGAAAATTGTCAGCCTCAGCGGACCAGGAAGTATTAAGTTACTGGAAGAAGATGGGAAGTATTCTGTGTACATAATCTCTACATACAACACAATGTAGCAAAAATGGGGAAAATTCTGTTCCTGGTTTGAAAGTGTTCTTTCCTGTTTAATTGTATGTATTATTCAATGTATGTATTATTCAAACTTATATGCCGCCACTCCCCTGGGGCTTGGAGCGGCTTACAAGAACAGGCTAAAATCTAACATAATTTAAAAACAATTTAAAACAATTTTAAAACACTTTAAAAACAACAATATCAAAGATCAAAGGCCTGTCGAAACAGATATGTCTTATATGCCCTGCGGAAAGCTGATAGGTGGCAGAGTATTCCAGAGTGATTGTGCCACTGCTGTAAAGGCTTTGCGTCTGGCTCGTGCACAACTCAGTTTAAAAATAGTTGTTAAACTCCAGAAATTTCATTTTTGTGGTTCCAACAAACTATGTTGAATTGGTCGAGACTCAATGAGATATTCCATTGAAAAACTATAGCAAAATGTACTGCAGGATGTCCCATAACAACAAAGGTCTTGCAGTTTAATAAACCTTTCCCATGTTTTTATGATCAAACCAATTAAGAAATGACATTTATAACCCAGGAACAAAAACGGTGTTACATAGTGTAATTGATATATTATGTGCCTACAGTTGGCAGAAGTAGATATCCTGAACAGCACAAACAGACACTAGAAGTAAAAAAGAAGTGGGTAACCTGTGTAGGTAAAAGGCTCCAATTTTGTTGACTGCGAATCTGTCGGTCAACTAAGTCACCATCACATATACTGTCAGCTGTTTTGCTAAGTAACATCAGATGTTTTTTCATATTATTCCTGTAGGGAGAAATGATCAATTGTATTAACCATCCATAAATGTCTTTTCTCAGTTTGTAATGAAATAATCATCAATACAGAATAATGTGATCTTACCCAGCAGCTGCTGGCTGCACATGGATATAGTTCTCCTGGACAAAGAGTGGGCTTAGAGAGTAGTCATGGAAGAACAGGTCTGCTTTGTCAATAAGGGACATGTGAGAAGTCTCCTCTCCAGTAGCAAAAACCTTCCTGACAACATCAAAAGGGCCCTGCAAAAATACAGGTTTCAAACAAATACAATTTAATGCCCTTTATCATCAAGGACAGTTTCTCACATATTGCCTAAAGCAACTTCAAGCCGCCAGTACTATCTATTCAAGGATTTGCTACAATAGCTTTACATGATATGTCTCCATAAGGCAGACAACAGAGATCTGAATATTTAAAGATGCTGGTATAGCTAACCAATTCTGCAAATAGATTCAGAAGTCAAACATTATTGGCGCCACTATAAGACCGCATTTCTTGTTTCTTGAGAGCATTATAAAACAAAAAATGCACTACAGTGTTGCTGTGGCCTGTTTCCCCTACTTTGTATTTACATCATTCCTGCTTTATAGGGCAGGAAACTATCTTGCAACACAACAATGCTTCCCTTACCAGTTTGATATCCTTTTTAGCTTTGCTGGCATCCTCTTTAACACCATCATAAGTCAGGGTTTTGTTTCTTGCAGACCACATGCTGAGATTATGAAGTACCTTTCAACAACAGAACAAAACAAAGGATTTCAGTTTGCCAGCAGTGCCCCATGGAAGCTTAATTTACAAACAGACCTACATCTAATAACATCAGATACTACAAATAATTTAATATTTACCCCTTAACAACACTTTACATCAGTTCTCCATCCTCATTTTAAAAGGTCTTCATGTCTCATTTTTCTATCATTGCTTCGTAGTACATTATTCTACATTCCTTTATTTTGACATTAATCTCTCTATCCAAACAATGCTAAAGTCCCTTTTCTGTCAAGCAATGCAAACTCTGCAGAGGAAACTATTTGTATTTAATTTCTGAATTTTTGAAACCCCATTCATATTGGACAGACCTATAAATTACTGAAGAATTCAACCAAAAATGCCAGCAGTGATAAATAACTTACTTGTCTAATATCTTGATTAGCTGCCAAGATTATTTCATTCATCGCTGGCGGTGGAATCTTTAATCCTTCTTTGTAGGCAATAGACATCATTGCACCCTGCAAGAAACAAATTATTTCAGAATAGGCCAAAATATATGCGTACACACATATACATATATTTTCATACATTTTAGATATTAGAGTGAGCAAATATGTTTACAGAATTAACTCTCTGTATGGAATTATCTGTTTCAAGATGGTGACTGAAAGTCATTTCCATGTTGTTGAGATAAGCATCTCTCTTGCTCTACTGAACACTTACCAGATATAGATTTGACTTTAATTTCCAACTTATGTTTGTCTTTCTTTGTTTCCGTTTCCTCCCCCCCCCCCCCCCCCCCAGTACTGCCTGCTGCTAAAGAGACCAGCTTTCTGTTTCACTCTCACTTGAGGTTATAAATATTTCCTTAACAGCTCTTAAAATGGGGACCTGTCCTTTTGGTTAGTAGCATCATTTGGCTCTTTTTCTATTTTCTTTCCATTCAGTTTTCATTCCTCTCCTTCGCTTTGATTCAATAAATATTTTTCTCAAATCACTACACTTCTCACTTTTCAAGACCGGCAAATCTGCGGACATCAAGGTGTTTGATTTATTATTATTATTACTTTTCCATGACAACTATTCAAGCTCCCCAGTACCCCATCTTTGGCTTTCAAATTTTTCTGCATTGACTCCATATAATCTAATTATTTTTCCCACGTTGATCTGGAGAAGGGTATATATGTCCAGTCATATGTGCAAGAAAATAGAAAATATGGGTAGAAGAGTAAGGGTTCAACAGTAAAAATGGAAAAAGAACGTTGCATTCCTGCTGGTTAGGTTTGGCATGCTGGGAAAATCTAGGCATTGTGGATTGTTCCATCCATCCATCCCGAGAATTAAATTTCCCTTCTCCTGGTGCCTTTCAATTCTCAGAAGGCAAGCTAGAGTCCTGTTATATCTGCTCTGTTTCATTCTTTTTTCTCTTCCTGTTTCTGATTCAGACATCATGACTAACAACTGTGAATGATTAAATTAGGAATTTAGATAGGAGAGAGGGAATAGCTTGACTGACTGGCAAGGAAGGAATTGAAAAACTGAGGAGTTGCAAGTAACAGATGTAATGTTTCCAAATTCTGAGGATGGACTTCGTTTCAAGCTTTGAATAAGACAGACAACATTCAGACAGGTGGAGTGCCTTGTCCCTCAACTTCCACCACCACACCTAGCTTTTTACAGTTTGAGACTGCTGACGAAGTCTGTTTCTTTACATGCCTATGTCTCCCCCACCCATCCCCACAACACAGAAGAAATAGTCTGACAGAGGAAAATATACAGTGAAAACAGATGATTCAGTTGATTTGCCTAGCTTGTGAAAAAGTGAGCACACTTAGAAAATACATGATATTTAATATATATGTGTGCTTCTTTGGGCATAATAATCTTCACAAGATACTGTAAACATTTCAAACTGAAGCATAAAGATGCTATCAGCAATACAAAGAACACTAATGCTTTGCAATGATTTTACCCATTATCCCAACACGGGTATTAATGCTTAAAATGAAATAAAAACATTTTAAGCATTTTTTAAAAACTCAAACAAACAATGGTTGAGCCACATAAGCAGTAAACCTTGCAAATGCAGGTGCTGCGTGTGCACACTACTTGTAAGTGTCCTGGAAGTCTCTTTATTTAGAAAATTTGTTCTTATTTTCTCACGGTAATAAAGTTAATTTCTTATTTCCAACTCCCTAACACTAACTACTCACCTTAATCTGTTCTACACGTGGTCTGTAAAAGCGAAGGTCAAAACAGTAGTGGACGAGGGAACGGATCTTGGGATGATTCCGATCATTACACATACAAATAATAGGAACCTTGGTGTGTTTAATCAGGTCAATCAGCTCCTGAAAGGAATAATCATAACATTGTTGTGAAGTTCTCTGTACTGAGCTGACCGCACCACTGTATACATTGATGGACATTTTAAAGTATCTCACCTAGCTTTCAAGAGACCAATGGTTTAATAGTATAAAGCAGGGGTTCTCAAACTGTGCTCCTCTGGGTGTTCTGGACTTCAGCGCCCAGAAATACCACCCAGCTGTCAGGAATTGTGGGAGCGGAAGTCCAAAACATCTGGACGAGCACAGTTTGAGAACCACTGGTCTAAAGGATATTCAAAGTGCTAATAGTACTAGACAACACAAAACCTTTTTGAAGCCACTTTAACTAAATTAAGGTTTTCATATATTTTTGTATGCCTCAAAAAGCCCTGTACATAAAAACAGAAAATGATTCTCTTTTAAAAGTCATGGTAATGACTCTACCAGCATCATTGCTGCCATCAATATAGGTTCTTGCCTCATAGAAGCATGCAATCCCATCACAATGGAAATGCAATGGCCTTGGTGGGTTTATAATATTATATTTTTCTAACCTCAGCTATCCCAGACATACATAAAGGAATGATCAAGTCTTCTTTCCACTCTCAATTTTAATACAAAATTGTATGTACATTCATTCAATCTGTCATACTCTCCTAAAACATTTTACCTGTATCCCTCCTCTGTCTTCATTGCCCGCCATTCCATCCACTTCATCCATGATTAGGACATGTTTTGAACTGACTCTAGACGATTCTCCTAACAGTGATGAAAACAAGAGATTTACACAGAGCTCTTCTGCAAGCTTGTTTTCTACTGTCCTGGAGACTAGGACGCAGAACAATGGCTTCAAACTACAGGAAAAGAGATTGCATTGAACATTAGGAAGAATTTCCTGACTGTGAGAGCTGTTCAGCAGAGGAACTCTCTGCCCTGGAGTGTGGTGGAGGCTCTTTTTGGAGGCTTTTAAATAGTAGCTGGATGGTCATCTGTCAGGGTGCTTTGAATGCCATTTTCCTGCTTCTTGGCAAGGGGTTGGATTGGATGGCCCACGAAGTTTCTTCCAACTTTATGATTCTAACCTCCAAATAATATTTATTTCTAAAAATGCCATCATTTACTTTTAAATAGTGAGAAAAGAGCGCTGCTTAGAAACTTTTTTTGTTTTGTTTTGAGAACGAGGGTCTTAAATACAGCACTGGCAGAAGTGTGAACTGATAAGAATAAAATCCATAGTGATAAATGAGGATACCTGAACAAAAACCTTTAATGCTGGTGTTATTTAGGGATTCAGCAACCACTTCCTTCAGGCTGTTCTTACTGCGTGTATCACTTGCATTTAACTCCACATAGCTCAAGTTGAGTTCCTAATCCCAGCAAACAAACCAGAAAGCAGTGTCATTAAAAAAATCCTTACAGAAACACATTATAGCCACCAATGTGATGATGTGACTCTATTCATTAACCTCAAAGCAATTTGGATCTTTCCTAAACTGGTTATTGTCATTTACCCAAAGACACCTCTACTGTTACATTGATTTTTGTGATTGTTATCAAGAAAAAATGCTCTCAAGGAGAAATAAAGCCTGCTGAAAACATGTGCCATGAGCTTCTATTTTATGATAATAGAGCACCTGAACAATAAGAAGACATATGGAACAGAACACTATGAGATATTGTGATTTAATTATTTTTAAAACTAATTATTTTCATTTAAATTTATGAGACAACCCCACAATCTTGCTAACACTGTAGTTAAATGTTTTATATGAGCTTAATTTTAAAACAACAATAGTTTACCCTGCTCCTCACTTCCAGTTGCCAGAAAGGCAACTATGGAAACCACTTCCAAAACAGTGTTCTCTAACCTCACAATTCCCAATATGCCCCACCAGCTTAGGAAAAACTCACACAAGGCAAGGGATATACAGAGAGAGAGAAAGGAAATAAACCAGTCTGCATATCTGACTGATGCACCTTAGTCTTCTCACTGTATAAAGCTAGTTGCTCTCATCTAGCAAGTACAATAAGCAGATTGGTTTTGGAAAGCATATTCATCTGAGAAAGCAACTATCAAGTTCCAATAAATCATCAAATATCAAAACATTTAAACATTTCTACAGCGACCCTTTTTGTCTTGGTATAATGAAAAGGCATCAACAAGGACAAGAATTCCTGCATTCAAAATTCACATAAAAAGATTGAAAGTGGAACTCACCTCACAGACTAAAGAAGCTGTAGTAGTTTTACCAACCCCTGGGGGGCCTGAGAGTAAAGCTGCTTTGAAACTAGCCCCGTCATCTTTGCCTCCAAACTTACTGGGTTTTACTGTAGATGAAACAGAGCAAAAATGTATCCAGTCAGGCCACCTTAATGGCAAAGGGGTTGACAGGTAAAATTGTATGATTCTCAATGAAATAGAAACAATTTCACTACCCTTTTCAAGATGTTGGGGCACCAAAAATTGTCAATAGAGATATATGGGATGTAAATAGTTCTATAGGTAAAGTATCCCTTATGCAGAAATCCAAAACGCTTCAAAATCCAAAACTTATTGCAGCAGGGCTCCTGTTTGCTCATTTGCAAGTAAAAGCGGGTGGCTTCCTCTTGTACAGTATGTACTGTATTTTTTCCCCTGAATACAGTATCAGGTTAATTATATCCATACTCTGAGATTGTCAATCTCTCTCATGTCATGCACAACACAAGTAGTAAACAAATGAAGTGCAAACTGGAGAGACATGAGGATCTGTGAAATGGTGGGAGCCATGGATTCCCACCAAGTAGTATGCTTGGATTCCTGTCATTAAACAGATATTCCAAAATCCAAATAAATCTGAAATCCAAAACACTTCTGGTTCCAAGCATTCCAGATAAAGGACACTCTACTTGTATATGGAGGAGTAACTGGTGAGGCACCATTTGCAAGTCTGCAATTAACTGACACAAATATTCACACTTTCTATTTATCCATCCGTGTGATTATAACCACATTTTTAAGGTAATCACCTGCTATTATCATCAAAAGACAGCTAGCATTATCCAATGATTTGAGTGTTAGACTAAGGCCCTTCCACACAGTCATATAACCCAAAATATCAAGGCAGAAAATCCCACAATATTTGCTTTAAATTGGTTATCTGACTCCACACTGCCATATATTCCCGTTCAAAGCGGATGTGTGATTTTATTCAACTGTGTGGAAGGGGCCTAAGACTCCAGGAGAACAGGATCTACTATATTTCGTTGCATAATAGTTGCACTTTTTATCTTTTTATCACCTAATAATTTCTTATCCAATTACCATGTTTGTTTCCTGAAGTATTCTTGTGCCAGTTTCGAAGCCAACGTAAAAGTTTATTGGCACAGCTCTGGTCTCCCTGTTGTCCAATGACTGTTTTAAGAGTTGTAGGTCTGTATTTGTCCACCCAAAGTAATACTTCTGTGTCATTTTTACTTGTTTGTTGAACTGAGCTTCCAGTATTTTTTGGAACTTGCTTTTTCTCTAAGGTTTTCTCATCAAAGTCCAAACCCCTCCTCACATCCACAGTTGCCTTCTTGCTGGATTTGAAGTCTGTAGAGGTGGAGACCTTCCTTTCCGGTTCACCTTCCACTTTCTTTGGGCTAATTTTTCTTTTAACTGCCTCGCCTTTCAGTGGGGTGCTCTCTCTGGTGGGTTTTGTTTTCTTTGCCTTTAAAGACAAAATAGAACATCTTTGAAAGATTATCTACAGTTATGTCACTAGGATCACTCATACACTCCTATCTTTCTACCTATTAGTCATGTGTATTTGGGCCAAAGGCATACCATTTTTGGTTTCGTTTCTGTCTAATTCCTCACTTTGTTTACCAGAAAGTTACCCGAAAGGTTTCATTTGGCAGAGATTTGACCCATTGACTACAATGGAAAACTTTAAAGACTCAATATGCAGCCATTTTAAGGCCTATCTGCATGAAACCTACCTCGGTTGTAGACCCCATTTACAACTGCAGGCTTGCCAAGTTTCAAAACAATTCACCAAACTATTGATTTTTTAAAACATTATTTTAAGTTTTAAACATAACATATTTTTAAAATGAGATAAACTGAAATGGAGGATTCTGGAAACTGTAGTTGCCAGTTGTGTCAGAGCATAGATACCACCAGGCTTTTGATTGGCTGAGGGATACACACAGAGAGAGAAAATGTCAACTTCCATCATGCTCTGAGAGGAACTTTCAATGGCGCACCTTATGCTACAGCCACTGGGAAAGCAAGTTCTAAAGACCCTTTTTGGAGGAGGGAACTTTCCAAGGAAAAATGGAAGAGGCTTCTTCTGCCAGGGAGAGAAAGACACCGCAGCCCCCCCTGCCCTACTACTCCGAATTTAGAAGACTGAACACAAACCATCTGGCATCATGTGCTTAGTCCCTCTATTTATAATTTCAAAACTGGTGTTTCAGTACTTTTTGTACTGAAGCCAAAAAAAAAAAAAACCCACATCAGTTTACACAAAAGTCTACGAAGGATTAACAGCTATTTCTCTGAGAAAATAAAATTATGTTTAGGGTGGTATGGCCATAGGCAAAATAACATTGATCGGTACAAACCTCTGCTTCAGCTGCTATTTCATACTTTGATTTCTTGCCTGGCATCTTCTGAATCAAATCAAATAAACCATCTTCATCAATTACTTTTGTTCCTAAAGCTGATGCCTATTTAAAAAAAAGGAAGAGCTGTATTACATGGGAGATTGGATTTACCGTGAAGGATCATTCTGGGATGGCATGAGGAGCAATCTTCCACTCTTGGGTTTCTCCCCCATGCCAATCTTAATCTAGACTTGATATCCACAGGGTTCGGTTTTAGGACTCCATGTGGATATGGAAAAAGACAAATTGTAGCTAATTAACAGGGGGATGGGATGAAAGTGAAAAACATTTTCATTGCTTATTTATCTCCCAAAAATATAACTCAGCAAATAAAACTGCAGAAAAGTGGGAACTAAAATAGTTATGAGACTTTGGAAGGAACTTGATTCAGTGCAGCAGAAATAAAATACTATTGGAGTATATATTAAGATGTTGGACATCCAAGACTGGAAAAATATTGATTTTTCTTATACTCAATATTAAAATTTAGAATCATTAATTTAAACTGATTATGGCATTCTTCCTGCTCACCGGACAGTGGAAGGGATCCCTACACATCTAGACTGAGAATTAAAGTTGGTTATGATCAAACAAAAATAAATACTAACACATAATGGATATTTAGGAACTGCTATTGACTTCTGCCAATGCCCATTAACTCACCCAAGTTTAAATGCAATGGGATAAACTAAAAGAAGGATGGGTAGGCTAATCAATTATTATTAGCTACGAATGTTAGTTGGAATGCTAAGATTCAGCTTCAGTATACTTCTAAATATCAGAGGGTTGGGAAAATCAAGGATGACAATCACTGTGCTGCACTTCCAAAGGAAACACTAATGCCAGAATACTGAAGGAAATTAACTCAAATCTGCTCCAGTAAGAACAACATTGTTGTCCTGACTGGACTACAGTTATCAAAATTCCCACTATGGCTAGTTCTAAGAAAATGTTCTCCACAGAATAGGAGAAGAGCATAATGTATGACTCAGAAGTCACTAGCTATTAAAGCAAGAGATTCTGTGACTACAAAAGATTGTTGAATTAGATCTGGAGTAATTTACCTTCTCACACTTAGACAATCCACAGTCACGGCCTTTAACAAGAAAGTTTGTCTTCTTGCTGATGTTGCCAGTGACTTTCCCTCCATAACGCTCAATTAGAGATTTCGCTTCATCACGTTCGATAGATTCCAAGACACCTGTGATCACAAATGTCATACCTTCCAGGCAATTTTCTGCACCCTAAAGTCAAAATAGTACAACATGGAGTATTACATTTAAGGCGACTGATACATAACATAAAATACTGTCTTCTATTTATCCATTTTATCATATGCACCAAATGTTTTTTAGTTGGCTGCAGATACAATGTGGGATACAAATGTGGGAACATAATATTCTTGAATAGTCGATACTTAGACCTACTTGTGGTAGCACTTTGGTGCCAAGTGCTTTTGGACCTTCTCGATTCAGGAAGCTTCTATAGGCCTGATAGTTAGCTCGTTTCTTTTCAGAGTCTTCAGGGCTAACAGACTGTAAAGAGAAAGAAAAACGCGGCATGGTTGCACATATGCTAATCTTCACTACATACATTTTATTTTAAAAATCTATTTCAAGCCGTTTCTTACACAAACACATGGCCGACAATCTTCAGTTCGAATACATAAGGAAACTTTCTATGTAATATGCAATCTTTGAACGTGCTCGAAAAGCGAGTGTGCACTTCTCTCTATCATACAGCTCCACTGACAATTATCCAAAGAGCTTTTTAGTTCCATCAACATGAATTAAAAATCAAAACAAGACATCCCTCAAAAGCACTCCTCAGACCTACCTTAGCTTTTTGGGGAGAAACCTTTTTAGGTGTTTTCTCCTCTTTTGGTGAAATGATCTTTCCTTTTGGATGCATACTTTCTTTACTAGTATTTTCTTCTTTTGGGGTCCCATTTTCTCTTTTCATACTCTCTGCATTTTGCTTTAGTGCTGATAACTTGGAGCTAGGTTTTGAGGTCAACATCCTGGTCCCCAAATCCTTCCTCTCTTTACTAGTACACGGTTCTGGCTGAAGACTCGTTGTTCTGGTATTATCCAAATGAATCTGCTCCACTGTAGAATGAGGTCTTGAGTCAAAAGTTGAAATGGGAGGTTTTGCTGGGAAAAGACGAGAGTCTTAAGCATAACATAAAATGTTACAGCCCTTTAAGTTAAAAATGTATTACTCCAGACAAGAATTACCTTTGCTAACTTGTTTATTTGTTGATATTTTATCTGGACTCATTTTGGTTGTTGACGCTGACTGTTTCTCTGCCAGATCTTTTCGAGGCTAAAACAGTAAGAACAAAGTGAATGTCCATGATTAACTGTGTTGAAAATCTAGATTATTTTTTATATTGAACTAAATATTAAACTTATATTTACAAATTAGGAGACTATTAAACTAACATCCCCACTTTTTCCTCTACAATATGCTAAGGTTATCCTCCCACAGTCCAAACATGAAGCTCATAAGATGCTAGCACACGAACTAGAAAATGCTCAAATGTCAAGATACATGATACTCTATGTCACTGATTGTCATGCTATCTGACATGAGGGACCAGCAGTTGTATTTTCCTATGTGTCAGGGACCAGTACTATATTTAGGCTCATTGATTATTTACCAGAAAACTACATAAAAGCAACAAAAAATTTCACAGACCAACAGTACTCCATTGACCAAAGCATGCTATATATCAGCAGTTAGGAAGCCATGAAAGAAGAAAAGGAATGTTGCACACCACCTCCTGAAAGTGCAAAGGTCATTTTTAGGGCTGTGCCCAGGACTGACACCAGGCCAAAAGTGCTAAATGTAATCTCACATAGAGTACTTTTCCCTGTTGGTCCCTCCCAGCACAGGCCTCTGCCATTCTGTTCCTAAAGATCAAAATGGGAGGACAGAGATCCATCTTCAAGCCTGCTGAACAGTTGGCGCTCCAACTACCCAGCAGAGGAAAAACAAAAAGAAGGCAGAAGAAAGAGAAAGGGAATGAATCTATTTAAGAGCTCTTCTCTATTGTAAACTGCAGCTTAATACTGACTTTTCCCTTGGTTCTCAGCCCTTCATTTAAATTATGGATAAAAAATAGAGTAAACAGGTAAATGGTATTTCAGGGCATATATTTTAGACTGGAATCTGTTCTCCTTGAAAACAGAACATAATTCAGTCAACATTTTAAAAAGTTTCTAAGTACACTCAATCCTCTCCATCCATGGATTCAGCATCCCAGGACTCAAACCAACAACAGCTTGAAAATGTTTTTTTTTAATAAAAAAATAAAACTCAAATCTTGATTTACACCACTGTATATAATAGGACTTGAGCATCCATGGGTTTTGATACTGACAGGGGATCCTGGAACCAAACCACAGCAGGTACCAAAGACCCACTGTAGTATCGGAAATTTAATGATTTATTGAACTTAATAATATTGTACCAAGAGAACATAACATGTCACCTTTTTTTTCTTTGGGACTTCATCCAACATAGCCAGAGTTCTAGCAAATTCTTCATCTTCGTGCAGTTGTCTCTCCACCTGTAAAGCATGCAACACATTACTTAATACAGAAATAGAACACTAACATTGCTAACAATCTTTAGCGTGTCTGCAAATGAAGACGGGTATAGTGTTAGAAGTATTGCCAAGCTTCTTAATGCCCTGTTTTGGAATATTAATCTCAGCAGTTTTCAATTTTTGCCTTGATATGGAGCAAGCATTGGTCACCTGAGGGCTGAGAAGGGCGGGACAGAAATACAGTAAATAAATATTCCCTCACTAACAAGTTATTCATGCCAGCTCAATTTTAAACCAACATAGAGCTCTCCCATACGCTCAATTTCCCTCCACTATCAATTTGCCGGCTTAGCCCAAACCCTCTTTTTCCACTCTTCCTACTCCTGCTTCAATAAAAGCTAGCCAGGCACCACATTTTCTGGGGGGAATATAGAACTCCTCATGGAATCCTGAGAACATAAATTTCTAGCACCTACCCTGCTACTTCAATTTTTTGTTGTTGTTTTTTTGTCGTGTCAGGAGCAACTTGAGAAGCTGCAAGTCGCTTTTGGTGTGAGAGAATTGACTGTCTGCAAGGACGTTGCCCAGGGGACTCCTGGATGATTTTTGATGTTTTTATCATCCTTGTGGGAGGCTTCTCTCATGTCCCCGCTTGAGGAGCTGGAGCTGATAGAGGGAGCTCATTCGCCTCTCCCCGATTTTGAACCTGTGACCTGTTGGTCTTCAGTACTGCCGGCACAGGGGTTTAACCCACTGTGCCACCGGGGGCTCCTTGCTACTTCAGTAGTGTGAAGGGAATTAAAAATAAACTTGCAAGTAGAAAGCAAGCAAAGCTTAATGGCTCACCATGGGAGCATTCAGGGGGAAAATTAGACCCTCCCACACCTCCAGGATCTAGTTTTAATTTATTGACATTGCATAAACCGACTTTCTCCCCCTTTCCTGCAGGGATAGGGAAAGAAACAACACACCTTATGAATCAACCCAAAGAGAATAAGAAAGGAGATGCATTTTCCATCAATCAGTTTAAGCACGTGTTACCTGCATCCAACAGTTTAATGTAACCCAAAAGACAAGCACTAACATTAAGTAAAATAGCAAAAATAAAAGCCACAAGTTCCTGAACTGAAAATCCATCCATTTTAGATTGGATTTGAATTGGGACTGTGAAAGGGACTTTGCCATAGCCATTCCGAATTTTATCCCAACAGTTCCAATTTAACAAGCTGGATTTCCTACTTTAAGTGCCTTTCTTTCTTGGTACAAACACATGCATGGGCCTGTTTGCAATTATTTAGGTCAGTGGCATCCAACTTTTGGCCCTTTTGGGTTTTGGGACTCCAATTCCCAGAAGCCCTGGCCAGCTTGTCCAATGGTCAGGAATTATGGGACCTGAAATGCAAAACACCTGGAAAACCAAAAGACTGACTTAAGTGAATACAATAAGAAGAAAAATGAGGGGTTATCTTTCGTTTTTCCTTTAATACAATTCAACACTTACTGAGACTAGTGTCCTGTTTTTATCAAATATTGGTTTTTAGAGGAAAGCAAATTTATTCTTGCCAAGAGGTTTATTGATAAGAATTGTATTGTACACATTAAACAAATCCAATTTTGGTGCAAGAATGAGATCAAAACCTGCCTCAACCCATGATTCAGACAGATAACTTCATAAGCAGAAAAATGCCACAGGGTCTGTTTTATTATTATCAGCCACAGAAGGATATTCAGACCAATGAACAGCATAAATCTTTCTTGTTTTCAGTGTGAAGTTGAATTCAGACAGATCCAACAATAAAACGGTAAGTCAAGGAGGTTCCTTCTTTGGAGGCTTTTAAACAGAGGCTGCATGACCATCTGTTGGGGGTGCTTTGAAAGCAATTTTCCTGCTTCTTGTCAGGAGGTTGGACTATATGGCCGAGGTCTCTTCCAACTCAATGATTCTATGAATAACACAGAAAATGCTCTCATCTGTGGTTCCTTAATGTGTGTGTGCATACACAATGCATATACCCACACTGACACAAATTAACATTTCCAAATTAACGTTACAGATATAAATAATGTAAATTAATAAAGTATTTAAAAACCTTCCAAGGAAAGTCACCTGGTCAGGAGGTTTTACCTCTGTATTCTCTTCAAGCTGTAGTTGCTTGGCAATAGCTTCATCATCCAGTGTGAAATCCCTGCTTTGTGAAGTCTGGACCTTAAAAAACCCCAGAAAAACACAGAAAATCACTTTAAAAACACATTCAGAGAAGCACTACATAATTTTATTCAAAATGAGAAGAAAAATCAGAAAATCTCATCTGAAAGACTATGCATAAAACAAATCAATTTTCTTCTGCATTTGTGAAGAATGGAGAAAAATCAGTGTCTACTGATAAATGGTATTCATATCCATCGTACAGACACACTGATCCTAGAGCACCAGGATACATTTCAAACTATTTACTGTTACAATTACACCCAAATGCAGATATTCCAGTAAGCACGCCAGAACATGTTTATTATGTCAGAAAGTGCAGAACTGTTAGGTTTGCATGTGAAAAATTACACAAAATTAGAAATGGATACATACAATCAATTATAATGAGATCCACAATTAATACTAGATCTTTTTCAAGTAGGGTAAGCTGCCTTCATGCACTACTCACTTCTTTTCGCTTGCTTGATACCAGCTTCTTATCTGATCGCTGTATGCTGGCAGTTCCAAAGTAATCAATTACAGAAGTTGGTGTCAGTTTTACTGGAGATAAAGGTTTATTTTTTATTTTTGTTTTGGGATCTGTCTTTGATGTTCCTGTTGTTTCGAGAACACCAGTAGATGTCCCATTCTGCTTGGGTTTTTGGGAAGCCGCCTTATTTACAAAGTCATCATCTTCATCTATGTGAAAAGGAAGGACATAGTTAGTACCACATTTATACCACAGCACTAAAGAGAATATTTCTTGACAGAAATCTTCCCCAATTTAGAGTTCTGCAATATTTTTAAAAGAAGCAAACAGAAAAGAAGAGGAATTCTTCCTCACTACCAACCTTATTTGTCGTGTCAGGACAACCAGTCAAATTATATTACATTTCTAACAGAACAAACATTTCTAACAGAACAAAGCAAACAAACAGACCAACCATTCCCATAGGTAATGATTTTAGAAGATGCCCAAGCAAAACAGGAAGCAGGGACAAGATAATTCCCTGTAGCAATTTGATCCTTAAAGATAGTCCTTACCAACATCAATACCTGTAATCAGACCTGTGTGTAACTTTTATGAAATACCATGAAGGGAGTCACAAGAGGCAATTTTATAATAGAAGGCTCAAGGATGAATAAAGAGAAACAGAGAGGAGATACAAACGTGTATTGAGGAATTATTAAAAGAGCATAAAAAAGAGGGGAGCAAGGAAACATGGGCAGAATTATACCAATGAAGATCAGAACCAGTATCTTTAAAAATAGGTAAGCATTTTAACTTAGCATGTTTTAATATGTCTTAAAATTAATTTAGCAACAAAATTACTGTCCAATTCTCTTAAAAGAAATTTGTTAAAAATGAATGTAAATATAGGTTGCTGTGAGTTTTCCAGGCTGAATGGCCATATTCCAGAAGCATTCTCTCCTGAGCAACCCAGTGATTCCGGCCATGAAAGCCTTTAACAAAGGAAATATACATTATTATTTATAGCCTTTTTTATCTGAAGCAAAAATCTGAACTGTTATGTTTTTATTACAGTTCAAGAATTTGATGTTTTATTTGATCTAGTGAAGAAGATTGTCAAGAAACTAAGCTAATGTACTCCACCAAAGTTAATCACATTTTATTCTTCTTCTAGACCAATGGTTCTCAACCTGGGGTCCCCAGATGTTTTTGGCCTTCAACTCCCAGAAATCCTAACAGCTGGTAAACTGGCTGGGATTTCTGGGAGTTGTAGGCCAAAAAAATCTGGGGACCTCAGGTTGCGAACCACTGTTTTATACTGAAGAAATGTAACATACATGTCCTCAAATCCCAGTAATCACAACCTGAGCTAAGACCCTCTACCAACCTTATTCTATAACCCTATGAACACCAACTACCTGTTTCTGAATAATGTTCTCTTAGTAACTGTTTCAAGACCAGCAAACCAATCTTATTGGGATAAAGAACAAGTGCTTCCTCTGATTCTTCTGTTATTTAAAATAGCTTATTTAGCACTAAACAAGTTGAAAAATAAGCCCATGCTGAAAGATTTAGACAGAGCTAGCACCGAGGTGGATCAAAAATGCTTCCATAAATTCTTCAACATGTCAATTCCGCAAATCCCAGCATCCGTGGTTTTCCCTATCACTTTCCAATATATCATATACCAAATATTTCTTCCCATGTCTTCATATACTTAATTATTTACTTATCACAAATTAGCCTGGGTGAGATACCCAATTTTATTTTCATTTTGAAAAGCTTTTTCTAAAGAATAGCAAGATATTACTTACTTAAGTAAGTAAGTAAGTACATTATCATTATTATTATTAATAATAATAATCTTTATATTATTAGCTAGAATAATATTAGCTCACATACCAGAGTTAAACAGTATATTACTCCTTTATGAAAACTTTAGATAAAAATATAAGGTTGTGTTTTTTTAATCATTTGGCTCCTGAAGGCTAAGAAAATATGAAAGTACAAGAAACACAGGGAAGTTTTAATGTAGGGATATGTTTTGAACTTTCCAAACAAATGAAACACACATGAATAAGAACTGCCAGAAACATGGTGAATTCCAAGAATAAAAACTACTGATTAAAAATCCTGTATGAAATCTATCAAGGTTTGATGCAACATTAATAAGTCATCTCTACAAACAATCACTAAGGATCTATATGTCACTGAAAATGAAATGAAAGTGTGACTGAATTGGTTCAAGCATCTGGATGTCCCCAAACACACTGGGCTAATTTACCCAAGACAGGATAGGAATGGAAATATTTATAAAACCACTCTGCCTTTCCTTATAACCTGTGAGCTAAACACTGTGTTCTGTTTTTGACAATCAATCTTCCAAAGGAAAAGGAATCTGGTTTAACCAAACATGGTAATGATGAAAATTGTTTCAGGGAGATTAAAATGATAAACCTAATGACCTGTGCAGTACTTCCTCTATAAAGAGCCTGAGCAATTTTCACATGATTAGCATTCTCTTTTGAATCTGATCCCTGACGAACTGAAATACTGCAGAGAAAATAAAGAGGTGTGGACAAAAGAAGAACATGTTAGTACTATTCCTTGTAACAAAGTGATCCAGCAGCTTTGGCAGCTGGCACAGAGAAGATATTTATCAAGAGGGAAGTCCCTCCCTTATTGCAGTATGTCAAAAGGAGAGGACTCAAGAGTGACTGACAGTTAAAAAGGGACAGAGAAGGATTCAGGCTAAGTTTACTTTTCAAGCACAATGTACTACAATTGAACAGGAATTGGGAATGTTTGGCCCTCTGAGTGTTTTGGGATACAACTCCCACAAATAGAATCCAAGCCATTTCTTTTTGTAACACAAGGGATTCAACAGGCAAAAGCTAAATCAAGTTCACCTCTTTTGACCTTCTGAAAAAGCATTGTTTTGCAAATGTGTTAGCTTCAGAAAAATCAAAATATCTCACATATTCTAAAAGTGGTCCATAATCCCATTGCAATGATACAGATAGTGCCATCTACATTGAGTGTTTTCTTTCCCTCTTTATCACAATCTGATTTTATGGACACTGGGGTTATATGCTGAATCAATCCAAAGTTACCATTCCGATGGTACTAAACCAGTGACGGGGATCACTTGTTCACAAAGGACCACATTTCAGAGAGGAATTGAGAACATGCTTCATCTTGCCTCAAAAGTTTCCCCAAATCTTCACCCTCTTGTCGTACACTTTATCAATTGCTTCACCAACTGGAAAGGAAAGCTAAGGGTAAAGCAATACCTGATTTCCCATCTAAAATCTGAAACAGTAGGATTTTTCATTCCACCTGTAGGAATCTTGCTGCTAGTTTTAAAATAGAGGAAGTAGGATCTCTTTTTCTGCTCCTCTTTTGATCCTCAATCTGTGAATAACAGTAACAGCAAGAAAGGCATGTGCTCACTATCTCTCATTTGACCTTGGGAGACAGCAAAAACATTCTCCATAGAGAGAGGCAGTTAGGGAGGGAATTCACAGCAAGGAATGGCTAGATCAGAGGTCCCCAAACTAAGGCCCACAAGCCAGATGCGGCCCTCCAAAGTCATTTACCCAGCCCCATACTAAATTTCACACTTAGGATCATCATAAATCTGAAACAACTTGAAGCCACACATCAGAAATCCTAATTAACTTGATTATCTCATCAGCCAAAAGTAGGCTCACACTTCCCATTGAAATACTGGCACGTTATGTTAGTGTAAATTATTATTCATTTTAAATATTGTATTGTTTTTCTTTTTTTCTTTTGAACTACAAATAAGGTATGTGCAGTGTGTATTGAAATTTATTCATGCTTTTTTAAAACTTTTTTTTTCAAACTAGTCCAGCCCCCCAATAGTCTGAGGGACCGTGAACTAGCCCTCTGCTTAAAAAGCTTGAGGATCCTTGGGTTAGATGATATATGAAAATGGCAAGTGTTCTGACCCAGTGATGTTATCTACTCCTCTAATTTAGCCTCTACATTAATCCAATTCGCCTTTAACACAGCCACCGCTGTCCTTAATCCAAGAATAATTGGTCTTTGTCTCAGATCTGCTCAGCTATGAAGCAGGCAAAACAGCAGGGCAGGCAGCACACAAATCAATTCCACCTAAGAAAGATATATTTTTAATTTACGTCCAAGCCGAGATATCTCTTGATTTTTATGAGACACGAAACTGAAACTGCAGCCAACTGTCCATCAAAATGCTACATAGAGTTGGAGAATATCAGCTATGGGCAGGCAATCAGCATATATATCAAATGAAGCTGTTAACTTGCAAGCACTAGATAAGACTAACCTTGATTTGCAGTTCAGGTCCAATTAACCTTGACCAATGTTTCTGGTATTACACATATGGAAAACATTGTCTGACCTGCCTACTGTTACATAATACAGAACACCTTGGATTGCCTTTCCTTTGGGCACATCTCCAAAACTATTTACATATGAAAAGACCACAGCGAATACGTAACAAGAAAGATAGAAAATCAAAGTTAAAAAAAAGGGAAGTTGGCATTTTTTTTTAGACAAAAAGCAGTTCTGTTAAACCCTTGTGTGGGCCAGAGTGCTGACTGAAAGGTGGGTGGTTTGAATCTAGGGAGCTGGGTGAGCTCCCATCTGTCAGCTCCAGCTTCTCATGCGGAGACATGAGAGAAGCCTCCCATAGGATGGTAGAACATCCGGGCGTCTCCTGGGCAATGTCCTTGCAGATGACCGATTCTCTCACACAAGAAGCAACTTGCAATTTGTTAAGTTATACCACACACACAAAATCACTCTGATTCTTTCTGTTTCTGTCCTTGGTGTGACATCATTCATTTGCAGAATAGCATGTCTGACTCAGTCCTCAAGATATTTTAAGATTTCTGAGTATTTTTTTAAAAAATTGTCTGACAATTACATAGAGAAATTAGCATAAATAAATAAGGCACTATCACTAGAGGCAGAGGAAGTTATGCAAAAAGATTCCAAGGGCTAAAGGTTTTTGCAGTTCCTTGACAGCTTGTATTTATATGCCTTTACTTTATAAACTGGTTTGTCAAGGAAGAGTAAAAGTTTAAACCTAAACAAAAGCCATTAAACACATAAAAATACGTACAATACAAAGATAAAATCCTGGAATCTTGGCAGTTTGATCTAGAAATCCATTTCAGCAAGCAGATCTCTGAGATCATAAATCACACTGGCAGCTACAGTTCAACTTTTTGCAGTATTGTGACCCAACTGTATCAGATAGCAATTTAAGAGTAAAACTCTAGTTGTCTCAGGTGGACTTGTTCCCAGTCAAACATGTGAAGAGCTGCTGCAGAGGCAATCCAAAAATAAACTGACAACTAAATTATGATCTTATCCTTGTACTTTAACCTGTTCAGAGAGTAGCTTATTTGCTTGGAAATTTTGGTCACAGATGGTGACCAAAACATATTATGTCCCAAAAATGTTCAGTCCAGTTTCATCCCAAAACATCCTTGTCTGATCCAGGTGCTAGGTTTAGCTTTACATATAACAATGGCTTTCAATGATCATCCCTTCCCTTGGAGAAATACACATCCCATTTGTTTAAAATTCAAGCAAAGCAACTCTGCCATCAACTAGTTTCATTCATATAAACACAGAAAATTATTCTAGTAAATAGTATCTACCAATTCAACCTAGAAGATGGCACTGCTGTGCATCCATCCAGAAAGGCAACAAACTAGTAAGTGTACAACATTATTTAAAGGCAATAATTATTTCCAGAATAGCAGCTCTTGCTTTGACATAGTGCAATGGTTTTTAGAACTCAAAATACCTTCTTTTTTGGTGATTTAAAAACAGCTTTAAGAAATCGCCAAAGTCAGTATCAACATATAAGACTTAGAAGAAATAAAGCAAGTTAAGATCATAAATAAACAAAACAGCCTATAGACCCACTTCTAATTCGTGTCCTTTCTTTTGTCTAAAAGGATGCACCCATTTTTTAAAAAAATAAAAAAGCATCATGATTATCGAGCACAGAGCATACACATAAGAGGCTTTAATGCAAGGCCCTTTACCTGTCTCTGAAACATAAACAACTGGATCTTTCTTTAGAATCTTGTCAGATTTTGAAGACTGATTTCTGTCTGGTATATTCTTAGGTCTTTTTGCCAATTGTACTTCTTCTTCAGAATCTGCAATTAAGCAAAGCAACATCAGTTAGCTCTTCCACATCGATACAGAATACTGTAGGACTGTCAGCTGGCCCTCTTGATTCTTTATTTTTTACTGTCTACCATGATTTGTGAGGCCTGATAAGTAGAAAGGGTCTATTAATATTTTAAGATAAAAAGTAAGTGGGTGATTTCAAACATAGTATTAATCTGCCTCCAAAAAAGGAACAAACTGTTTGTTCCACTCACCCACAGAACTGTATTCTTCCACAAAAAGAAAAGGTTATAAAAGCAAGACTGTATCTGGTAATACAAAACTTGAATTACTGATGAATGGGTACAGAGTTTTGGAAGAGGAACAGTAGTTTCACCGGGGTTGTGTAGATAGAACACCACCACCTGCAGCCCTTATATCCCCCAGGGCTGTCTAATATTGACATACAACAATAAGCAATTCCAAAAATCATTTTGCAGAGCATGATGGAATTTAAACATTCCAGCTCCCTCAAAATAATATTCATGTACGGAGACTAAAGTTTCACTCAAGCTTAGATATCCTATGCATTTTGTGAAAGAAATGTGGGTATTCAAACAATAATGATACAGGCAAGAACAACAGATCAGCAGTAGTTCATGGTAGTTTTTGCATTCAGGGATCTCTGATTAGAATCCTAGCATTACCAATTAAAACCTCACCTGACTGAGAACCTTTAAAATCACTGTCAGTTAAAATAGATTAATAGTTAGGAAAAAATAATAGTCTAACACAGGGGTCCTCAAACTAAGGCCTGAGAGCCGGATACGGCCCTCCAAGGTCATTTAACCAGCCCTCGCTCAAGGTCAACCTAAGTCTGAAACGACTTGAAAACACACAACAGCAACAACAACAATAATAATCCTATCTCATCAGCCAAAAGCAGGCCCACACTTCCTATTTAAATACTAATACATTTATATTTGTTAAAATTATTCTTCATTTTAATTATTGTATTGTTTTAAAGTGGTTTTTGCAATACAAATAAGATATGTGCAGTGTGCATAGGAATTTATTAAAAAAATTTCAAATTATAATCCAGCCCTCCAACAGTTTGAGGAACTGTGACCTGGCCCTCTGTTTAAAAAGTTTGAGGACCCCTGGTCTAACAGAACTAAGTTGAAATGTAGAGGTGCAAGCATAAACCAATTAAACACATGCTACAGTCCAGCAGAAGTCATCATCCAAGAGCATTAAGTGGTAATGGAACTGTAAAGACATCTATCATTGAAAAACTTCTGCAAATTTGGTTGTTTTTTCTCCATATTAAAACTCTAGCAGATAAGTATTATATCACAGTTGAAAACAGCATTCTAACAAAAGCCATAAATGTTACCTGAATCATAGATGATCCTCTTTTTCTTGTTCACCTGTTTTTGTTTGAATTCATCCTCAAGGTTTGAACTCTTTTTCTAGTTGCGATGAAATAAAACAATTCTATCAATATTAAATCTTGTTAACCTAATATTACCTTAAAACTGCAAACCAATCAATGTTCTCTTATTAGATCACTACACACAGTGATAAATAAGAGACCTCAAAGAGAAAAAAAAGTTCATAAATGGCTGAGCATTTCTCCTTCCATGAGTATTTAACTCTCAAAACACATGTACTAGAATTAATCGAAATATAACAAATCAACCATCTTTTGGTTAATTAGAAGTGGGTAAAGACATAGTTTATAAAATAGTCTGAGCTGCTTGTGGTTTAACATGGAACTACTATCTGATGTGCCAATACTTATATAACATTGGTCTGTATGAAAAGACAGTTGAGAATCCCCCTTTCTAAAATGCTGACTCGGAATACATCATCAGCATCATCTATTTATGAAGCACCATCACTTTACATGGTGCTTTACAAATAAAAGATCAACCAAAACCCTGATAATGTAACTAAGACATGACACAAAAGGAAAAGAGAACGGCAGTATGGTGGTGGTGGTGGGATTTAATTCTGCCTATTCGTCTTTGCCCCTATATGGCCAGGGAAATAGCAATCTGAATGGAGGGAATTTAAAGCTAGTCCTATCTTTTCAGCAGCACCAAGGTCAGCCATTTGTCAAGGATCCTGGGGGAAAAAACTCAGGAGCTTCCATTTCCAACAATGGAGAAGAACTTAAAGGTACTGTAGTTATTGCCAAGCCCTGTCCCAGTGCTACAGAAAGTAGAAAGGACTAAATTAAATCCCTGGCGCCACTCATTATACAGGGTGAGGCATAAAGATCTCCCATATTTCGAGGGGGCACTGTGTAGGCCAGGGGTCCCTAAACTACGGCCCACGGGCCGTATGCGGCCCGCCGAGGGTATTTCTCCGGCCCGCGCGGCATGGCCTGGATTGGCCACGCCCACCCAGCACCGCTCCGCCAATAGCGGCCAGGAACCCTCTGCCTCCCAGGTGAGAAGCCTCCCAGGTGGGTCCTTGGAGACCAGAGCGGCCGGAGCAGAGGGTTCCCGGCTGCTATTGGAGCGGCGCCGGGTGGGCGTGGCCAGGGAACGCCGGCGTTCCCTGGCCACGCCCACCCGGCGCCGCTCCAATAGCGGCCGGGAACCCTCTGCTCCGGCCGCTCTGGTCTCCAAGGACCCACCTGGGAGGCTTCTCACCTGGGAGGCAAGTTTGATCCCGATCCATCATTGTTTGAGTCCACAATGATCTCTGAATGTAGGTGAACTACAACTCCAAAACCAAAGAACACTGCCCACCAAACCTTTCCAGTATTTCCAGTATTTTCAGTTGGTCATGGGAGAACTGTGTGCCAAGTTTGGTTCAATTCCATGGTTGGTGGGGTTCAGAATGCTCTTTGATTGTAGATGAACTATAAATCCCAGCAACTACAACTCCCAAATGACAAAATCCATTTTTTGAATGAAGGACATACATTGGGTTGTTAGGTGTCTTGTGTCCAAAATTGGTGTCAATTCGTCCAGTGGTTTTTGAGTTCTGTTAATCCCACAAACGAACATTACATTTTTATTTATATAGAAGTGTGTGTTTTTGTTTTTTGTTTTTTTTTTGGGGGGGGTTGCACTGCAAATAATATATGTGCAGAGTGCATAGGAATCCATTCATGTTTTTTTCAAAATATAATCCGGCCCTCCAACAGTTTGCGGGACTGTGACCCGGCCCTCTGTTCAAAAAGTTTGGGGACCCCTGGTGTAGGCTTTGGTGAAGAGAGGTGGGTCAGGTCTAATTTGGTAGATTAGGCTCTGCTGATTTCAGTACCCATCATAAATTAGACTAGTGAATATTGGGGGTTTGTTGTTCAAGCATATTAAGGACCATTATGTGATAACAACTCAGAAAGCATTCTATACACGCTTCACACTCGGTCAAAATGCATCTGTACCAGATTGAACAACAATTTTGCTATGGGTTTTTAATCTTCAGGCAACTAGATCTACCCTGAAAAGAAAATCACCTGGCAGACCATGCCGATTTAAAACTGCATCCTTACAAAATTATTTCTATGGTAAGATTTTAAAAACCATTAAAACAAAACTGTTTTATGTACTTTTCAGAAATATATAAATTTTTCTTCTAGGTAACTTTGTTCAGATCTATACCCCTTCAAAATACGAGATATTTTTATGTCCCAACCTGTATATATATTTTTAGATATCGGATCTAGAAAATCTCCATCTATTTTGGTCTCTGTGTATAATCTCAATGCAGAGTTCCAAATTGTGCAAGGAACCTACAATTACATTATCATGAAACATGTGCAAACAAAACACATGAAATAGGGTATATGAAGAGAACACTAAGAAGGTGGTGGTGTGTATCTCCAGCCATTATTGCAGGCACTCTAAGTATCACCACAGTGGAACCACCAAAATACCAAATAACACATGCCCGGTTTCCTAATAGAACCCAATTACTGCGGTGGTAAAATTGTAGCAGTACTTTTTTTAGCAGTAGCACAAGTTAGAGGGTCAAGACCTCAGGCCACTTCTACACTGCCATATAAAATCCAGATTATCTCCTTTGAACTGGATTATATGGCAATGTAGACTCATATAAACTGCTCTGAGTCCCCTCAGGGAGATTGGGCAGGATACAAATAAAGTATTATTATTATTATTATTATTATTATTATTATTATTTAATCCAGTACAAAGCAGATAATGTGGATTATCTGGATTATATGGCAGTGTTGAAGAGAATTATGGGCATCCAACCCTGGGATGCTGCCTACCTTGTACTATATTCAAGAGAAAGGGGAAATAAACACAGATTGGAAAGCAAATAATTTAAATTGGTGTAACACAAAAACTTTGTATTAAAAGATCCCCTAATAGGCCACACTGCGCTTGAAGCATAGGTCTTGGAATCATGGAATAATTCCTCAATAGTATAATTCTAGCAGCTATTGCAAATGCCAAGGAAACTTAAATCAGAAGCACTAACAAAACTCTAGAAAGCATGTATCTAAAGAGTGTACACCAACCTTAATGTCCTTCAATTTTGATATTGCATCTGAGCTACCCTCTTTATTTTTGGGTTTCTCATTTTTCTTGGCAGCGTTGTCTTCATGTTTCTTTCCAGGAATTAAAACTCCAAAGAATTTTCGGATATCCTGACAAAACAAAACAGTAAGAAAAACAATTCAGAATTTTATGATCTTTCATCTTACAGTGCAACAGGACAAAAATCTTGATAACTATCTTTTATTTTAAAAGTAGATTTATTTTAAAAACTGAAACAGTAAGGAACTTCAAGATTTTATTTCTGAAATCAGTTCATAACTAACATTAGCTGAGAAAACCACAACTTGCTAACTTCCTTTGAGTATTTTAAATATGATCTCAATGAATGCTCATACATTCAAGCTTTCTTGAATTAAATGAGCAATCACAGCTGTTACCCCAAACGGTCCGGGTGCACATTCATGGCAGACCCATCCCCTGGGAGGATGGAAAAGATCAATTATCGCAGCCACACACCCCTCCCCGCAAGCTTTGATTGCTGCGAGCAAGTGCAGGTACCAGACCAAGGACAGAGCAACAGGGGTGGGCTGCCAACCGTCCTCCAAAGCTCATTCACTAGTTGGCAAGGAAGAGCGCTGTTGTCCCCTCACCTCAAAGATATGGGGAGGGTAGACCAATGCCAACTCCCTCCCAAAACCCATGCAGAAGACGAGTGCACATTCACACAAAGGTCCTGGACCTTGGGAGGTGATTGGCAGCAGCCATTGTAATTGCTCCCCCCTCCCCGCCCCTCGTGAAGTCCAAGGCAACCACTTGACTACATATGGCAGCCTCAGGAGTGGAGGCAGTAACATTGGAGGGCTCTTGGCAAACCCATATATGCCAGTCCCACGAGTGTGTGTGTGTGTGTGTGTGTGTGTGTGTGTGTGTGGTGGTGGTGGTGGCGGCGGCGGCTGTAATATGTTCAAAACTAGGATGTAATTATTCTATATGATTGACCAGAGTTAGTCCCAAGATCCTAGGCCATCAGATATATCATAAAATACTACCCTAGCAAAACTATTACATGTGACCTTCCATTCTCCAAAATGACCTTTCACACATCTACAGCCCACCCACCACATGTATTTACTTGACTGCTGGAGTCATAATCTCCACCAGATTTACAAGCACCAACAACTCATGTGTGTCCTTGCCGTATCCTTCTGAACTTAGGTTGATATCAGGTAATTACTACTAATTGGTGATTACAAAAATGCCGTCAGAAGAAGTAGAAGAGAAGTAGGTGTGGCCTATGATTATAAATGCCCATGAGCAAACTCTTTTCCTCTAAGAATTCCCATAGCATGAAAAAAGATCTACTTAGTATTTCTAAAATGGTTTCTAAATGTCAGCTGGAATAAATTATTTTAAACCATTTCAAAACTTGGTGGTAGATTATAGAAAATGTAGAACCTTTTTTTAAAAAAAGTGTTAATTTTCTTTCTCTTTCCATGTTTTTCTGGAAACAGAATTCTGATATCTGCATTTGCAATTTAAAACAAATCACTATTGGATTTTCTGTTTTGCATGAATTGCTTAACAAATGTAGCATGTGATGATCTGTATCTTAAAACAAAAAAGTATGACTCAAAAGTTTAAATAATGAACATTTGGGCTTTAATTAGCAAAAATGTGTTCAATTATAGCATGTACAGCAATAAAATCTCAAACATGACCATTAATGCTGCATGCAAACTGCACTAAGGCCAATTCATTATGAGATGACAGAGGCAAATTCCAATTAAGCAACAATCCAGATCACGTGGGAGGGGCTGATAACATTATTGATTTAGAGAGGGTAGGAATTTTGTGGCACTCTAAAAGTTGATTTGAAACTCTTAGCAGCTGTACTCAGCATAACCAATGGCAAGAACTTAGAGTTACAGTCCAATATCAAGTAGTCTGAGAAGCACTGAGCTAAAACTACACATTTGCGAGGCTTGATTTGGATTAAGTTCAGATCTCGGAAGGCTTCCAAAGTCAGTGCAAGGAAGCAAAGTCAAAAAGGCTCCCATTCCTCCGTAAATTAATGGCCTCTTGCCATTAGAAATGGTTTATAAATGTCATTTCCTAATTTGTTCTATCATCAAAACATGGGGAACGTTTATTAAACTGCAAACAACGTTGTCTTTGCGGGAGGGACATTATGCTATAGAGCCATGCTGGTGAACGTATGACACGCGTGACAGCACTGACACGCATGGCTATTTTTGATGACACGCAGACACATGCGGCCGCATACAGAGAAATACACCTTATAAGAGCCAATCTAATTCCATCCTTAAATTTGTAAAAGTCTCCATAAATTTAACATCTGCACGTTTGAGCATTGTTCACTCCATAACTCAGCATGGATTATACATTTTTCTTATTTAAACTATACATATTGCAAAATTATGGGTTATGCTCTCGAAGTGAAACCCCACCCAAGTTATGCTCAGGTTTGTGGCAAATTTTGACACACCAAGCTCAAAAGGTTAGCCATCACTGCTATAGAGCAATAGTTTTTAATATCTCATAGAGTCTCAACCAATTCAACATAGTTTGTGCCACACAAAGTTTCTGGAGTAGAATAATTACTTTCAAAGTAAGGACTACACCATTAAACAGGAAATAACACTTTCAAACTAGGAACATATTTTCTTTATTATTAAAAAAAGTTTATAAAAACTTTGAAAATTCCCCCCAAATCCATGGATAAGTGAAATGTGCTGAATTTTGGTTAGCTAGCAGTGGTAAATGTATTCTACCATTGTAACAAGTTTCAATCTGATGTGGCAGTTACAAGTATACTTATGGACAAGGTAGATCTTAGGCCCCATCTACAATGTTGTATGTTGGAGTTTGGAATAGCATTATATGGTTAGTGTAGAGCAGAGTCATATAATGCAGTTTAACTGCATTATTTATTTATTTTGTATCAAAAGCATTGCATAAATTAGTATAAAACCGATAAAAATAGAAGGAGCGCAGGTGGCTAAATATCTTTTGACCAAAAACGGGCAACAGCAATGGCATTATATGTAGCCTCCAACAATTCTTCCTCTGTACATGAGGCAGGGCATAATGGACAAGCATACAGATACGGAGTTGTCTGTTCGGCTCCACAGTCTCATAAGGTGTGGGATTCTTTTAGGTAGTGCCATTTAACCAGGTTCTCTTGATATGCCCACTCCACTTCTGAGTTTGTTCAGGGACTTCCAAGTTGCCCATTCTTGGTTTGCCCCTGGATGAATTTTAACTGCATTGAACTGCATTGTCTGAATCCACACTGACTAGTTTCAATGCATTATATGGCAGTGTAGATAGAGTCAAACATACAGGCAGTCACCGAGTTACAAACATCCAACTTACAAATGACTCCTAGTTAAGAACCATGACTGAGACAACAGGAAGTGAGAAAAATCTAGCCCTCAGAAGAAAAATTCACTCCTGAAAGTTATCATGGGGAAAAGGTGTCTCCATTGTAGCTTTCCACGACATGCCAAATTTTTCAAAATTCAATTCTCACAGGGATGGAAAGTGAATTTAAATGTTCTAACTACTTGAAAGCACATAACAACAACAACAACAACCCTATCTCATCAGCCAAAAGCACAGACAGCAAAAGGCGTGTTCACCTTTCCCTATGTTATCCAATGCTAAAAATATACATTTTTTGGCTTTAAAAATGTAGCTGTTCCAACTTACAAACACATTCAACTTAGGAACAAACCTATAGAACAGGGGTCCTCAAACTAAGGCCCGGGGGCCGGATGCGGCCCTCCAAGGTCATTTACCTGGCCCTCGCTCAGGGTCAACCTAAGTCTGTAACTACTTGAAAGCACATAACAACAACAACCCTATCTCATCAGCCAAAATCAGGCCCACACTTCCCATTGAAATACTAATAAATTTATATTTGTTAAAATTGTTCTTCATTTTAATTATTGTATTGTTTTAAAGTGTTTTTTGCATTACAAATAAGATATGTTCAGTGTGCATAGGAATTCATTCATTTTTTTTTCCAAATTATAATCCGGCCCTCCAACAGTTTGAGGGACTGTGACCTGGCCCTCTGTTTAAAAAGTTTGAGGATCCTTGCTATAGAACCTATTTTGTTTGTAACTTGGGGACTGTCTTTATAGGGACACCTGGAACATCTTTAGACCATCTGACACACCCACACATTTTTAGATCTATGCCTTGTCAACCTATAGCAACCACATGCATTTTGTGGAGTTTTCTTAGGCAAGGAATGCTCAAGAGATGGCTTACCATGTATACACCAACATTATTTTAAGCATATGCATAAAACACAAAGTAGGGGCACAACAAACATGCATACTATATGGACATTTGCTGTGACTCCTCCTTGAGCCTATACTTGGATTTTCTATTCAGTAGAGCAGAGTTGGAAACTGCATGGCTCCCCAAGTGGCACTGAATAGCAACTCCCATGCACTCTACCCCAGAGAATCAATGGAGAAAAATTCTAGTAGAGGCAGTCCAACATCAGAAAGACCATAAAATCCCACCCCACGCCCCTTTGAAACACTTCCAAGTCTGGCATTGAATAGTGTTGCATGAATACATAGCAACAGTTTGCTTTGCCATAAACCAACTTTCAAACTCAGTCTGGTGGCAAACTTTGGCCTCTCCAGGTTTCTAGGTCACAATTCCCACAACACAGCCAAACAACAAAAAGTACTTGATGGCTTGGTTTTTAGGCCTGTTCCTGGGGTTATTCGGGGCACCAATTCAGAAAATTGCATGGGATAGACTGCATTAGCTCTAGTTTCTTGGGGCCCTTCCATGCAGCTGAATAAAATCCCACATTTTCTGCTTTGAACTGGAATATATGACAATGTAGGCTCAGCTCCCTTCCACCAAGCCATATAGCCAAGAATATCAAGGCAGAAAATCTCACAATATCTGCTTTGAACAGGTTTATCTGAGTCCACACTGCCATATATTCCAGCTCAAAGCAAATAATGTGGGATTTTATTCAGCTGAGTGGAAGGGCCCTCAGATAACCTAGTTCAAAGTGGATATTGTGGGGACCCCTCCACACAGCCCTCTATCCCAGATTATCAAGGCAGAAAATCCCACAGTATCTGCTTTGAACTGGGTTATTTGAGTCCACACTCGGATAATGTGGGATTTTCTGCCTTGATATTCTGGGATTTAGGGCTGTGTGGAAGGGCCCTGGGATTTTCTGCCTTGACATTCTGTGTTATATGATTGTGAAGAAGGGACCTTCGATATGGGCATCATGCTTTACTATGGGTGAGCAGAAAATGGCTGGTATATGTTCTGTATCTTAAAAACTAGAACAAATGGGAGGAAATAATAGTAATAATAATAAACCTTTATTTGTACCCTGCTACCATCTCCCAGAGGACTCGGTGCGGCTTACAAGAGGCCGAGCCCAAATACAATAGTCAACAATAACAACAACATCAAAATAACTAAAAAAACAAAGCAATAACATTAACAACACACAATGACACAATTAAAAACAATGGCAGGGCCAAATGTAATGATAAAGTTAAAAGTGCTGGGCGTGACAGGTGGAGTGTTTGGAGGGGGTGGGCATGTAGATATCCTAGATCTCTGATAAAGTGCATTGGGACATAATGCTAGGAGTTTATTTATTTATTTACTTTATTTGTATACCGCTGTTCTCAGCCCCTACGCGACTCACAGCGGTTAACAACAAGAACAGCAAAAATTCAATGCTACCATCACAAGGTATAAAAAAGTTAACATCATAACATATTATAGAAAAGTATACAATTAACAACAAGTTTCCTCATTCTGGAAAGGCACACTGGAACAACCACATCTTCAAGCTCCTCCTAAAGATTGCTAGCGATGGGGCCTGCCTGATGTCTTTAGGGAGAGCGTTCCAGAGTTGAGGGGCCACCACAGAGAAAGCCCTATCCCTCGTCCCCATCAATTGTGCTTGTGATGCAAGTGGGACCGTGAGCAGGGCCTCTCCAGGTGAACAAAAAATGATGCCATTTTTGGACAGATGGTCAAATATACTTAGAAACTTGGGCTAACACTGGAGGCACCTGTGTAATCTCTTACCATTCAGGCCATGCTTTGTTGGGGATGATGGGAATCAGAATTATAGATCTTCTTCCCAGGTAATAATTATTTCATTTGATCAGGGCCAAAGTGGGCTATGGGAGAGCCAACTGCATGAGGAGAGGGGAAAGAAACGTTGACCAATGCCAAGACTTTGGAAAGAGGAGGGTCAGTGGGGAAGAGGGGTTGTTTATGGTGAGCTGAAGGACAAGGCTCCTTATACACACTCAGTGTTTCCCTACATAACTAAAAATGTCTCTATTTCGCAGGAGGAAGGCTATGGAAGGCCTCTATTGCCTCCTTTCTCTCTCTCTCTCTCCCCCCCCCCCACCCCTCCCCCCCCCCCCCATTATCTGGCGAGTAGTTTCCCCTCAGAATGAAAAGGAAAGGTTTTAGTAGTCCTGACTGAGGCTGGCGGGCACGCGCTCACCATCCTCGCGCCGTCTGCCTGCCTTCCTTCCCGCGGAGTGGCCGTTTATGCCAGCGCGCGCCCCATCTTCGCCTCTCTCTCTCTCCTCTCCACTTCGCGCCAATAACAAACGCAGCAAACGAGGACAGCGGTGCGCGCGCAGTGATGGCGTCATGGGCGGGAAGTAAGGGGCGGAGTCGAGCATTTCAAGAGGGGAGGGGTTGGCGCGCTTTGTTTTAGATCAAGCAAGGAAGGGAAGCAGACTACACTGACAAGACATGTATTTGGGGCATTACTCGTTATGGACTCGTTACAGTGGTTCTCAACCTGTGGGTCCCCAGGTGTTTTGGCCTACAACTCCCAGAAATCCCAGCCAGTTTACCAGCTGGTTAGGATTTCTGGGAGTTGAAGGCCAAAAACATCTGGGGACCCACAAGTTGAGAACCACTGCACTAGTAACTGGTGTTTTGGACTCCCAGCTCCTACAATTCCTAACAGCCTACCAGCTATTAGGAATTGTGGGAGTTGAAGTCCAAAACATCTGGAGGAGCGGAGTTTGCCCATGACTGGTATAGATGCACCTATTGACATGAAGCAGAGAAATTCCAGCCACAAAATTATCATCCTTATCTCTGAAAATATTTAACAGGATGCGAAATTGGCCAGGGGAACTCTCTAACACTGGTTTCAATTATTTATTTTTAGGAAAGGAAGGATCAGACAAATTCAAGTCCAAGGCTTCATCAGAAATAACTTTCTAACCTGCTAGGACTTTAAGATCATCCTGCTCTCGATCTTGCCTGCGTCACAAACACATTTGGTGGGGATGAGAGACAGGGCCTTCTCAGTGGTGGCCCCTCAGCTATGGAACATCAAGCAAAAAGTGGGTGCTAGAACCAATATACATAAGCTGACTGGCACAACCTGGGGATCACAACCAGACACAGTGAAGACATCTGCCCTTGCGCTGTGCTACTCTGCTGCTGAGTACGCATGCCCAGTGTGGAACACATCTCACCACACTAAAACAGTGAATGTGGCTCTTAATGAGACATGCCGCATTATCACAGGGGTGTCTGCGCCCTACACCACTGGAGAAATTACACTGCTTAGCCGGTATTGCACCACCTGACATCCGCCGGGAAGTAGCAGCCAATAGTGAAAGGACCAAGGCAGAGACATCTCCAGCCCAACCCCAGTTTGGGTATCAGCCAGCACGTCAACGACTTAAATCTAGACATAGCTTTCTAAGATCTACAGAGACACTCGCTGGAACACCTCAGCAAGCGAGAGTCCAAAAGTGGCAGGCTCAAACCCAGAACCTCAACCAATGGCTGATACCAATGAGAGACTCCCCCCTGGGCACACAGAAGACTGGGCGACTTGGAAGGCGCTGAACAGACTGCGCTCTGGCACCACAGAGATGCAGAGCCAATCTTAAGAAATGGGGCTACAAAGTGGAATCCACGACATGCGAGTGCGGAGAAGAGCCAACCACTGACCACCTGCTGCAATGCACCCTGAGCCCTGCCACATGATGCACAATGGAGGACCTTCTTGCGGCAACACCAGAGGCACTCCAAGGGGCCAGAGACTGGTCAAAGGACATTTAATCAACTACCAAGCTTGCAAACTCTGTGTCTTTTGTATGTTTGTTTGTTTATTCTGTAAAAAATGTAATACAACTGTTCGGTTGCCTGACACGATAAATAAATAAATAAATAAATAAATAAATAAATAAAGCTATGGAACGACCTTCCTGGTGACATCAGATCGGCCCCCTCCCTCTTAACATTTCGGAAAGAGTCAAGACTTGGTTGGTTGAGCAAGCGTTTGAAAATGCAAGGTAAAAGACATAGGAATTGGAACGACTGGGACAATGTTTTTTTATTAAGAGGCGCAAATGATCTATGTTTTAATATTCTTTTTATGGTATTATATTATGTGTTCATGTTTTTAAATGTTTTATGGTGTTTTTGGGCATTGAATCGTTGTCATTGTAAACTGCCCTGAATTGCCTGAGGGCTGAGAAGTGCGGTATACAAATACTGTAAATAATAATAATAATAATAATAATAATAATAAATATGGTATAGTTCAGTGTATATTCCAGTTTATGGTGACCTCTCACAGGCAAGGCTTCTTCCAAGGACCTTTTCTTGCTTCCTTGTGAGGCTGAGAGAGTGTGACTAGCCCACGGTAGAGGGCAGAGACCTCGTCTACACTGCCGTGATAATACAGCTTGAACTGCATTATATGGTCAGTGAAAACCTCTGGTTCCCAATGTGGGGCAATTCTGATTAATAATAATAATAATAATAATAATAATAATAATAATAATCTTTATTTATATCCCGCTTTTCTCCCTAACGGGACCCAAAACAGCTCACAACACAATCTTCTATATAAATTAAAATGTAACGTTCGCTTGTGGGGTTAACATAAATAAAAACCACTGGACGAATTGAATCCAAATTTGGACACAATACACCTTTTAGACCAGCAAATGACCATCACTCTGAAAAACACAGCAGAAGGGGGTTAAAAAGCCAAAAAAGCAAAAGACACTACAGTGCATGGGCAAAAACAGCAGGCTACACCAGAGTAGTATCTCCAAAACTGATTCACGGCAAGTGGGAATAAATTCAATTTAGTTACCTCCAAAAAGGACAAAACACCCTGTTAATGCAAGAGGAAGCGACCAGGATGATGGGGAGAAAGGTGGGGAGGGAGAACAGCGGATCAATGACTAGGTAGAACTGATAGTCTGAGAGCCATTCCATTGCCTGGAAAGAAGGACTTGCCAACAAGCTTGCCAAAAATAGCTGGTTGGCAGACAGAATGAAACAGCTGATCCTTGTAATGTAATTCACAGGTGGAGGAGCATCAACTGCGCTTAGCTTCACCCTCTCTTTCCTGTTGACTGTGCCTAGTTTTGCTCACAGCCACCGCACACAATTAAAAAGTTAAAAGGTTGGCAGCAGGGATGGTGGTGACAGGAAGACAGCAGAAGAAAATATTATTTTCATGTTATTCCCAGAAAGAATATCTTAAAGTCACACTACATAGTGTGGGGTAAAGGTGCTTTACATTTACCCTTTTGTACCAATGTAATCAACATAGCTAATATCAAGACATTGGTTGCAATCTCTGGCCACTGGAATAGTGGTAAATTCTGAATTTCAAATTTTCTGTATGACAGTCATTATAACTATGACTTGGCAATGCAAGCAGGTGCATTGGCCCATATAAAAAAACTACTTTAGAGTGTTTATATAATACCAGGAACCATTCTTTTATAAAGCTTACAAACCTTGAATTGCCCGTTCAAGAGCGAGGCACCCCGCAATATTTTGCATTATACCAAGGATGGTATATTATTGCTCTCAGCACCTACTATGGGAATTACAGTTAAATAGAACTGCAATAGGGAAGCTTAAGTGGCAATGGGAAAACAAATAAAACCACAGTCCTTAGTAATTCAACCTTGTGAGGGAATACATAACAGTTATATATTCCTTCTACTTTCAGAATAAAACTTCCTCTGAACACCATTGGCTGAGAAACACTGGTGAGACAGAACTATAGAATGGAAAATTAGCATTTAAAGTGGAATAATAGTGCTGATAGCACAGTGTGAGTGGGCTCTGGATTGGCTGCCTTGAAAAACAGACTGCTACATAAAGTAAATGAATCTTTGACCCAATCCAACTGGGATCTTGCATTGTAAAGATGCCCTAAAAAGAAGTTCAGGACTTTGACAAAGAAGCAGGCATAAGAAAATAAGATAAATACAGAGAACCTACACAAATATTAGAGCAAGGGTGGTCAAAGGGCGGCTCTTGAGCCATGTGGCTGCTCCCAAGGCTGTTTAAGTGGTTTTGACTGCTCCAGCTTCTCTGTAGTTTCAAGGACCCTAGTGTCTCTGGATACAAGTCTCCAAGCATGATGTTTCACCCTTTAAATAGTATGCATACCCGGTTGCACTGTTCCAACTTAAAACAATAACCATGTAAAGATGTTCTAACCACTTACAGTTTTGCTTTTAATTTTTTTAGAGGACCACATGGAGACACGGATCCATGAGGATATTGGTCTCTAAGACCATACACAGTTGACCATCTCTGTTAGTAGTAAGATTTTCATTACTTGGACTCCTCCAAGGTAATGAACCTTGGGCTCCTTGGAAGAAAATCTAGGTGTAAGTTTAAATAAAAATACTTGGTTGTGGTGTTCCAATTATTTACTTTTAATTATTTTTATTCTTCCTTTCTCCAATATGGAACTCAAGGTGGCTAACAATTTGAATGTAAATCCAAATACAGTTAAAATTATGACTACTCCAGTGGTCAAAAAGTCATAAATCCATCCACTTAAAACAGTTTTAAAAGGCAGTTAAAATACAAAGATAATTAACAACTCTATTATAAAAACAACAAAGCTATTATTAAAATGTAACAACAAATTACAAATAGTGTTGCCAGTTTGGATTTCAAATTTGACATCTAGGGTTTCACAGAGAGCAGCTACCACGATGTTACAAGAGACATAAATGAAGATAAAACAACAAAAACATTGCTTATCTGGATACATGAAGTACTTCAACAACTAACCAAAATAATAAAAAACCTAAAAATCATGTATAAGTAGGGTTGCCAGATCTGAGACTCTGGCCTTAAATCTCCAGTTTTCATGGTGAAAATTTGCCAGTTTTGGTGGACCCAGCTCTAGGCAAGAGGAATAGACTATGTGCAAATCTCCAACTCAACTAGCAGAGCATCAACTTGCTACAGTTTGCAGTGATGACTGATTTCATGTTGCAATTTGCATCGACCCTGTGAGGTTCTAATTATTTACTTTTTCAAGTTGCTCATTCCCTACCACAGTGGTTCTCAACCTGTGGGTCCCCAGGTGTTTTGGCCTCCAACTCTCAGAAATCCCAGCCAGTTTAGAAGCTGTTATGATTTGTGGAAGTTGAAGGCCAAAACATCTGGGGACCCACAGGTTGAGAACCAATGCCCTACCAGGACTAGTGAATACTAACCATAAAAACCTGAAGTTGACCAGACGCCGCTCCTGGATTTCCAGACACATCCAACGTATTCTGATCCTTGACAAGGAGTAAACTGGAATGAATTGGTTTAGCCCCATGTTAAGCAAAGTTGGGGAATGCTCCACACTTTTGGCAGAGTGCTGACAGTATGACTGGCCTCAAAGCAAATCGGTCCACTGTTTACATGGCCCAGCACTGTCATCCCCTTTCCCCCTTGTTCATTAGACAGCCACAGAGTGTCGGGAGAGCTCCTGGCCATCACTGATGTGACCAAAGGCACCCAGCGCTGGCCAGGAGCTCTTCCGGAGTTTTGTGGCTGTCCAGCAGCAGCAACAGGAGAAGTAAGGTGACCTCCCAGTGTGGACAAACTGATACTCATCTAATTGAATCATGAGGACCCCACTCTGCTACTCCAGACTGGCCCTTGATTTTGTGGCAAGTATAGATGAGCCCTCAGTCATAATGGTGCCAGGACTCACCCTTGACTTTGCCTGGTATTCATTTTCTAGCTAGGAGCAATTAGAACAGATGAAATGTTCCTTTGCCCTCAGTGAGAAATAATAATTCTTTCACTTCCCCATGTTTTGTGATCACTCCTTCAAGTAAGAAAGATTTTTCCGTTAATTTCTAAACAGGAAAGTGTATTCTCTGTGGGTATGCTAGCTTGAGAAGATGAGCTGACTGACTGGTGCATAATGCTTAATGGTATCACCAGGGGCCATCCCTGGGCCTCAGGTTTTGTCCTGGAAACTTCAGGATCTGGGATGATACCAAAATGGCAACCTTATGCATGAGTTATGCAACAAAGTAGGAATCCTACTGGGAATAACATGATGTTCTGGTTCCCCTTGCCAACTGATAGCTCTTTCCCTATAACATATAAATGTGTCTAATTATTACCAAGTGAGAAAATATATTACTGGTCAATTCCTCTTTTTCTCTCACTCTTATTTTGCCTTCCCATTTCTCTTTTTCTTTTTTAACTAGTCTGCTAATCTCTCCCCTGAGAGAGAGAAATTTAAATTTAATAAGTACGTTTTTATATCTTTCTATATACATTTCTATGTTTATAGAAAGACGTGGGTAAGAGTAGGAGAGATACATGATACAAGGAGAGAGGATGGAGAACAGGAAGTTTGAAAATATATATTGTTTTGTTTGTTTATATCTGGTCATCAACTTTTACAATCTTTACCAATGATTCTGAGATGTGGGGCAGTAGTGAGGACCAAGGAGACATAAACTACCACATTTGTGTAGTGGTCCAGAGATTTTATACTGTGTTTCAAACCCTGAAGCAGATTTGAAGGTCACAAAGTGGGACCCCCAAGGACCATGGGCAGCTCATGGCCACAGTTTACGCACCCATTTTAAATCCAACTTGGATCTGGGATGGATTTTATTAAAATAGAGAAGAAAAAGTATTAAAGCAGTTATGACCCTTGAGACAGCTGAATCACATACATTACATTACTTGCCTGGGACATTCTGGGAAATGTCCGGGATCATTAGGAAATGAGCTGTATCCATTAAGATGCTGCGCACTACAACAGGAGTAGTGTTGCAGTCAGTGAAAGCAGAATGAATAAAAAGCATGTATAAGTGTAATATAACAAGAACCATGGACTGATAGTGAAAGATGCCACGTGAATCACCCACTGTTAATGGGGACATCGTGAATTCCCTGCTCCAAATCTGATTCTCTCACAGATCCTTCTTTCCTGCCCCTGTTCAGATAATTTCAACTCACTTTCTGTCCTTGTGATAAATGGATTTTGACAAATGTGGCTTGTTGTGGAAACAAAGATTGGTGAGAAAGCTTCAGTGGAGATATCTTTTCCCCATGATAAGTTTTTCAGGAGTGAATTTCCCTTCTGGGGGGTACATTTCTCTTACTTCCTCTTGTCTCACCATCGTTTTTAACTATGAGTCATTTGTAAGTTGGATATTTATAACTCGGGGAGTGTCCGTATAGTTTTTTAATAGGGTAACAAAATAGCAAATCCATGGGTCCTTTTATTGATCAGTTCATTATTGACAGTGGTTCACATCTGCTTTTGTCTCTGGTTCCAAAGAAATAAACTATTTCTTTGTTAGAGTTTCCTTTGGGAGAGATAAAGCGGGATAATAATAATAATCGTCATCATCATCATCATCTTCTCAAGTCTGAGAGTTTTGAACCAGGGCCGTTTTCTTCATTTTTTATTACTCCTGACCTCATGATCATGGAAAAAAAACAAAATATGGATTGTCAATTTTGCAATCCCAGGCAACAGCAAGATTGAAGAGAAGCAACTGGAAAAGCTTACACGATATGAGTATTTAAAGAGTGAACTGCAAAGACTCTGGCATAAGCCAGTAAAGGTGGTCCCAGTGATTATCTGCACATTGGGTGCAGTGCCTAAAGACCTTGGCCTGCACTTAAAAACAATTGGCATTGACAAAATTACCATCTGTCAGCTGCAAAAGGCCACCCTATTCGGATCTGCACGCATTATTCACCGATACATCACAGACTCCTAGATACTTGGGAAGTGTCCAACGTGTGATCCAATACAACAGCCAACAGTGATCTTGTTTTCTGTGTACTTATCTTGTTGTGTTTATAATAACAACAACAACAATAATAATAATAATAATAGAAGAAGAAGAAGAAGTAAAAGAAGTAAAACCTTACCTATGAAAGCTCATCATACCACCATAAATTGGTTAGCCTTATGTGAAACACAGTACAAGAGAGACACTGGTCTTTGCTCCATATAATTGCAGACTATTTGTTAAGCAATGGTAGCTTGTTCTTTACTGGGTAAATTGTGTCAAAAACATCATTTTTCTCTATTCCCTTTAACTGTAATCAAATCAGCCATTGGCGTCATCTGATAGCCAGCTCTGCTTCAGATGTTCAAAACATTAGCTAAAATGTAGTTACTACGTCGATTGAGATGCATTATTTTCTCTCTCCAATAAAACGAAGTATGTCCCAGCAGCTATAAGAAGGGGACCTCCCTGGGATTACATTGCATTTTTGTGACGGATCCTAAGTCCTGTAGTTCAAGCTAATCATTAACAGGAGTTTTAACAGTCGCAAGCTTTTTAGCTGAAGCTCCGATAAGTCACTATGACTGTGAGTGGCAAACAGAGAGACAAGCCATGCAGCAGGGAGCCCAGGCAGTGAATGGATTTTCTTCAGCCTTCAAAACGAAATGTGACTTCTAGCATATGCTCCGAAAAGACACAATGCCTACACGACAACTCCGAGGATCTATAGCCTTATGGGCATTAGTTTTGGTACAGGCAGTTGCTGGATTTGACAGGAATGGAAAGTCTGTGTGGGAAAAAGATGCTGGTTTAAGTCCGGTGAATGAAACCCAGATGTTTGTGCATGACACGTTCCCCCCGGCATTCCTGTGGGGCGTGGGGACTGGTGCGTTTCAGGTGGAGGGCAGCCACAGGAAGGATGGAAAGGGGCTTTCGATATGGGACCTTTTTGTCCATTCTGCACTGCCTTCCCGGACAGATGAGTTCAGTGACAGCTACACTTTCCTGGAAAAGGATTTGTCCGCTCTGGATTTTTTGGGAGTTTCTTCTTACCATTTTTCCATTTCATGGCCAAGGCTCTTCCCTACTGGACTGGTCACCACTGTCAATGAAAAAGGGCTCCACTACTACAACAATCTCCTAGATGCTCTGGTTTACAGACGCATTGAGCCTATAGTCACCCTTTTTCACTGGGATTTGCCTTGGGCTCTGCAGGAGAAATATGGGGGATGGAAAAATGAATCTCTGGTGGATATTTTCAATGACTATGCCACTTTTTGCTTCCAAGTATTTGGAGATCGTGTTAAATACTGGATTACGATCCACAACCCCTACCTTGTTGCTTGGCACGGGTACGGCACAGGGATTCATGCACCTGGAGAGAGGCAGGAAAGATCTGTCTACAGAGTAGGACATAACCTGATCAAGGTACAGTACAGAAAGAATTGCCCTTAAGAGACCAAGTATTACTGCAGCTGACAAGTAAAGAATATAACGTAACACAAGAAAGTTGAGGGGATACTTCTGTGTACAATCTTTGTAATCTAATAACATTGCTTACTTTCTTCTTGTTGCCTAAAATCCTTGATAGCAACAAATAAGTCTACTTTTGCTTTTGTTTTTATATGCACTGCACCAGCTCCTGTTGTTGTTGTTGTTGTTGTTGTTGTTGTTGATGATGATGATGATGATGATGTTGATGATGATAATGATGTTGAAGGGTGCCTTCAAGTCCTTTCTAACTTAGGGTGACTCTAAAGCAGTGGTTCTCAACCCTCCTAATGTCGCAATCTCTTAATACAGTTCCTCATGTTGTGGTGGCCCCCAACCATAAAATTATTTTTGTTGCTACTTCATAACTGTAATTTTGCTTCTGTTATAAATTGTAATGAAAATATCTGATATGCAGAATGTATTTTCATTCACTGGACCAAATTTAGCATAAATACCTAATACACCAAAATTTGAATACTGGTGGGGATGGGAGGGGGATTGATTTTGTCATTTGGGAGTTGTAGTTGTTGGGATTTATAGTTCGCCCATACCTAAAGAGCATCCTGAACTCCACCAATGATGGAATTGAACCAAACTTGGCACACAGAACTCCTATGACCAACAGAAAATACTGGGAGGGTTTGGTGAGCAATGACCTTGAGTTTTGAAGTTGTAGTTCACCTACATCCAGAGAGTACTGTTGACTCAAACAATGATGGGTCTGGACCAAACTTGGCATGAATACTCAATATGCCCAAATGTGAACCCTGGTGGAGTTTGGGAGAAATAGACCTTGACATTTGGGAGTTGTATTAACTGGAATTTATAGTTCACCTTCAATCAAAGAGCATTCTGAACCCCACCAATGATAGAATTGGGCCAAACATCCCACACAGAACCCCCATTATCAACAAAAAATACTGTGTTTTCTGTCGATCTTTGGCGATCCCTCTGACACCCCTTCACGACCCTCCCCCCAGGGGTCCCAACTCCCAGGTTGAAAGATGCTCTAGAGTAGAGCCATGCAACTGGAATGCCCTCATCACAGCCAAGTAAGGAGCTGGGGGAATGCAATGGTGAATCAGTTCACCACACCAAATGGGTAAGGGACACTAATAAAAACTGTGGAAGAAGCCTTGCAAGCCTCAGCAGCAGCTAGCTGACTATCAAGGGTCATTCTGAACTCCTATGACTAACAGAAAATACTGGAAGGGTTTGGTGAGCATTGACCTTGAGTTTTGGAATGGTAGTTCACCTACATCTAGAGAGCACTGTGGACTCAAACAATGATGAATCTGGACCAAACTTGGCATGAATACTCAATATGCCCAAATGTGAATACTGGTGGAGTTTGGGGAAAATAGACCTTGACATTTGGGAGTTGCTGGAATTTATAATTCTACAATCAAAGAGCATTCTGAATCCCACAAGTGATAGAATTGGGCCAAACATCCCACACAGAACCCTCATGACCTACAGAAAACATTGTGTTTTCTGATGGTCTTTGGCAACCCCTCTGACAACTTCTCATAACACCCCCCCCCCCAACAGGGGTCCTGACTCCCCGGTTGAGAAACGCTGCTCTAAGGTGTCACAGAGTTTTCTTTACAAGATTTATCCAGAGGGGTTTGCCATTGCTTTCCTCTGAAACTGAGAGAATGCGATTTGACCAAGGTCTACTCAAAGTAAAATGAAATAGCAAATTAAAGCATGACAGCCAAAGTTAGGACAGCTGCTTTGTATCAAATTAGACAAATAATCTGTTTATTCCATTTTTTTCTGTTTGACAATAGTTTAGCTCAGTTTTCAAACAGATACTCTCTCCATCATTTGCTGTCTAATGATATTATGATTTTGGTGGCAATATCAAGAGCCGGACTTGTGCCTTCTGAATAAAAAGTACATGCCTTTCCACTCAGCCCTGTTACTTTCCCCCAGAATTGAAGACTTTCATGTCCCACTTTATTCCATTGACAAGTATGTACCTCAAGCAGCAAGCTCTTCTAGAAAGGAAAACGAATTGGATTTAGTAGATCTTACCACTCAGAAATACTTAACATCGCATATGATGTCATTGTTCAAAACAACAGACTTTGATAGCACTTAATTTATATTTGATTGTACTCTTAATTGTTGCTGGTCTACTAGAAAATTAGTGCTTCCTTCCAGTCTTCCTTGGCTTCGTTCAATAATAACATTCTACGTACATTGAGACTATTTGATTAGCAGAAAAACATATTAAAAATTCCTAGATGAGTCATATGTAGCTAGTCAAAGTAACCATAAATAAGGAATAAATTACACAATGCCCTCCTAGTCTGATAACATCACATTACATATAGTGGCTGTGTCGCTGAACTAACAAGGTTACCAAGTTATTTTCAATTGCTTGAAGAAAAACAACCTTTATGTCAATATTTAAGAACTTCAAAATGACATCAAGCCACTTCTATTTCTAGCTGCTTAATTTAATGGATTAAGGCACCTAGCTCTTCCTTACTGCATTGAATTGTACAGACAATTTTTTATTTTTTGTTTGACTTTGGTGAAAATGGATACCTTACTCCACGACATAGCATAATTTGAGATTTCTCTGCTCACCATCAAACTGCTTCATCTGAGAGGTCATGTAGGAGGCCCTCCAGATGCTGTTGGACAGCACTATCTAGCAGTCAACAAGAATCTGACCAATGGTGAGGAATAATAGGAGCTGCAATCCATTAACCTTTGGAAGACAACACATTTCCCACCCCTTCCTTAACAGAAGGGCTAGAAAAATACCACTTTTAAAATTCAAAGTAGATTGTACCAACATTAATAATAGTCGCTCGACTTAAAATTGGAATAATTCATCTTTCAAATGTTTCTATTTCTTGTTCTTTGTGACTCCTGTCAGCAGCTTCCCCAGTTCCTTTTCATCATAACCAAAAGGGAATTATCTCAAAAAATGAATAAAGAAACTTGTAGGCCATATATGTTGTCTCCAATTTGCCTAACATGGTTTTCCAAAATGTTATTCCTGGTGGCTACAAACCCGTATGCAGCCAGTTTTCACATGGTGGCTTTATGATGGTTGTGTTCATTTTTCCATGTAATATTTTTCCTCTTGGATAGATGTGTGGTCTAAAGTAGAACTATATACTTCTGGAAGAGTGGCTGAGTAGATTAGGGAAATTTATGAAATGCTTGAAGAATTCCACAAACACATACAAACTGCAAAAATCTCAGTCTTGTGGCATACAGGGAGGATACAACTCCCCTGTTACGTCAGCTCCACTGGCTGCCAGTCTGCTACTGAGCACAGTTCAAAGTTCTGGCTTTAGCCTATAAAGCCCTAAACTGTTCCGGCCCAGCTTACCTGTCTGAATGTATATCCCTCTATGATCTACCTCAGGGGCTAAGACCGTCTGGGGAGGCCCTTCTCTTGATCCCACCTCCTTCGCAGGTGGGACGGGGGGGGGGGATGAGAGACAGGGCCTTCTCAGTGGTGGTGGCCCTTGGTCTATGGAATTCACTCCCCAGTGAAATTAGATCTCCTGACCTTCAGGAAAAACTTAAGATGTGCCTTTGGGACCAAGTCATTGACCAGTATTTGGAGCTGTGCAATAAGTGACTACAAATTAATGTGATTGACAAATGGAACGGCCCTTAATTATGATTTGGATTGTATGATTTTGATTGCTGTTTTAATAATTGATGCTTTAACTGTTTGGATTTTAGTTATATTTGTTTATTTTATAAACATATATGTGTATGGCATCTAATTGTTGCCTGTTGTAAGGCCTCTCTGAATCCCCTTCAGGGTGAGAAGGGCGGAGTACGAATTTGATAAATAAATAAATAAGGATCTGCAGAAATAACTGGCTCCTTAAAATATTCAGATGCTAGCCATTTGACCCACAGACTTGGCCTGGAAGTTGTGGGGGAACAAGAGGAGCTGCTTGCTTTGGTGACTGGATTCTCCTCTATTCCCTTGAACCAATTGTTGCAGGCAAGTGGATAACCATAAATCTCCTTTGGATTTTTTTTCCCAAGCAGAAGTTATAAAATACATATCAGGGGAGCAGCAAGGAAATTGAACATATCATTTCCCTAATCATGTGATTATTCCACATCAAGGGATGATTTCCTGGTGTGAAATCAATCATAGATGCATCATTTATATCTCTCACTTTGTCTGTAATTCACACAGAAATCAGGAAATAACATTCAGAAATGGAAGGAGCTTCTCTCACCCATAACATAATACCAGAGGTGGGAGAGAGGGAGTGTGCAGTATTAAATCTAGGACAAAAAGGAGAAGCATATAGTGTGGTGGGAAGAAAACTAAACCAGCTCAATTGCCCAGATCATTGTATGTATCAGCAGCAGCAATAGCAAGAGATGAGCTTGGCAATTCACTTGATTGACTTTTTCCTAGGTTAACACAGTGTGTTAAGCTACCTTTAAGCAGAGCAAAGAGATAACTCACACGATAGCCTTGGGGAATCATGAAAGGGACCCAAAATTGGTAATATGCCTAGAAAATTGGTAATATGCCTAGTTGTGTATTTTTTAGCTACTAGGAATAGGGAGATGTGTTAGTGAGCTTTTCTGCTATGTGTGCCAAAATACTTAGCTGCCTTTACCCATGATGTATCTTGTTTCAAAGGGGCACTCAGTCTGAGAATTCAAAACGCCCATCCCTAAGTTACAAATCCCATAAAGTAGAACCATGACAGACAAAGTGGAATCACAGCGAAATATTTGTGTTGTATGAATTGTTCCCACAACCTTTGCAGATATTTCTTGGAGGGAAAGAATAGATGTTATCCTAATGATAGCACTGTTACAGTTTCTGTACAGGGATTTATCCACACTGTAGAATTACAGCACTTTGATACGGCTTTAACAGCCGCAATTCTATCATATGGAATCCTGAGATAAGTAGGGTT